AAGCGTGGCATTTGGCCTACCTTCTGATAGAGGACTCTATTCTAGTGGATTGCCTATATAAATACCTTGGTCTGTTGGCGGGTAATTTCAGACGGCTGGACCTCTGCTCGTAAACACCTGCTACTAGAATATAACTTCCCTTTGCAATTTGTGGTATAACCGTGAGATATTCTATGTTTGTAGGACTCGGGTCTCGGTAGTCTCTTTTATTCTTTCTTTTGATCTTGACTTTGCTACTACGATTTCAGTATCGAATATCTAAAACTATTGGAAATTTCATATTCGTGTGCCTACCTTTGTTATTCTCGGGCTATGTGATAATGGGCTTGATGGTTGTCGTTTGCCAAAGCTATTTTCGAAAAATGGCTGTATTGGTTTGGCTCAATATACCTTACCATCGCTCTGTTACTACTTCTGGCTCTTGTAACAACGAGGCATAGCTCATACCATTTTCCTGCTTTCAAGACAAATTTGATGCATTTAGGGCTTTCACTATTCCTATGCAGTTTGTAGACCTCCCTTTCTTTCTTGTTCTCTTCTCACGGGTAGCTTGTTGTGTTGGCAGTCTCTTTATCTGGCTGCAGAGATGTTTCTTCTGGGTTCTTTGGGATGAGACCTTTGTAACTTTATTCACATGAAGATATTTAGAAAGCTTGATGGCAGTAGCTAGATCATCTTCTTCCATCCATCTGACACAGTTAATTATCATCTTTGGTTGATCATATCTCTTCTCTTATGCAGACCTATACGTACGTCAGAATTTCTTTACGACTGTATGTTGAACAAAACTGCTTCGAATAACATGTTATGCGGCACCACACTGTGTAATATAGAAGGCAAATGGTTTATTGATAGAGATCTACTAGGTGGAACGTCTCGTGAGAGAAAGTGACAGGTGTGTAGATTGAGATGGATAATGATGGACAAGGAGGAGAGGAAAAGGGAGGAAGGACGAGACTAGCTATTCTATTTAGTAGTGGGATCTGGCCACCTAACATTTATGTCCTTCATTGGATCTTCCATGATGTCCAAAACTAGGGTTCAATCATGTCTTCTACGCAAGTTTCATGTTCTATTAGACTTACCGTGATAATTTCTTTATGAACACGTTCTTTTGGATCTACACAGAACATCTTTCAGCTTTGGCTGTTATGGCAGCTCCTCGTCTTAGCATTGTTTCCACCTGTTTGAATGTATACTATATTCAACATAGCGCTCATCTATATATTTCCAATTAACAACAACAACCCACGTTAAATACATTGATCATATATTTCTACCCTATTTAACTCCACATTGGCATTCTATAAAGCTAGAAATATGTCAACATTCACGCAGTCATTAATCTTATTTTCATAGAAAAATCTTCACCACTGGTCAAAGTATACAATCGGATCAAGAGGCAACCAATCCAGTTTATCATAAGAAGTGATAAACGCGTCCAGAAAACCGTGCCACTTATCGAACGTAGTATTACTCAATCAGACGCAAAATATCAACTCTACAAGCCTTGATTTGGCAAATCACATGTTTGTAGCAGCTCATTCAAAGTCACGTGTGCAATAGGCGGGTCTAAGCGGGTATAAGCGTGTCCCACAAGAATTCGCTTATAGCGCACATTTCCACACAACTGTCCATAACAAGGCCGGCTGGCCCAATGGCAAGGCGCTTGACTACGAATCAAGAGATTGCAGGTTCGATCCCTGCGTCGGTCACTTCTTTTTTGGATTTTCTTTTGCTTAGGCTTCGTAAAAGCTTAGAACATGTTGTTGCGATCGCATTTTTGCTAGGGAGATACCTGACAATGCTCTCTTTTTTCTTTCCGAGTCTGTCATATACGACAGTGCCAGGGAAGCAAAGCAAAATTGCAAGGAGACGATGAGAACAGAAAAATAGGAAGACAGGACGCTCGTAGTCCCAGAGAGAAGGGGTCACGCGCAGCAGGCAGTTTAATGACGAAAAGCCTAATATACAAGGTGACTTGTAGAAAGAAATGCATCGAAGCACGGTACTAGCATTGGGAAATTAAGCCGAGCATGTGAAAGCAGCGATCTTAAATGAATTGCGAGTCTCCTAATCAATATTCCTCATCAGCTGCAATGTACACGTGTATACTGTGGACTGCACGTTATAGTTAGACATAACCCAACGGTTTCCTAAGCACCCAGGCGGAGACGCAATCTAAACAACTGCAAGCATCCACATATTCTCGACATACATACATACTCCGTACATATTCAAAAACTCAATTTCCAAATCAAGACTTATCCCGCGGGTAGCCTGAAAACGCCCCGGAGCTTTTAGAGCTAGATGAAAGCTTCGGCTCTTGCGACTCTTGGTCGATAATAGGGACCGGAGTCCCGGGGTTCCTAGGATCCCGGGAGTCCTTCTGTCAATGCTAGCAAGGAAATCCCGATCCGGAGATTATGTCCAAGCTTAAAGCTTATGCACGTGAAACAAGGCACATATATTGCATGTTGGCCGTATCGGGATGCTATGTTAAACGGAGTGTACAACTAGAATAGTGCATTGGACAAAAAGCTATAATGTGCGCTAGCTTTAGACACGGTGGGTCGGGTCGAGAGATCTACATCACAAAGATGTGCACGTAGCTCATGTCTCTAAACAAGATAGGAATATCTAGTAGTCAAATAGTCCTTATCTCTGAGCATGCATACCTATTCCCTGCAAGTAACTACGTCGAGAACCTTGTCTGCATCGAAAGTCGCCTAGCTTGCGAGCTCTCGGAAAATTAGATCCAAGTCGCGTGGTTTCATGGCAATTGTTCATTGGAGGAGTCAGACAGCCCTGCAAGGAAGATGCAGAGAAGCAAGAAGGAATAGGGGGGAAACTTTATGTCAGCCAATCAGATATTGGTATGGGCAGCTTGATCTGACTGTATTGCCTTGTTGACCCCCTCGTCGATGCATCACGCTCATAAAGAGTAGTAAGAGGGGTTGTGGCTTCCTGTGATTTCCACTTGCGCGCCGCGACTCAAGGTTTGCCACTGCATTGCTGTGCCGTCAAGAAGCGAGCGATATACTTTCTCAGTATCATTACCCGAGACAGGTTGATGCGATCGGCGTTCTGTAGAAAGATCTTCTAGAATCTACAACATCGAGGGTTGCTTCTCCCAACTTGAGAGATAACAGTATTGTTGAGAGCGCATTAACGCGACGATCGTGGTGATGTTGTATTTGTCACTGGGTCTAGCACTCTATTTACCTCCTATCAAAGCTGGACCTATACCTACACCCTTGTCGGTGATTCCAACCCACATCTTAGCCGTTCGAGGCGCATCGCTAAATCTCTGGGCATAGCTTGACGGGCCATTCCGGTACGCTAAATTCAAAATTTTACCTAATAATAAACTCGATATAGCTCGCATAATGGGGCTTAATCAAGGATCCCGATAACGAGCCAGGCCGAGGTGAAAATGTCGGCTAGGTCGTTGTCAAGGCTGTGGACCTGGCCAGCCAACTGTTACCCCAGAGTTCAATGAGCCAAGCAAGTCCAATCCAGCATTTGATCAGGAGTACGTTATTCGCGTATTAACCAATTTAAACTGACCGCTTCTTGGTCCGGGATTCCCGCATCCAAGACAAAAGAGCACTAAGAATCGGAACGGTCGGGAGTAATTCCTCTGCATGAAAGTTATATTGCACTTGGATAGGGTGGATCATTCAGAGCCAGGGAAAAAGATGCCTCGGATGATCTCCGCGGGCGACTAATATATATTCTTCCGCATTGCCACTCAACGTTGCGCGATTAGCAATTTTAGGATATATTGGAACAATTGCTAGGGTTGCATCCTGGGCTGGTCTTGAAATTTGATTAACGAGGCCGATCAAGGACGTTAACATATATTCTTAGAAGATTGAGGTTGATCTTAATTGCAGTGCGATCGGCGCTGTCAATGATATGAATGTGATATGATACCATCCTCTGGCTGTTGATTTAGCTGAAACTAAAACAGAATTAAAATGGAGAACGGGGCAAACAAGATTCGCCTATGAGATCCAACAAAAAGCAGCCAAAGGACGGCTGGAAATGCCATATCTCGAGGCTAAACAAGAAGGGTATTAAATGGCAGGATAGCCGTTGTTAAGCGGGCCTGGAAAGTTACAAGGTGACATTGCTGCGATCCCCAAGCCTGATAGCCATTTCCCTTTGAGACATTGCACATGCTAACCAATTATTGCCGAGTTATCGTTGTGTGCCTGTTGTCCCTCCCCACTTGGATCCTCAACCTCCCCCCACTTAGGACGAATTTAACGAGAGGCATTGCCAAATCATACTACAAGGTCTGCCCTTCTTATGCTAGACCTTTGTCTAGATCAGGATTATGGCGGAAGTCCCCGAGCAAGACAAATACGCAAAGAAGGAGTTGCATTAGATAGGGAAAAGGGAAAGGATCCCACGATAACCTCGGACTGGTGAAATAAGACGAACAAGTCAAGAATCAAACGCAAAAGGACGTATGGAGTATAGATCGGGCCACTCAGCCCACTCCAACCCCCCTCTCCTACGGTTCTCGTCGGAGAAACTGGGCCAGGGGAGTTAATACGACATTATCAACCCCTCCTCAAAGTATGCACCGACAATCGCTGCCTTTCTAGAAGCCGGCGGGAAGTTTTCAGATTGGTGGATGCATATTCGATTACCCCAGGTCCGCCATGGTCCGCTAGAATCCGCCATGAACGGGATGTACCTGCGCGGATTCTACGATATCGTCAGTAATCGGCCTCTTGTCGCAATTGGCTAAAAGCCCTCACCCGGGCTAGTGCTCTAGTGACCCGCTATTATAAGGCTTGGATCTCCCTGATAGACATGATCTTCAGGTTTCTGATTTTGGGCTTTTGCTTTAAGGGTCCAATTGTTGATCAGCCTTCTCTTCCTACTCTCCAACTTCTCATCTTTCTTCCATCATACATAGATGATCCCCTAAACAGTACCTACATACCTTCAATACCCACAGTAACCATCCAACACCCAATACAATGACGAGAACCGGCCCTACAATTAATCCTATCTCGTGGGACACCAAGCCTATTGTCCCGGATGATGGCAGCCGAATTGACTCGGTCGCGTGTCAAGATGCGAGGCCAAAAGGGCGCATCCGACGATCAATGACTGCTTGTAATACCTGCCGCAAGCTGAAGACTCGCTGTGATGTCGATCCCCGTGGTCATTCTTGTCGTCGCTGCTTGTCACTTAGGTTTGTTTGGCCTTTTTATTCATGCTGTTGCTTTTTTGGAGTCTGTCGTTTCCATATGCTGATTATTATTGTCATAACAGGCTGGATTGCGAGCTCCCGGAGACAACAGAGCGGTTCCAGGACAATGCATCAACCTGGTCCGACGCCACCGCTATACCATCGATCGAAGAACGGCTTGTCTCTCTCGAACGAGGCATGGGGGAGATGATACATCTGATGCGGCAGATGGTGAACCGCTCCCCCAGCATGCCCTGCAGCCCCACCTTACAAACTAGAAACCACAGCATAGATGGAATATCTTCAAGCGATAGCATGTCCTCATCTTTCTATCCGCTCAAGCCAGCGCAACTCATTCGAGACCTGCAAGCCGAATGCTTCGGCGAGAGAGATCAATTATCAGATGCCGACATTCTCGGAGATATCGTCACCCAGGGCATCGTAGATTCCAAGCTTTCCATGAAATTGATTGAACTGTGTGTTTGATTGTGTGTTTGCCACTGGAATTCTCCGCTAATCATCTTGCTAGTTTTGTCGAATATTTCGGCCATTGGGTCTCAATAAATCATCCGTCCAGCATTCAACGGTCAAATACACTCCTCTTCAACACCGCATGTCTCTTGGCTTCGCGCTATCTGCCTGGCCTACCACAACACACTGTCCGCGATATCTCACTTTGTGTACAACATGCCGTGGCGAAGGTGCTGTGGAAGCCCCCGCCCATGACAAGCGATATGCTGCAGGCGTTGACATTGCTCTGTCTATACTCTACTTCCATTCACAAAGAAGGACTCATGGACGACTGGTTGCTGAGCGGGATCTCAATCAACCATGCGCTCATCTCATTTAACTTCCTGAATACCTTGCCAGGAGATCGTTTAAATCCAGACGAGCTACTTGCCCAGTTGCGTCTGTGGAATACACTCTGCGCAACCCAGCTACAGTATGTTCTGTCCATTAAAACCGTCGGATATACGATCTAATAACCCAATAGCTCTGCCCTCGCAAATGGCCGCACCGTCAATATCCAACAACAATACATCGACCAATGCCCCCGAATCCTAGAATATGCAGCCGCCACACCAGAAGACGGGAGAATTGTCGCAGAAATCCAACTATACCGCATCGCCCTCCGACTTCAACACAACCAGCACCGTCTCCGATTCGCAGAACCCGAATACGAAGAATTGGAGCGCTGGAAATTGGAATGGGCACATCTTCTAAGTACATCAACCCTATATGCACATCAAATCCAATCTCAATCTAACACACACCCCTACAGCCACCAGCGAAGACTCAACGCTCAACCTAAGTTTCTGGTTCTGCCAACTCCTCCTCCACCGAACAGTCGCCCGCCTCCAACCGGACAGCGAGCGCCTCGTTCCAGAAATATGCGGCACCGCCCGCCTAATCATAACCCAATTCCTCCAAACGCGCTTCACCTCCGCACCCGCCTTAATCGACCACGTCTACTTCATCGTCGGCTACGCCGCGCTCACGCTCTGCGACTACACGCTCACCGACCCGCTAATCAGCCAAGTCCGCGGCTTCCTACTGCACCTCGCCCCCGGCGGTGACAACCTCTCCTACCGGATCGCGTGTATTGTCGGCGAAGTGCAGCGGCGGTACTCGGAGGCGAGTGTTGTTACCGCGGGGTCGCATTCGTCGTCCCCGGTTGCGGAGGTTAAGAGCATGCAGATGTTCGGTCCGTCGAGCCATCATCGTACCGGCATGGATATCTCGCAGCTTATGTCTAGCTCCGAGGGCTTGGATTCCCTTGTTGAGGGGTATAACTGTCTTGAGCAGATGATGCCTGGGTATGCGGCTCCGCAGCCTGCGTTTGAAGCTCCGGATTTGTTTCATCATTCTCCTCCGACTGGTGTGACTGGTGGGGCTATGCCTATTGGTCTGGTGCCGAGGGCATTACATGATTGGTGATGGGATTGTGGGCTTGGCCTTTTGGTTCTAGATCATTGGAGTTGGTGTATGTTAGGTTGATATCGAGGTTAGATTTGGGATTTGGGTGTTGTGTTTTTTCTGGCGCAGGATCGTAACAGCAAAAGCACACCTGAATGAAAATAGTCATGACTTGTTCGAGGATTCTTCGTTTCGTAGTTTTATTCATTATAGTGAATCTTATCTATGGCTGGATTCATTTAGCAACTATTACAATACATTCTCCATTCTCCATTCGGTTTTCAGAATTCACTATCATCGCTACGATGTAAACACCAAATCAACATAATATGATACAAACTTCATGAATCCTTCCAAGGTAAGTACAAAAGCACCAATCAAGTCATTAGACGCATTCCCCTTTGCCAACGAAGCACAATAACTATAGATGGTGATTAAAAGAAACATATATCACAGGCGGGTAGTTGAGCCTCGAGTCGACCACCAATACCCCGAACACGAGATCTACGACGAACACAGAGTTGAGCCCTCAAGTAAAGAGGTAGGCAGTAAAATCCTGGGCTCTCCACCCGCCATAGCAACAGACACCTCCCCACTATCACCGGCAGTAACACTAGCGCAGGACACAACCTCCGTCAACTCCTCACCAGCTGCGAATCCAGTATCAGGAATTGAAGCCGAGTACTCTGCACCTCCTGCACCGAGATTGCTCAATACAGTGATTATTTGTCCGCCGTCAAAGCCCTTCCGCATGGCGATGGTGGTATCGTCTTTGTAGATTGGGTAGTTCTGTCAAGACTGAGTTAGCCATTTACATTCTCTTATTCCTTCCTTTCGACAGACATAGAGACAAGCATATACCTGGTAAATAGTATAGTTGGTACTTTTAGCAATCGCCTGGTTTCTCGCAGCATTGGCCGTTGCAATGAGCTTGTACAGTTCGCTGTCGGTGTTGAACCCGGACAACCATACAGCCTCGCGATTAGCTGGGTCTTCGCCACCATTGTAGTGTTGCTCCTGCCCGGCGTAGACGATAGGAATGCCGTCTGCCATGATAGTGAATGTGACTGCGTTCTTAGCGAGGGCAATGTCGTCGGTGACGCTGGGTTTCGGAAGGAGAGATATTAGCTTCTAGACATAAAGAATGGAGTTTCCGGTGGTCTAATTGAGTTTTCACTTACGAGGCAAAACGAGGGTTATCATGATTCTCCACAAAGCTCCCGAGAAGGGTTGAGTCCTTGCAAGTCGATTTCACCGTATTTATCATGTTGTATAGGTCGGTCATGCTTCCAGAGGTCGATTGAAAGGCATTGAGGAGTGGGTAGTAACTATTTTCAATTAGCTTTTAGTTTCCTCTGTGTATCTGGTAAATTCCATGGACAAGCGGGGTCGCACATTGGATAGTTGAGCACTCCGTCCATTACCTCCTGGTATGGACAGGTATAATCAGCGTCACCATCAAAGACCTCGCCTACGCAGTAGACGCCGGCGGCTTTATTATAGCCGGGCCAGAAATCTTTCTGGACGTGTCTGACTGTGTCAACGCGGAGACCGTCGACTATATACCAGTTAGTTTTCGGATATGGCGATATATCTTGCCGAAGTGAGGATTGGAGAAGACAACTTACTCGAGTAGTTAGAGACCAAAGATCCAACCCAGTCATACCATATGTCCTGCACCTCGGTGCTCTCTGTATCCAGATCCGGTAGCGAAACATTGTCATCCCCAAGCCAGCAGTCTTGCACCATGGTATCGTTGCTGTAATCGGCGATTGAGCAGTAGGGGTGGAAATACTTCGCATCGTTGAAGGGGTTGAATTTGGTGTAGTCTACGTCAGTGCCTGCGCCATCGTAGCCCTTTTTATCCAATACATATCAGTTTCAGCCCGCATGATTGGGGACATGGATGCATTAACTCACCATGTGGTTTGCTACTACATCGACCATGAGATACATATCGCGTTCATGCAAAGCCGTAGCGAGAGCCTTGAGATCGTCTGCAGTTCCGTAGTTCGAGTTGAGAGCATAGCTAGGGTCTGTAAGCATGCAGGTCTCAAGGGCTGTCTTTTCTGTTTTGCGATACCCACATGTCCTGCTGCCAGTATCCGTGATAGGCATAGCCATACGCAGTATCCTCGGTCAATTGGCCAGTCACGGGAGTGATCCAAATGGCCGTGAAGCCCATTCCTTGGATGTAGTCCAGCTAAGCAATCGATCAGCTTGATGATATAGGTAATATTAGAGTATTACTGACCTTGTCTATAATTCCTTGCCAGGTTCCGCCACAGTATTTCTATCCAGCGAGTACGGTTAGCTCTATCTCATTGTCACATAGCCGATATATAGACAGAAACCGACTCTATCACTGGTATCACAGGTGGCAGTAGTTGAACCATCCGTTCGGGCGAATCGATCAGTGAGCATGAAGTAGATCGACCGTGAGCGCCATTCATCTGGAGTGGCAGCAATGGCAATGCTAATCAAGCTAGCAAGCCAAGCAAATCGTGCGAGAACCATCTTCAGCGCTGATAATCAATGTGGAAAGAGAGTAAAATCGTTCAGCAACGGGATATTCCAACAAAAAGCGCTGCAAGGGACTTCATATAAATATTCTATCAAAAGCCGTGCATACAGCGACAGACAAATAGAACTACCGGAGGCCAATAACTCTCGAAATCGGACTCCGAGAAGGAGTATAACTTAAACCAATAGACGCTAAAAGCTTAGACGAAGATCTTCACAGATGCTTCCACTTAAATCAGAAGTAAATCCCTCTAAATGCCCGTCCCTAGCCACAGCCATATCCAAGATGAAACTAGAAAAGGAGAGAGAGAGAGCTGCTAACTTCATATGGTCAAGAACTCCGTGATTAATTGAAAGATCATCTCCCAAAACAAAAATCCCATAGTCATCCTTCACATATAATTCGTCAGGTCCCCAGCCCTGCCGGAAAAAAAAGCAAAGTCACAAGAATGCATGCATAACCTTGAAATTATTAGCCCGGATTACAAGGCTAGCGCATGGCATGTGCGAAATTAAACAATCCCTGTTGAAGCCCCTGACGCGGGCGTTGATCGAATCAGCGTGCGCAGGGACTTGGAGCCCAAATTTGCAGGGACGCGGGGGGCGGAGATGGGGTTGCAGTGGCTTGTCGGCTCGTTTGAGATGATGTCGATCTCATGAACTCGGGGTTTACTCGGGATGCTATTGGCCTAGGCGATGCTGCTAGGATGGTTAAGGCTTATACTCCGTATGCATAGAGACAATGTGAGTATATTATAGCGTGAAATGCGATCAAAATATATATAGGCTTCATAAGTCGGCCCGACAGAATCTGTGGATTATTGAACAGCCTATTTGTTAATGCGACCGCGGGGGTGTGGTGTCTCTCTACTCAGCTGAATGAGCTTACGGAGTCGCCGGCACTATAACAATAGGCGCTCGGTCTTTTGATAATAAGGAGCCCGGAACAATCGGAAGATATTGCGAACGGAGAGGGTATGTACTAAACTTGAAACAAGTCCATTGTGTAAGGATTGTCCAGTGTGTCGAGGGATGAATAAATGAATGTGATTGCCATTAGGATAGACTATAGAAAAGACAGCAGATTCGCACAATAAAAGACACAATTCTACATTCTCTTGAAAGATTCCACCATCTACCACTTCAAAGTCCAGTTCCCACTGAAAGCACCCTCCTTGGTCAACTCCTGCAAACCACAAACACACAACACATGTGATGTAGCATTGTATTCCACACCAGAAGCTGGGACAGGCATGCCGTTAAGTCTAACAGTGCCAGGTTTCTTGGAAACACCGAGAACAGTAACAGTAGCGAGAGGATTCGACTCCTCCCAGTTACCTTTTGCCTTGGCACTCAAGCTGGACCCCTTGACCTTGAAAGTAACATCAAGCGTGTCATCCGGAACATTGCTCTCTCCGTCATCGAGATATAACTTCCCAGAGGCAGCTCCACTGCCGCCGAGAGCAACAAGCAAAGACCAGGGCGTGGCACGCGCCTCCTTGGTAGTCAAAGCCGGCTCCTGCATCGGCAAGACGCTGCCTCCACGCACGAAAACCGGGATATGCCCGAGCGGAGCGGGGATGGTAGTGTTAACACCTGGCTTTGCGTCCACGGTGGTCTGAGTGTACCAATCGTACCACACCTCACCGTGCTTGAGGCCTGGGAAAATGCCCTTGACAGAGATGGCTTGCGGCGCGAGTACGGGGATGACCATGATTGAGGGGCCGAGGAGAAATTGGGTGTCAACTGCGGCGAGGGAGGGGTCTGTGGGGAACTCCCAGGCCAGGGCGCGCATGACGGTGGAGCCAGTGGTGTGGGCTTCGTGGAAGAGGGTGTAGAAGTAGGGGAGAATTGCGTAGCGGATCTCCATGGCGGATTTGGTAGCGGCCGTGACAGATTCCCAGATATAGGGCTCTTGAGGGATTGCGGAGAGGGTGTTGTGGTTGCGGTAGAAGGGGAAGAAGGCTGATAGTTGCATCCAGCGGTTGCAGAGTTCCTCGTCGGTGTTGCCGTTGAAGCCGCAAGTGTCGACTCCGAACATGGGGATTCCGAAGAGGGAGAATGACAGGGCTTGTGGGATAGAGAAAAACATATATGCCCACTTAGAGGCATTGTCACCACCCCAGTGGCCGGCCCATTTACCGGAGCCTGCGAATGTTGAGCGGCCGATGATGAAGGGTCGCTTCTTTTCATCGACCTTCAGCAGGCCATGATAGGTGGCGTTGAGGATTTGGTGGCCGAAGAGGCTGTGAACGTCATATTCTTGGACGCCATCGGAGTGAGTGGCATTTGGAGACACAGCGTGCGAGCTGAGGTCGTGGCCATCTTGGTCATGATTGATCACATATGGCGGGTAGTTGATGTTGCGTACTCCCGCAGTGGGTGTGGTCCGCAGATAAGAGATGGACGAAGAGGTAGAACTGCCAGTTTCGGCAGCAGCAGCCTGACTAGATGACGCTGCAGACGCAGATGCAGCCTCTGTCTTGTTTCTGAGCCCAAACCCTTCCGGATAGTCATAGATCACGTTGCCAGGCTCTCCGGGCAGGGAGAACGAGGGGTGCGCTGGGTTCATGCTAAGATTTCCAGATCCGCAGCTACCAACGCAGAAGGAAGAAACCTCACTCATATCAATCCAGATGCCATCAATGGCTATTTTCTTGTTCCAGGTAACGATTTCGCTCGCCCAGAAATCGCCTGTCTTAGGATTGTGCCAGTCGGGGAAGACAGTGTAGCCGGGCCAGACAGCGCCGATGTACTCACTTCCATCGGGATTCTTCAGGAAGACGTCATCTTTGTGTCCGCGGGTGTAGGTATCATAGCTGAATATAAATCAGCTTTGCTTCTGAAGAACAGACATAGGGGAACTTACGCATCGGAGGCATTATTGGGGTTTGGAATGTAGATAGCCGAATCTATAATGGGAACATAATGACGGCCACTGCGGTGCAACTTATCTAGGAACACCTCACCCTCACGGTAGGGATAACGATATTGATCATTGTCGAAGTCGCGGTAACCATGCATATAATCAATGTCATTCCTAGTCATGTTAGGACTTGAACCATTAAAAGGCACGATGAGTCAATTTACCAGATAGTCTCGAGCGGGATTTCAAACTTTTCAAAGTTGGAGACAACTTGTTCAAGTTCCGTCCAGTTATTGTAACCCCAGCGGCACTGGTGGAAGCCAAAAGTGAAGTACTGCTGCAATGCTGGCAAGCCGATGGTGCTCAACTGGTAGTTCTTGGTCACATCCGCTTGGCTAGGACCAGAGTAGAAAGTGAGATCAATGCTACCTCCCAGGGTGCGCCACTTCAGGCCCTCAGGGTTCATGACGATCTCCTGACCGTGGGCATTTCTAGAGAAGACACCGTGCGAGAAGGAAACATAGTCTTTAGACGGATCGGCCTTGTCACTTGCAACGAGGATATGGTGACCCTCATTGTTAACCTCATAGTAGCGAGTGTCTAGATAGAAAGGATGGGAGCCGTAAATATTGCTGTATAAAAGTAGTCAGAAACAAAGAGCAGTACAATTGAGGGGAAATATATATTTGGGAAATGTGACTCACTCATCAATAGGGTCAGCAATATCCGACGCATAGAGAGTCAATGTGAGATTGTTCAAGAGGCGCAGCTGCTGGATGTGCTCTCCAATGCCATACAAATTATAATCTTTAGGCAAGGAAGTAACAAACTCAACAAACTGGTCCTCAAATACCAAGACTGAACCAGTGGTATCGAAGATGACATCACGGGTAGCCTTGCGGGTCACCTTGAAATGGAAGGATGGCTTATTCGACCAGGTGATCTCAAGATCACTATGCGTCTTTGAAGCATGAGGGTCGGAAGTGGGTCGGGGAACGACATGCTCATCCAACATGAACCACGAATAGTTAGAAGAATCGAGATAAGTCGGGACAACCTGGACGTTGAGACGATCATTGGCGAGGTACTCGATGGAAAAGTTCAGCGAGTCAACATCGGTTCCGTATACATTGCATGGCTTTCCGGCTAGCGTCAGGGTAGCGGTCAATCCACGAGCAGATTCCTTGATGTTCGATGCCTTGTACCCGGGACAAACCGACTGCGCATCGACGGCTTCGGGGTCATCAATATTGGCGATCTGCTGTACGCCAACATCTGCGCTAGTGGGAATGGTAAACTGTGTGTATTTTCCCGAAGAAGTTGAAGAAGCAATGTCAGAGTGAGAGGCTGGGGCCGTAGGGGCGGATTTTAAGTAACCACCATAGGCTGCTGGCAAGAGGCAAGCACAGCCAAGAAGCTTCTTCGCGCTAACCATAATAACCACTTCGCTAGTCTAGTAGTCGACCGGGGCTATTTTCATGCCAGCTCGTTTTTATAATGAGCGTAGCCAGTTAGTTATAGCACTGCAAGTGTACAGGAAGTTGCGGCCCGATGATATGCCGTGGCCGAGTTTCCGTTGATTCTCCACAATCACATACTTTGCCTTGTGGCTGAATGTTTTTGCGGGGTTGGTTAAGCTTCAAGCGCTAAAGAAGGCTGGGCTCTGGGTTGAATGTGGACCCTTACGTCGACCCGACACCGTATTACCTACCTGCGATTCACAAAAGAGGGGCATGGGCATTTTAGACCATGTTTATATGATATTCAAATATCATAAAAGCAATCCAGAGTCTGCTCGAAGAGGTATATCTCTCTCTAGATTCCCATGCCAAAGACCAACAAGTGGCAGAATTCGAAATGGTACTGTGAATGTGATATCACTTGCCTAGGAAGATAGTTACTCCGGACCATCCTGTGTTGTATAAAGACCGCCGATCACAATTGACCATGTCATTCCAGGGTGGTGATTGGCCAGTTGTCCGATAAATGCCCGTCTACAGTAGTACGGCTACAGAATAATACAAGAACCTGGAATTAATGTATAGAAACCTGCTTACATATTATAATGTCATCATTATGATCTTCCAAGGTTAGGTGCTTCGTATAATCCTCCTTATGGCAAGCTGCGGTGAGCCTTTTCTCTCTAGTGGATAATCTTATAACTACAAGGTGCGCAAGGATGGAGTAAGTCTGGAACCTCGGGACCCTCGCAGGAACATTATTCAACTGGTCAACAGTCCCACCTCGTCTAAGCTGTACAAAGCATACAAACCATAGCGGAACCATGCGCTTCAACCCCTTACATGATATCCAACATAGAAGGAGATAAGGCCTTTTTGCACTTTCGGGAAGCCGAGGACGATATAAGAGAGATCCATCTCGGTATTCCGTACTCCGTACAGTTCAAAAGCTATCCATAAACAGTTGATGCTGTGAGAAAATTGATTGGATCGAATATCAACTTTCTAAGTGGAGATGGATACTCAGCGCGGCCTAGCGGTGCCCACTCTATATTAAACCAGTTAACCAGGGCAAGAAATCCCTCATCTTCGATTTAGTGCACATGTCAATCAGCGCCATAAAGTCAGGCATCAAACCCGACTTGGCCGTAACCCCGTACCTGGTCAAAGGCGTACATATGTACTTCGCTTACGGTCCGAGGTCTGGGATCCATGTTAATATTAGAAGTCGTAACAATATCTGGAATGAGGGGTCACTGAGTAGATTTTCATGGTGGCCCCATGGTGGTCTTCTGTCTATTCTTTATAGTTCGGAGGCTGGGAGTATGTACGTAGACGTAGAGAGAAGTCGGGCCGAGAGGAAATGCACCCTTAATCTAGAAGAGCAGCGAGAATCGCCATATCCCTAAGGACGCCAATGCGAATAAGATCAAAATATGAGGCACAATACTAACGCAGGGGCCTTTGCGGGGTTTCTCACTGTTCCTTGCCCTCCCCCGCTTCCCCAGGTTTGCATTGTTTTTTTATTATAATGGGGGTTATGCCGAACTCCCCGGATGAAACCATCGCAACTTTTTTTAATATATATTTCCACCTGAACATGAAATTTCAACTCTCCCGCGTCTAGTCGAGACCTAGCAGCAATTTAACAATGTCCTCCAAGCAACCCAAGCCAAAACAAGCATGCGACAACTGTCGCCGCCGAAAAATAAAATGTTCCCGTGAACTACCATGCGACAAATGCAAACGGCTACTTCTGTCCTGCTCCTACAGCGACGTCCTCCGTCGGAAAGGCCCCAAATTCCGCACCCTATATCCCCTAGCCCCGATTCACCCTCTCTCATCCCGACAAGACCCTCCCGAACATATATATCCCGAGGATGCCGGCACCGGCGAGATTCCGGACTACCAATTCAACTCGCCCATCTCGCCAGAATTTGGAATCGCGGACTCACAGTTCGCAGGCCAGGACTTCTCGGACACTTTTTCTCATCTGCCGCCCCCGGAACTCGTCTCATCCCCGGGCTCCACGGACTCAACCGTCGAATCTGCAATTGGTTATGGTTACAACTATGCGAGGCCGGCCGATCGCCGTCTCTCGCCGCAGATCCTGCTCGTCCACGTCAATATCTACCTCAAGTATTTGTTCCCCATTATGCCCGTGATCCGCGGGGACCAGCTCCGGCTAGATTGCCATCGGCCCGGGCAGCTGTCGACGCAGCGGTATGCTCTTTTGGTGTCGCTGTGTGCGGCTACGCATATCCAGTTGAAATTGGACGGAGCAACACATATACCGGATCCTGCGCGTTTGCAGAGTTTTGGGGGTGGACACTCGTTGATGTCTGGGGAAGAACTTCTTGCGGAGGCTGTGCGGGCGCGGCGGGATTGTGATCTTCTGGAAGCACTTAGCACGGAGTCACTTCTGACTTCGTTCTTTTTGTTTGCCTCATACGGGAATCTTGATCGTCAGGATCAGGCTTGGTTCTTTTTGTGCCAGGCTACCTCGTTTGCATTTACGCTTGGGTTGCATCGCGAGTCGACATATGCAGAGTATGGGGTTGAAGAAGCGGAGGAAAGACGGCGTGTGTTCTGGCTTTTGTTTATCACAGAGAGGTAAGTGCGCTGCTTATGCAGGATCAATGAGGTTTGGACTGGGGCTGATTTGTAAACCGGCAGAGGTTATGCTCTCCAGCAAGCGAAACCAGTTATGCTGCGCAGCTCTATTCACAAGCCTCAGGTTCTTTGCTCGGAAGATCCTATCCTGGCGTACGGATTCATCAACCTGATCAACATCTTTGAGAATCTCACCCCGAACCTTTATGATTGGATCTCCGCTGGTGGCGGAGATGGAATTTTAGAGAGGCCGCCAATCTCCGCCATCCAATCCAGCCTGTGCAAGGCTATTTCCCTAGAGGGAGTCCTTGAGGTCCAACAGGTTGATATCTTGATCACGCAACAGTGGCTGCAGACGATGATGTGGAAGCTGTCTATGAGCCATGCCACACAGCCTGGCTCACACGACGACGCAGTTTTGCCATTTCACCTACCAGTAATGGTGAGTAAATCCATGATGAGCGTGATTGGTGCTGCATCGCAGGGAGCTGTTGATGCGCATGGGATTGGCATGGTAGGTCAATCCGAGATGGAGTCTTTTGTTGTATACTGATTTGGATGATATAGGAACAAAAGCTCTTTGATCTAGGATCCTCCGTCGCCGATGTGACGAGATCTCTTGGACCGAAAGCCGTCCATAGACTGGCTGAGTCGACTATTGACCCGAACGAGTTACTGTGGGGTATACTTCACACACTTTCTCAAATTCGTGGCTCGCCTTCGTATCTCTTCCCAATATTGCTGGATCGTTGCAGAACCGTGCTTGGACTCGACTGCAACATCACCACAGGGAATTTCCTTCCTATACTCGGCGCTGCTGTTCCAGATCAGTTGGCTTCATGGTCAGGCCAGAATGTCTGGGATTACGCTACTAGTGCCGAGGATATTGAGATCCATGATGTCGATGGCCAAGCCGAGTCAGCTCTTCCGCATGTGCCGCAGGAGCTAGGTTTTGAAGATTGTCTCTTGGGATGATGGTGTATTGAATTTGTGATGCGAATTATTTGTTTTGTGATACCAAGTGGAGTTTATTCAATAGATGGTTGTTTATGGAGGCATGACTGAATCATAGAACTATCAAATCCATGGTCATAAAGGAAGCTCAAACAGCAGCCAAATTGTCTTGGCATGTTTGTCTCGGCATTGAATCTCCAATTTGGTGATCAGCTTCATGGGCTTTCTCCAAGACTCTTCTCAATTGCTCAGGATATTCTTAGTGGTATGCTCTCTATTGTTTCTCATATCCCTCTAAAGTCCCCAGCTAACAATTCCCACAGATAATCCTCGGGTCTCCGCATCAATTAAAGCTCAGTAGAGCACCGGAGCCAATTCTCCATTGAACCTCAACCTCGCCCAAAACCAACACCATTACCTACAAAATGGCTTCCCTCCGACCCCGTACCCTCCCTCTCTCAGTCCGAGCCCTCCGCTCAACCATCCGCTCAACAAGGCCCTCACCAAACCACTTCCTATCCGCGCCCGCATCCGCCCCATCAACTCAAACACACCCAACCCGCGCGCACTCAACATCCTCCGTCTCCGCCGATGAACTCTCCCACTTCTCCTCCCTTGCCAGCTCCTGGTGGGACCCAATGGGCCCCTCCCGAATCCTGCACCTAATGAACCCCCTCCGCCACGAATTCATCGCCTCCTGCCTAGCAGAAGGAACCCCATCACCAGACCCAACCAGCTCCACCGCAACCCTCAACTACCTCGACGTAGGCTGCGGCGGCGGCATCTTCGCCGAGTCCCTCGCACGCACAATCCCACTCGACCCCACCGCCCCAGCCCCAACCCCAACCCTAGCCGCCTCAATGACCGCAATTGACCCCTCAACGGACCTAATCCAAATGGCGCGCGAGCACGCGCGCCTGGATCCGACCGTCGATTCGCACCTGCGCACAGGTCGCTTCAAGTACCTCAACACGACGCTGGAGGATGTACTCGCCGGCAACGCTAATACTTCAACTCCCGCTTCGACTCCACCAAATCCCAGCTCCGAAGTCAAACCCACCCCCCCACAATATGACATTGTGACCCTCTTCGAAGTGCTCGAACACATCGACCCGAAGACCTCAACACCGCTCAGCTTCCTGACAAACTGCCTGCGCGCGCTCAAGCCCGGCGGCTGGCTGATTGGGTCTACTATCTCGCGGACGCTGCCGTCGTTCATCTTGAACCAGGTTATTGCCGAAGCGCCGTGGCCGATTGGTGTTGTGCCGCGGGGGACGCATGAGTGGAGTAAGTTTGTTAACCCGGATGAGGTCAAGGGGTGGTTGCAGGAGGGGTTGATGAGGGCTGCTGATACGGGTGTTTCGAAGGGCGGAAGTGCGATTGCGGAGGGGATGAGGTGGAAGTGTGTGGGCGCTGTTTATGTTCCTGGGATTGGGTGGAAGATGGTGCCTGGTAGTGAGGATTGGGGGAATTATTTCTGGGCTGTCAGGAAGGGGGTTTAGATGATTTCGGGGGAGGTTATGTATCTATACTTGCATTTTTATGAGCTGTTTGTATATTATTTGATTGTTGTACTCATTGCAGATCGAATGTATTTCATAAATTCGTATTCGTTCACTCGTTTCTATAGCATACTCAGTACACCTCGCTAAATGCATATAACCAACCATGTCCCTATTAGGGACACAGCAAGAGAATACCCAAGGACACCGTTCACTCCCAATCCCGAGCAAAAGTAACACCACCCAACCGTACACCTATTAAAACAGCAAAAGCAAATGCAAAACTTCTCCAACGCCCAAACTACTTCTTCCCCTTCCCCTTCCTCTTCTTTTTCGAAGCAGCCGACGGCTCAGGCACAGAAACAGTCCCTTGCTCAACTTCCTCACCCTGGCCTTGCAACCTCTGCGTGCCGCTGATAAAGAACGTCAAATCGCGATTCTGCTCCGCAAGATCCGCGTTTGCAGCCTTAAGCCCATCAACCTCTTTAGCAAGACCCTCCAATTTTAAAAACATGTTCCTATTCATGGCCTTCTCCTCTTGGAATCCTTTCTCAAACGAGCGAGCCAGGGCCTCGAATTTCTCTGCTCTTTTCTCGGCGCGTGCGCGGTCGTGTTCAAGCGACGGCAGCGTCTCAATCGTCATGACATCATACTTGTCTTGTAATTCTTCCAGACGCGACGAGGCGTTAGAAGCATTGACTTCCGCCACGGCGGCGGCAGCACTAGCCTGCGATGCCTTGTCGACGGCGCGCTCGACGATTTCTTCGAAGTACGCGCGCTGGCTTTCAAGCTGGCTGGTGAGAAGGTGTGTGTATTCGATACTCATGTTTTCTAGTTTCTCGCGGGGGACGGCATCGCCCCAGTCCGGTGGGTCTAGGGCGCTGTAGTCTGCAGCGGGTAGCTCGAGAAGCTTGCCGTCTGTTTTGTTTTGGATGATGCGATGGACATATGCGTCGCCTACATAGTCCCATACGCGCTGGGAGGTGAGGTCCATGGAGAAGGCGTGGGCTGTTTCTTTCCAGTGGGAGAAGGCGTGTGCGTTGTCGTAGCGGCCGCAACCGATCGTGCCGCAGATGAGACAGGCCCAGAGATTTTCTTCTGAGTGACAGATGCTGCATTGTTGGGGTTCTTCGTCTGGTTTCAGGGATGCATTGCTTTTGCGGTAGTCATCTTGTGTGTATCGGCATACGGGACAGCCGCTGCCTTTCCATTTCTGGAGACAGGTGCAGTGGAAGACGTGTTGGCAGTTTATTGTGAGAAGCCCCGTAGTTTCGTCCATTCGCTCTAGGCAGACGGGGCAGGTTGGTAGTTCGATTAGTGCAGGGGTGGGTGGCGCGAGAGGCTTGCCGGTGAGAGTTGCTTGTCCGGTAGATGATACAGGTGCTCGAGAAGGGGTCGGGATGTTAGAGAGAGCGCCGTGCTCAGTAGATGGTGTTCCGGCATCCACGACTTGGATTTCGACCGTCTTCACAAACACCACATGACAGGTCTCAGGCTCAATGCTATTGAACACATGCCCATTCCATTCCTTCTGCCATTCCTTCGCCTTCCGCCCACTCCGAAACTTCATCAAGACCATATATCGATTCGCACGCGCAGTCCTAATCATCCGGAAATGACTAACATCATCCATGGTCTTCTGTCCCATAAAGCCCAAAAAGTCCGGCGGCGACAGATAAGATGGCACAGCGAGAATACATAGTGTCGTACAATCCTCGTCAGGACTCTGTGTAGTGGAGGAACTTGTTTCAGGAAAAGGATATTCTGCAAGACCCGCCGCTCCAGAATGTTGACCACCCGCCGTACCGGTCAGACCCTGCCTCAACGTTGCCTGCTGCTCTCCGGGTTGGCGGGCCGCAGCTGAGGAGCCCTTCAGATAGGCGGGGTACTCGTCATCGTTTCCGAGGTAAGGCGTCTCCTGCAAATCGCGGTACAGATGTACAATTCCCCAGACGCTGTCGGCAAGGTCGTAGTCGAGTGGTATATATCGGCCTTTTGTACGGAGGCCGCCTAGGATATCCGTGCCGATGCCTGCTGCGACGAGGTTCTCTGGTTCTGTGGTAGATACGGAGCCACGCTTCGAAGTGCGTTTCGGCGGGTGCTTTGGAGTGACCATGTCAATGCACTCGATCGAGACGGCACCGAAGCGCTTGTCGTCTTCAAGAGATTGGGTGCTGGTTGAGGAGCTAGTGGAGGGGTTGTTGGAGTCGCAAGAAGTGCTGGCGGAGGAAGGGCGGGGTGGGATAGTTGTGCGGGTGGAGAGGGTGGATATCTGGCGATGCGCCAAAGTGTGTTCTAATGATAATAGGGTTTGATTATCTCCCGCGGGTGATAGGCGGTTGGAGGTTGAAGACCGGCTCCGTTTTTGGAAAGGTTGGAGAGCTTCCCATGCGGATTGTAGCGCGAGAGAGGAGGAACCCTGAGAGCTTGGCGCGTCAGACGGGCTGTGAGAGAGGAGTTGCAAGCTAAGGTGATAAAAGTAAGCGGGCATCCCGGACGATAGCTCGCATCCTCTGGAGCTTGCGATTGTGGTTGGAACTCGTTGAAAGAGGAAGTCGTTATCACGATAAAGAATGCATGATTACTTAATATTTTACTGTCGCCCGCTTCTGCGCCATACGCCACAAGTGGTTCCTGGCACGCGAGTGGCAAAGAGGCAAAAAAGGGATTGAGAGTCTGAAGCGTGCTCTGGCTAGAACGCAAGGTGGCGAGAAATGGTGTGGTTGAATAGAATTGCCTATGAAGATATGTGTAATAATATGCTGGAAGGATATCTATTTCGGTAACATTTTATGTACCATTTCAATTCCAGTCAAGAATTAGTATTACCCTACAAGTGCAATACAATGAAATGGCATGCTAGTAAAGACTAGCAAATATTGCTAGAATGAATTGACGAGAACCATCTATCATATATCAATGATGATAAGGTGGGCAGAGTAAAAGAGAGAAGCCGTCCTCAGGAAACACATTGCAAGAAAAGAAGCCTCAGCCTCGAAAAACCGACTAAACGCCATGCAGGTCATGTAAAACCTATCGAAGTTGGGAAAAAGAATCGTAAGTCAATTACTGGCCACCACGCAGACGCAACACCAGGTGCAGAGTGCTCTCCTTCTGGATGTTGTAGTCCGAAAGAGTACGGCCATCCTCCAGCTGCTTACCAGCGAAGATAAGACGCTGCTGGTCAGGAGGAATACCCTCCTTGTCCTGAATCTTGCTCTTGACGTTGTCGATGGTGTCTGAGCTCTCCACCTCTAGTGTGATAGTCTTTCCGGTCAAAGTCTTGACAAAGATTTGCATACCACCACGTAGACGGAGGACAAGGTGGAGTGTGGATTCCTTCTGGATGTTGTAATCGGAAAGTGTGCGACCATCCTCAAGCTGCTTTCCGGCAAAGATGAGACGTTGCTGGTCAGGGGGAATGCCCTCCTTATCTTGAATCTTGGACTTCACATTATCGATAGTATCGGATGACTCGACTTCAAGTGTGATAGTCTTGCCGGTGAGTGTCTTGACGAAAATCTGCATACCACCACGGAGACGGAGGACCAAGTGTAGAGTGGACTCTTTCTGGATGTTATAGTCAGACAGGGTACGACCGTCCTCCAGCTGCTTGCCGGCAAAGATCAAACGCTGCTGGTCAGGGGGAATGCCCTCCTTGTCCTGGATCTTTGACTTCACGTTGTCGATGGTATCGCTAGACTCAACCTCAAGGGTAATGGTCTTTCCGGTCAGGGTCTTGACGACTGTGGCAAATGTTAGTCGAGAGAAAACGACGAGGACGTGAAGGCAGTCAACACATACAAATTTGCATACCGCCACGGAGGCGAAGGACCAGATGGAGAGTGGACTCCTTCTGGATGTTATAGTCGGACAGTGTGCGACCGTCCTCGAGCTGCTTTCCGGCAAAGATCAAACGCTGCTGGTCAGGGGGAATGCCCTCCTTGTCCTGGATCTTTGACTTGACATTGTCGATGGTATCGCTGGACTCAACCTCAAGGGTGATGGTCTTGCCAGTGACTATAGACAAAGGGTTGTTAGCAAGGATGTCCACGAGTTGAGTGCGAGAGGGCCAGTGGGATCCAGGCAGTTATCTCTCGATAAGGGGGTGTGAACGTACGAGTCTTGACGAAGATCTGCATGATGGGCTTATTATTTGGGACGTTGATTTGAAGAGAGGGTTGCTCAGGTGTGAAGCGAGCTGTGGGTAATGGTAGATTGAAAGAAGGGAAAAGGTCGAAGAGGGGAAACAGTGTCCTTATGTAGGGAACCTTGGAAGGATGAGGGGGCGAGGTGTCTTAGTCAGGCGCAGGTGACGCCCATGAAAATGCCAGAAGATGCCGGATGAGTCAAACGGGGTGCCTGAGCATAGACGCCACTTGCGAAACCAACCTATATTTGATTGGATATGACCTACAGATAGACTATTCTTAACATTATTAAAATTCTATAATCTTCCAAGGCTGTTGAGGTCTCTTATATCGCCTCATATCCCTCAAGTCCCCTTTGTCCTCCAGATCCCGAAGTGATGACGTTGAATTGCTTATCGCCAAAAGAGGGGGTGGACCTATTATGGAGACGCTAGTGATCAGAAAGTACAGGGTACGGGGCTGTACACGGCAACTGCTGAGGTCTCCCGGGTACCCAGTACCCGCTTCCAAACTTAGTATCAGAGCCGGATCCGGGTTCACCGTCTTGTTCGTCTTTTTATAGTTCGATCAACAAGAATCTGGAAAAAAATGAGAATTCAAGTTAAAAGACTATCAAGATATAGAGCATAAAGCCCGCAATGTATAAACAGAACGCTTCCGCAAATATCCTTCCGACGCCCCTTTCCCCGGCAAGAAGATATGCGTCAACCACCACAAGGAATGTGATAGTTCGGGGATAAGACAGCCTGTACACCCTGCTCAGGGCCCTGTTTTAACTTGAATTGTTGGCCTGTTCAGTGACGGGTGCCAGGTGCCACAAAAATGAAAACAAAACAATAGAAACAATTCGGCCGTACACGGTCATGACATTCGTGATCCTCGTTCATCGCTGGAGACAAAGCTATGCGAAGAAAGGTGTACACCAAAGACAAGAGCAAAAAAGTCAAACAAGAAAGTTCAAAAAAAAGACTTATGATCAAGGAAAAATAAAGAGGTAAATATGACAAAAGACAAAACCAAAAAAAAACAAGGCTCATAAAAGACTGGATCAAAAGAAAGTCGGTTCGCTCGGAACAACAATACAAATAAAGGGCAGAACCTCGCTGGGAGGGGGGCCCGTCGGATTCTTCGTTAAAGAGTGGAAGTGCGCTCGCATCGTTACAACATTGGTTCGCATGTTCTCAGTGTTAACATTGAGCATTCAAAACGCAATCGCAGAACAGTACTCGCTGCTGGAAACGGTAGTCGTGGTAAATATCATCATCATAATGCGTTTGCGCATCGGGGTCGTTGTCTAGTTGGCGCGAATGACCAGTCGCGACACAAATTTATTTGAAAGGCAGTCGAAGTCGCCACGGTTGAATTTCGTGCCAGTGCGGCTGCGAAGGTAGGTTTCTGCAAGACGGGGTTAGTTTCGGAGATCAAAGTCGAAGATCGGGGAGAGTGTGTGGCTTACCATGTTGCTCGACATGTTGGCGGACTTCAGTCATGGTGTTGCAAACATCTGGGTTGGAGTACAACAGCTGGTGGTGCTTTTGTGAATCCCACTCGGTGAACGGGGGCAGCTTCTGTGAGATGGCCTGGAACAGTCCGACGATGACGCCCACCGGGGTGGTTTCCATGTCGGTGCAGAACTTGTCGACGGCAGCCGCGTCTGGTGTGCGGTAGTGGCTGTCGAACTGCATCTCCTCCCACACGGCCAGCAGAATGGAGGCCAAGATGAAGATTGTCGGCCAGTTCTTCAGCTTGTCGCCGCTGTACACACTTGAATAGAGTGCTGACAGCTCCTCCAGCACATCCTTCTGCAGCTCACGCCACATGCTAGCCATGGCACATTTAATCTGGAAGTTGATCATGACGGGGGCCATGGTCTTGCCGGAGAACTTGGAGCCCATGCTCTCGATCTTGCCGAGGAAACCTTCCTCCTCACCAATGCCTTCGACCATGGTGACATGCATGGTAAGGTTGTAAGCAACCACCAGCTTGAGTGCCTTTCGGATAACGGGCAGCTTGGTGCGGAAGTAGAAGCGAAAGGCGGTCTTCAGCATTTGCGTCAGGAAAGGAGTGCCCTCGAAGTAATCATCGACGAACTTCTCAAATGTGCCATTGCCGTCGATGTGGCGGTCAAGGTAATCAGACAGCATCGCGTGCGAGATGCCCTCCATACCAGCGGATAATTTGGCAGTCTCGACCTCGTATTGTGTTGGATCCCGGTGCATCGACTCCATCCAGTCAACGGTGAAGCACTGCTCGTCCCGGACATACACCTCGCGAGCATTGATGGGCAGGATCTGTCCATAACCGTGGGTGATGAACAGAGTGCGTTCTTGGTCCGAGAATCCAGTAATGTTACCGACAGAGAAGCCCATAGTGATGTGGCGTTCGTAATCTGCCTTCCAGTCCTTCATGAAATACCCAATTTCCTTGATATCAATGCGAGTACATGGCACCTGCCATAACCGGGCGTGCGACGGTTGGCATCCTGCGCAAGGTTCGCCCTTGTCACACGTCTTCTTGAGGAACTTGCAGCGCAGACACGCGCGCAACTTCCGTATCTCGCTGGCCTGTCGGCGCTGGTCGGGCTTGAGGGGACCCTTTCTCTTGCCAACACGCTTTTCGGTCTCGGGCTTGCCAGTTTGGGACTGCTTGCGAACCTTGGTCTCGGCGGTTTTGGCGGCAATGGGGCTCTTGCGGGACGGTTTGCGGCTCGGCGGTGAGGCAGATACCTGCGAAGATCCAGCTGATCGGGCCGGGGAGGTCGATTTCTTGAGTGGGACCGGGATGGGTCGCACCATGCCGATGGGGCTGACTGCAGAAGGCGAGCGAGAGCCTGGCGAAGACTGGCCATGGAGGACGATTGCGCTGCTTGTCGGGGAATTACCGTGCATTCCAATGGAGCTGCTGTGACTGTGACTATGGCTGTGGTTGTAGCTGTGAGTATGGCTATGACTATGACTATGCCCGTGGCCATGGTGATTATAGCAAGGCAAATCCATATTGTTCTCAGAACCGGGAGAACCGATCGGATTTGTGATATCCACAAAGCTGCCGTATGATGTGGAGTAAGAAGACTCTGAAAGGCTGCGATCGTGCAGTGTCTGGGTAGGGTTGACGAAAACACCTTGTTCGGGAAAACCAAAATCGAGAGAGCGACGGTGGTCGATAGTACTCCAACCGTTGTCGCTGCTGGACAGAGAACGGACCTCCAGATAAGTATCGGTGGGCGAGCTGCTTTCAAGAACGGAGTGAGGGGCATAAACTTCCGGAAGTCCGTTGGGGAACGTCATCAAATCCGTCTGGAAGTCCTGATACGAGAAGGGGACCATGTCGACCGGCGCAGACATCGGCAGATAAGGACCATCGAGCAAGCCGGCGCTCATCTGGCCCTGTGCCGACATGAGATCGACGGGGGAAGACTGCATGGGCATGCCATAACTAGTGGAATACTGGGACGCCGAGGAGGGGTCTTCGGAGGAATATGAGAGGTGATGGTGGTGATGAGGGGTGTGTAGCGGTTGAAAGTGCCAATCCACCATGAGATTTGGGTCCTGGGTCACCGACTGTTCTAGAGGGTGACCGCCAGTTTGCAATGGGGAAAGACCATGGACCTCTTCTGACCGTTGGGGCGCTTGATCTAACGTTATAGGCCATGATTGATGCTGAAGATAGCCTCTGGAGTCGTACTCGACGCCAATCAGGCCATCATTGGATATATCGACATTGGACATGACTTTTTTGGAGTCAAAACGATCACGGGGAGGTGAAATAGAAGGGGAAGAAAAGGACCAGCCTGGATGAGAGGGCCTTCTTCAGAAGGGTGACACAACCATCAAGAAGAGGGAAAGTGAGGCGGTGGGGGGGACAAAGCAGCGGTGAGCGAAGAAATGCGCTAGGGGAGTTGCTTGTGGAGAGTGGAGGCTGGCTGACGGCGTGGAGGGAACGTTGATCCAGTATTGGACGATGAATTAATGCCACGGCGGACTAGCTTTGCAGTAGTGTCGAGGTGTTTTGCCTCGGGAATTGGGATAGGAAGGATTAGGAGATGGAGGGGGAGGGAGATTACGGCGTGCCCTTGTCTCTGTACGGAGTAGAGTGGTGGAGGGGACGGCAATCCGGAGTTCGCTGATCCCATGATGTTCTTTTCTTCTTTGGATTCTTTCCTAAACGGGCAAGTTGCCTTTTTTCTTTTCTTTTTTCTGTTTTGCTTCTTTTCTTTTCTCTTTTTATGTGCGGAGTACTATTAATTTCTAGATATCATAGGTATCTCATATATCATAAGTATAGCATACCTCTATTATGACGATTCCATAAATATTCCACATATATTCCATATTCCTAGGCCATAACTGAGATCCTATAATAGAAAATCATCCCATAAAACCGGACCCGGGAGATCAGTGGGGAGGGGAAAAACTACCTGCGTGGCAATAAGAATTTGGTGAGATCTGACAGTCGGATCGTGTTATCCCCAAATTAGTCCGTTGAGTCCTTCCTAATCAGATCCAATCAGCTCCCTGTCTGCCCACTCTCATGCCCGTGATTCGGTTCCCTCTACGGAGTATGCATGCCTCAAAGGTATTTAGTGGATTTCAGCTGCTGGCCATACACTAGGGTGTTTCCGAAAAGAAATAATAAATCCGAAATCGTAAAAATAGGGCTAAGATATTATTGCACGGACATAGTCCGAATCCTGTTGAGATGCCAAGTTAGCATCGTGAATCCTGACAAAACAAGAAACTGGACACGTCCAGTTTATTGAAATTCAGATCCTGGGGGGCACATGCAGCAAGGGTGTCATGTAAGCACATCCATCTACTTGCGCACCGGCGTGCATGGCGTCGGATCCATCACACATATATAGTAACTATTTTCTGTGACATGCAGGAGCTAGCACAAATAGCACAAATAGCACTATGTATTCCCTGTCCACGAGAATGCCTATCTCTAGTCAATAGGTCTCGAAAAGAAATACTCCGTACTCAAAAGTAAAACCAGACACGTTGTGACGATGTCGTCAAAGATAGGAATTCCGGTAGAGATCGAGTGGGGAAACAAAGAATCATTCTAGGCTTTTCTACATTCACATTCAATCTACAGAACAATAGCAAGAAAGTCCAGGTTACAATTCTTTGAGCGTCAAATCTCCAAAATACCTCAGATCCCATTTAATGCCGCTCATCGGGAGACCTCGAAAAGTTCGATTTCCGAACGCACACAAATCCAACACTAAGAACCGCCCAACTTCAACTTTATTAATTCCAACAGCCAGGACAACCATGACTACAGCCATGAATCCAGACTCCAACCATCCGCGCCCGGGGATCCCGGCCTTGTTCACGCAACCGCCACCCATCCGCGACCCGCTCATCACGGAGACCATCGATCTGCAGAACGCGACGCTGGAAAAATGCCTGCCATTCTTGAAAGGCATCCACAGCACTCAGAAGGACTTCAACGACCATGGCGTACCTGCCCTGCAACGGGATATCCACGCCAGCTTCCTCTACGATGCCCTCGAGGATTATCCCGAAGGGTTCGTCGCCATGGACGCCAGCCGCCCGTGGATTGTCTACTGGGCGTTGGCGGGGCTTGCTATGCTGGGCGAAGATACGACTCGATTTCGTGAACGGTGCGTGCATGCTTTACATCTTACTCTTTTGGGATTTATTTTCTTTATTTTCCCTTTCCCCGCCTCGTTCTCCCCCAATTTGCTTTTTTTCCTATCTGTCATATCATATCCACAGAATGGAGACAGAGCCCCTGGAGGGGATATACCCTGATTTCGGAAAAGATCGTCTCCTTTGTACAACGTGGAATATGGGAAGATGCCATTCTAAACTTCTATTTTAGTGTGATTACTACGTTTCGGCCGATGCAGAACCCCACAGGTGGGTTTGGCGGCGGCCACGGCCAGACATCCCATATAGCGGGCAGTTATGCCGCTGTTCTATCGCTGGCTATGGTTGGAGGCGAGGAGGCCTTTGGATTGGTGGATCGGCACGCGATGTGAGTTGTCACTGGCAGCCTTCTGCATGTACGTCTGGTGTGATCCTGCGTCTAACCCGGTTTCTGTCTTTTCCAGGTGGCAATGGATCGGCCGATTGAAGCAGCCTGATGGGGGATTCCGTGTTTGTGAGGGCGGGGAGGAAGATGTACGGTACGTGGAATTCCTGGGCCGAAGCCGCTCGTCAATCCCCTCCTTCAATGCAAGATCTGACATGTCATTAATGCAGTGGCGCATACTGCGCTATGACTCTTATCTCGCTACTTGACTTGCCCTTGACGCTTGCTCCGGGCTCTCAAGCGCGGGAGGCGGGCTTAGAGAGTTTGACGAGTGGTCTTCCTGAATATCTCTCACGATGTATGATTACTGGTAGTTCTGTCTTCAAGGTTTGAGATGTGCTGACGCTCGCGCTTAGGTCAAACATTTGAAGGGGGTATCTCCGGCAGCCCTGGGGCAGAGGCCCACGGAGCATACGCCTTTTGTGCTCTGGCATGTCTATCTATCTTGGGACCTCCCGAAGAGATCTTCCACAGGTGCGACGCTAGCCCGGAATACTCTATTTAAACTTTATATGCTAATGGTTCCTGCAGACACATGGACATTCCTATGCTAGTGTCGTGGTTGTCTGCCCGCCAGTCCGCCCCGGAAGGTGGTCTCTCCGGACGAACAAATAAGCTAGTGGACGGATGCTACAGTCATTGGGTTGGTGGATGCTGGCCATTGCTTGAATCTTCGCTGGAAGGGAAGCCGGATAACACTGAGCCACCGGCCACCAGCCTTTTCAGCCGCGAAGGTCTAACCCGATACATCCTTGGATGTTGTCAAGGGAGCGACGGTGGTCTTCGGGACAAACCGGGCAAGTATGTTCACTCCTATTTGTGACAGTTCTTTTTTTGCACATCTAGCTGACCAAGACCCAGGCATGTTGATTCATACCACACCTGTTACGTTTTGGCGGGATTGAGCGCGACTCAAAACCATCATTACCGGACAGACTCGAGTGTCGCAAGCAACTTCACATCGTCATTTTCCTGGAAGTCTTCACCAAGCCGCGATAAAGCTAATGTGTTTTCAAAGGGTGATCGGCTAAAGCCAATGCACCCTTTGTATGTGATCCCACACAAAGCCGCGGAGCAAATGCGGCTCTGGTCCGAGGCCCAACCCCTCACTGTCTAACCGGGAGGGGCGTGAACCGATGCCGGAAAGAAGACACATGACAAAGCGCCACGACGGATGAAGTTTCCTTGAAAAAGTCTCTCGAGAACATAGTAAATTGAAGCAGGATGTCATTGGTAACCAGGGACTCCGAGCGAGTAAGGTATGCATGATTAGTCTTGAGACTGCAAGCCCCGCGGTCATAGCAGCGGTCATGGCATGGGAGCCACGAGGATTATTTTTCGATCAAGCTAAGGATAATGCTGTGAATGAGACCGAGACGCAAGGGGTTGGGTTCGGGGCTCGAGTATGGCTCTACAACATGGTCATAGCACATAGCACCAATTCCTTCTATTTTTTGAACTGACTGTTTCACCGATTTCCGGAGTCTACAAAGTCCTTTTGCGCGATGAAGATTCCACCTTTTCCGCCGTTCTCACTGGTCCTACGACGTACATCATAATCTGTTTGCCACCAAAGCTGCACGAGGCCCAAGGGGGAAAAAGTAACCGTCAGTCCTAGAATATGCAGATAAATCCAACGCCTTTCCCCACTGCAATGCCAGCTCATCACTGCAGTCCGATGCCTGTCGAGTAACTGAACTTCCTCGGAGCGCATGCAATTTCCCATTCTCCGATATTGGGCGTACTTGATCCTTTCAACCTTGATTGACTCATAGCCCTTTCATAAACAATTGACCCCTCTTCAGGCGCGTTCTGCACAACATGAACGGCCCCTCCTTGGCGCCAATCAGCATTCGCAGACCTGCGCGTCTCGACATCCATAAGGGCGGCAAATTTAATTGCACTTTGATGCGTGGGGCGAAAATGAAACGAGGGGATCATTCCGAGAAAGCAATGGCAACGAAAAAAAATAACCCGTGTACAGAGCATAGTACCACTATAGCACCGCTATTCCATTCAAACCACTCCGGAATACTGGGATCCATGATCTTCAGGTATTACCTTCTGCAAACAGGTTGCAAGGTCTCCCTTAGTCCCCGAGAATGTTTATGCTTCGATCGGCGAATTGCAGGGGCATTACTACGCAGTTCACGGTGCCTTCCGGTGCCTCATAACTCGGTTCGATTCTACTGGCAAAGAGATATGCCAGCGCATCATAAACCCGCCGAGAAAACGACACGATAATACCTCGAATACCCGTTTGAGTTAATGCCTCTTTCTTTTGGGGGCCTTTTCCGAGGTTCGATGCGAGTCAGGTTTGCGTGCATCTATTGTCTTCTCTTCTCTTCTTGTACTTTTTGTACTTTGTTTACTCAGTGGAGGTAGTCTATACTCGGATTCCAGATCCATGTCCCAGGATCTATCTCAAGGTTTGATTGTTTACTTTTTTTGTTTGCTTACTGTCATTGTTTACTATATACTTGACTTTTTTTACCTTGAATCTTTCAACAGTGGGTATTAGAATTGACTTTGGTTTAATACCTTTTTCTTCTTCAGGTCATCTGCACTGATACCAAATGTCCCCCTTTTCTTGTTGCTTTGTGCGCTGTCGCAATTTCGACCGTCTCCCTTCTCTATTGGTACTGTGTACACCGGCCAGCTCGCGGTATGACTTGGGAATGGTATCAATGCAAAAGCCCCACCTGTTTTCCAGAAGTAATCATGTATATGGCAAGCAGCAGCTCTTTTCCCCTCATTAATTTGTTTTTCTTTTTTCCCTGTTGTACGGAGGAGGTGGGGAGGGCGACTCGGTTCTAGTATATGGGTGTGGAATATTTCCAATCTTTCTTCCAAAGTTTTGTTCTCAATCCCTCTATCGCTCTCACTCTCGCACTTTTCATTTCTATCTTCTTCGAATTAGACACCCTTGGCCTTTACTAGTCTTAAAATCGTGCTTTTTTTTTGGAACGCCAGCACATCCTCCCCGCTGCTAGCAAAGCAAACGCGGTCCCCCTACCCGTTGGGCATCACAATCCGCATATTCTCTGACCGCAAACCAGCTGGAAGCCAGCCTCAGCCCTAAACCCGTCTCGCTACAAGCCAGATCCGTCCAATGCGTCCCGAGTAACCGTCGCAATTCGTTGCAGTTGGACAAGTGGCAACGCCGTTGCCCGTCGCCATCTCCAGGTCTCCCGTCTTTCTCGCTTTCGGCTTGCATCCAGTCCAAATTGCAAGATGTACTATATCCTCTACCTGACCAGTATGCCGTCACTCTCCCCACTATCACCCTCCCCGAGCTATGTATGTCATACATCATTGCAAACACAAGCCAATATCCAACCCTGGATATCCTGCCTCCAAATATGTACCCAATGCAGAGAAGCAAACACCGAAGCACTATCCAACACAGCCCAACCAATCCCACCCACCCAAAACCAAACTAACCAAATCCAAACCGCAGGCCTCTGTCGTCGCCGCAACTGGCCCGAACCAATCTACAATGCCTATATAAGCAACAGCGGATACACATGCACTGTACGCGTCAACAATCGTGAGTACCGAACAGACAGTATCTGCAGCAATGAGACGCTGGCCCGGGAGAGCGCCGCTATGCGTGCCTACCTCATCTGCCGCAACTTTTCCGTCAACGACGGCATGTACCCGGCGGGCCATGAACATGGCGGAGCCATGCAGGGGCTGCGTGTTGCCATTGGTGCAGGACGGAAGATTGCTCGTGAGGATGATGTGCTTTCTTTAGGGTCTGTGAGTGGGAGTAGGAGTGACAGCTCGCAGGGCGGGAGTTGGAGTGGGGGGAGTAGTCCCGTTAGAGTTGGGATTGAGGAGGATGGTAGGGGCGGGTTTGGGGGAAAGGTTTGAGTGAGGGTTTGGGCGGAAGACCGTTACGATTTATGATATGGATGCTTATGACTACGCCTTTTTTGGTATGATTGTGGATTTATTAGAGGGAAAAGTCGCGGGATTTTGAATGACTCTGATTGTGGTTATTGTTCGCTATGGAGGTGGTATGTTCAATGATGTGCTTTATCTAGATGGTGGATTTATTTTTTGAAGAGTGTTTAGCGATGAATTATGCTATGAGGTTGTTTGATTTTGATACCTCTTGAATTTATACTCTAAAGGACTCGCCAATTTGTGAACAACTGGCGTACATTGTAGACCTCAGTGTTTAGTTAAATAGTTAGATACCTAAGCTTAGCTGCTATTAATACTCTACAGATCGCTAAGACAACGCCTGGATTGCCCTGAGTGACAGCTAAGATAGGAAAGCTCCTGGCAGACAAAGTCCGGTTTGCAAGATAGGTAATGACATGCGAGTCACGTGCGTAATACCAAGCCCCACGGGGCAACCTGGAGGCTGGAGCTTCCAAGGTTCCCGAGATGGGGCTACCGTCCACCCCCCCAGCTCATGCACAGCCACGATACTCAACAGTATTTCAAAAAGGAAGATACTTTCTCCATCCCGGTTAGATAAAATATTGCAACACGGCGGCAAAAGTGGGGTTTCATCGTCTACAGTCCCCCTCCCGAAAATGCAGTCGCTAGAATCACAGGAATCACCGTTCCGCGGCCTCGAGTGGGTGGAAGAGACATTTGGTTTTGAGCCCCGATGGACTGTTGAACCCGAACCTGGGGCTATAAAGCAGACAGTACAGGCCCTTCGGCCATCAAGCGCCGTTGAAGTGACTTTCCTCGCCCAGGGTGCATTCAACAAGATCTACAACGTCAGCATAGATAATGAACCATTTATCGTGCGAGTCTCATTGCCCGTCGATCCACGTTACAAATTAACGAGCGAAGTGGCAACAATGGATTGGGTGCGCCATGTCACAAGTCTCCCAATCCCTAGAATTATCGCCTACCAACCATCCCGAGACAACCCCATTGGATTTGAATGGATGCTCATGACCAAAATGCCTGGAAAACCCTTCGGTGAAATCTGGAAATCTCTTTCCTTTGCTATGAAAGCATGCCTGATCAGGGAGCTTGCGGCAAGCTCCGCTTGCCTTTTTCGAAATCAACTACGCGGAATCGGAAATATCTATGGGGAGACATCTGTCGTTGATAATTCAACACCGAGCGAGCAAATTCTGCCCCCCAGAGAGCTGATAAATACCAAAATATCAGTTCCGGCAAAGGGATCCGCCCCAAATGCTGGTAGCTCGCCTACGACAAAGAACTCGGGAGCTCTTCTATTCAATCCGCCAGACAACGGTTCTCCAGCAGGGGCTTTGCCTGATGTAGGCCGGATTGTTTCTATGCTATTTTTCTGGGATTCACATATCCACCAAGATATCCCCCGAGGCCCATTCCGCTCAAGTAAGGACTGGATCACAGCTCGCCTTTCATTCAATGAAAATGACTGTCATTCGGCTTTGAATAAGCACTCAGCCGGAGACCTTGATAGCGACGCTGAAGACGAAGTGGATGTTGCTAAGAGGACACTGAAAATAATCGATAACCTCAAATCCCTTCTTCCGCTGGTCTTCCCCACCGATGATGATGATGATTCAGAACCGTCAATGATATTCCATACCGACCTCTCACGACATAATATCCTCGTCGACGAAAACGGGAAGATGACCGGCGTCCTAGACTGGGAGTGCGTTTCAGCGGTGCCTTTATGGAAAGCCTGCTCCTATCCTTCATTTTTAGAGGAGCGACCACGACGCTTAGAGCCTAAAACCGAGGAATATGCACCCGAAGATACGGGAGAACCCAGTGAGGTGTACTTTGAGCACCTATGGCAGTATGAGGCCACTCTATTACGCGATATATTCATAGATGAGATGAGAAAACTAGACCCGGGATGGGTGGAAGTTTTTGATAAGAGCCAGGTTAAAAGAGACTTTGACTATGCGGCGGCTTATTGTGACAGTTGGATCTCCGCCCGTGATATCGAAGCATGGATCGGAGACATCACCACTGATATGAACAATGCGCGCAGCTTGGGCGATAGGATCTGGTCATAGCGTCAGTGCAACAATGTCGGCTTTTTGCAGTGTGATGGCTTCCCACTCTCAATAACCTCTGTGCCTGCCAATATCCATGATCAAAAACAATCCATGTCTTCTGAATACCTTGAATAAAATACTTAAAGATGCCAATGACCACTAACCTAGAATCCGTTCCTAGGTTGGTAAAGTCACCATGAGGCTCCCTATCTGGCCAATTTAGGACAAAGACCTTCAAGTGTTCTTGTGATTTACATACCACCAGAATTATTTATTGACAAAAAGATTAGACCGGTTTGCTGGGCTGAGGAAATGTTAGTACGTTTAGATATAGCCGAAATGAAGCTATCGTGTCCGCAAAGCTTTCGCCCTTGACCTCATGATCCAAATGACCATAATCGTATTATCTTAGTGGTTTCTATACCCGAGAATATCCTCATAAGTCGCTGGGCCTTTTTTTTTATGTGCTTCTAGAGAGAAATGATACCTATCGGACCTTCTAGTTCGAGTTGTATTTCTCATTGATTCATTCATGTATTTGATCTGGTTTCCTCTGCAATGCAACTAAAAAATATTCCCAGGCAAGATAGTTCCATTTAGCCAATTGCAATTCGCCAAGTCCAGTTCTCAATATATGCTCCATATACTGATAAGGGTAAATATGGGCGAGACTGCCACGGCCATTGAGTTTGTGTAGGTTGGTACTATTGCTATTATTATGCATGGGAGGGGACTGGCTGTCACATGCTTCTGAAAGCTGTATTTCTAAAAAGAGTGAGGTCAAGTAACTGCTTTAGACTGCCTAAAAAAGAACTTTCCAACCATGAAAGTAAATTAGTTCGCTATCACACTAGTCCATTTTGCCTTCCACTTAATAGATGTGCATAGGCGCTTCAGATGGCGCCACTCTAAGATTCCTGTAGGGGGTGTTTCAAATTTCTAAAATAATGTCCACCTAGAACATCTCGCGGGCCTTTTGCGAATAGATTGAATCCTGAATAACAATAACCTGCATCTCCATCACATCACATTGTTGCAGTCATTGAGCTAATTGGTTTCCAATAGTCGGTTTCCAATATTTGGGGCAGGCGCGTATGCTAATGCAGGTAATGCTCCACATTAGCACGTAATTTTAGCCCAGGGATGATCTTGCCAAAGATGAAAAAGATCTATATTGTATATTTAAACTATTATTACGCATGGTACCTATGCTCGTTTCAGCCTCTTTTTGAAAATCATGTTCAATTCGTGGCATAATGATAACTCTCAAATCTAACCGCCTGGGTCTACTCCGCAAGTTTTGGACCTACTACAGTGAGTTTAGAAATGTAGTCAGGGGTTCAGTTACCGCCGGCCCCATGAAGAGGTAAAGAGCCTAGGGTATTTGTGTATTTCAAAGTACTATAAGAATCTAGAAGGGACACGTCTTTCAAACCATCTCAATCAAGAAATCATTCACGCAAGACGGTTCTCAAAGTCATCACTTATTTCTTACTGCCCAACCGAGCCTAGTTCATTATTATAAACGTTTACAATGGGGAGAAAAAAGACCGCCCAAGAACTTGTGGACTTCATCAACAGCATCCCAGATTCCAAGATGTTGGGCTTCACCCACGGAGAACATGAGTTGTTCAAGGACGTGAACTTTAGGCTGGACATGCAAGGGGTCTGTCTACCGAGCTCTCTTTCTTCCTATCTTAACGCAGTACACTGAGTGGCATGGATTTCACTATTTTGAAATTCGCTAACATTCTACTTTTCCTAGCTGACAAGTGGCCGCCCCCAATACTACAACCTTCATGTCCAAATCAATAAAGGAACTACCATCACGTCGTTGAAGAGGGAGACGGGAAAGTCTGTGGCGAAAGCCCTTGTTCCCATGGATGGATCATGGAGTGCCCAGAAGATCCGGGGCAAACTTATAGCAGATAAGCTGCTGTGACAAAGTGTAATAGACCCTTCACGGTGTGCTTTTACATTATGATTTCACCTTCAACTAACCCGTTATATAAACAGAGCCCCTTTGCATACGTTACTGCACCGGGTCCTGGAGATATGGCACCGGATAGTAGCCTATCAGTTTTACAAAGCCTTTGGTGTCTGAAAGGAATACATTCTGCTACACAGGGGACTGCCTATATCATGAAGTATTCCTACAATATATTTTTACGATAGATGCCATGTTTTGAATTCCTGCAGATAAGGCATCGAGTTTTAGCTGATAGAGGGGGCTCAAGAAATCGCGCAAACACGCTATCTACTTTTTTACTTTCAGAATTGCTTTGTGTTTATTGAATTTATTGGCCTTCGCCTACTGTATGTCACTTTGCTAGATTTTTCCATAGTCTTATGGCTTCTAGCTTCTTCAACAATTCATCTCCATTCTATCTATTGAAGAGGGGTCCCTAGGATAGAGGCACCGACAGCCCTGTCTGCAAAACAGGTGTGAGAGCAGAGTCGTCATTGGGGGTGGTAGGGTGCTAGAGAGGGAGCAGCATGGGGTGACTACTGAGAATGGAAGTGGAAAGGTGTCTGCGTTGCTATCTAGTTATGCCTTGGGAGTACTTTTATGTCATAACTAGTTATAGCGGCTAAGTCATTCCTGATCTGGAAACCCCCACTGTACTATCTAACTATTCCTTGCCCTTCTCACATCACATCTGTGTAAACTTGTAGGGGCAAAGCAACGAAGGCCACGAATGGGACAAAGAGAGATTTGAGAGACTCATGAGCAAGCAAAACATCCAAATAAGCAATGTAACAGGCAGGTCCCTTCTTGATTCCACAAATATATGCTAATATAAAAGTGAGATTTAACATCCTGGCTATAATAGGTAGAAAAAGAAAGACATCGAAATATACATTGAAATCTTACTCAAACGTGCTAATTATTCAGATTGCTAGTTCGACCTTGTCAAGGACAGATGCAGCATAAACGGCCGACTCACCCTGAACTTCTTCATTCTTATTTTGAAATCAACATCCTTACATCGGCATTTCACATTGCTGTTTCGTTATCTCGTCGCTCTTGGGTTGAGTTAGTTTCAGGCGTCACCAACTAGAATAGTACACATAGGTTTCTACGGCTATACCGCTGTTCATCTTCATGTACCTGAGAGCTACCGAATGTTGGCAAAGCCCAAAGATAAGCAATTAATATCAGTCGGTGCGAGGCACCTTCTTCTCATTGGGAGAGCCTAGCAAGGACTGCTCGTGTCGAGAAAATTTGTTTATATCTTACCGCGCAAGCAATGCTACAACATACGCATACGTTCATTATCTCTACATATGAGCAACAGGAATAGACGGCTTTATGCGGTCTTCTGACGTATCTTCCAATAGTCTTCTCAATTTAATATGTCTTATTTTATACGATTGCTCACCTTAACGGCGTAAGATCTGTAACCTTTGACTATAGTATCATATACTCTAGTTAATGGTAGAAACACCCTCGCTATGTCCGTTATACTGCTGTATGTAGCCGAGGTCATCAAACATGGGGATTGACTAATTACAACATAGTGAACGTGATACTTGTCACATTGTAGAGAACTTGCTTTTGATGGCAAAATAGCAAAGTTCATGTTTTTAATGCGTCATTTCCCCCACAACCTCAAGAAAGCAGCCTACAATGTACCCCGACCCGAATTACCCTGTTATTGTACAATATAGAACAGCTTGGTAAGTGGAGAGTTTTTTCCATCATCGTACATGTAAGAACAAGTAATCCTCCCTTTCATTACATCACAAAGCTGGTTACTCGTTGCTCGGTTCTTCCAAGGTTACTTGTTCAATGACGTCAGAACCTGAGCCCTGCTACCAACCGACCTGCCATTTACTATAAGAAGCCTCTTCTGCTTCTACCATCTTCTTCTTCTATCATACAATTTCACAAGCCTTCAAACCAACAAATATTTGAAACATCCAAACTCAATCAAACAACCTCAATATCAACATTATGGAGACCGCCAAGGTTCGCCTCACCCAGTCTTTGGATAACATGTCTTCAAATGCTAATATCTGATATCAGAACGCCGTTAACTACGTTGCTGAGACCGTCCAGGGCGGTGGTGCTGAGGCATCGAAGGAGACCAACAAGCATGTCGCCAAGGACTCTGATGCCAGCTTAGGCAGCCGAGCCACCGCCGCAAAGGATGCCGTTGTCGACAAGAAGGACGAGGCCTCGCACAACACTAAGGCTGATGTCCACAAGGGTAAGACTGAAAACAAAACAAGGTTGCGACATGGAATCAATGCTAATGATATACAGAGGCCGCTAAGCACTAAACGGGTGCTCATGCAATTGGACTGCTGTGGGGATAATGAGATACCTTTTTTTGCTAGTACCCAGGTGGTAGAAAGACAAAACTCTACCTGTACAATAGTTTCAGATGACCTTTATGCCAATGAATACTTTACTACCATTATCAATATCTTTAGTCTTGCGCGCAATGTGAATACAAGCTTGCTCTTGCTTGTCTTCATATCCCTATTATCTCTGTAATTGAAAATTTACTTTTCTAACAATAATCACTCCAATTAATTGAAGACCATGTCTAAATAGAGTTAGCGTTAAGATGTGAAGCCATCATTGAATCCAGAGTGCAACGTTGGAAAGTTGGAAATCCGGGGATTGACTTCAGATCAGACCCATAATGACGTCATTGTTCCAAGATCATCTGAGCAAAGGCCCAAAGCTTAAAATGTAGGAAAGCCGTGGCTAAATACTGAAAAACATTTACCTTTGTCTAGTAAGCTGGAGTCTCGCCCTTCTACCGCTTGTGGGATTTGGACCCTGTTTTCTCAATCATGATTCATGAGCAGATTGAATCTGGAGTACCTTGGGGGATCAATCTACAATCGACCAAGACATTACGCCGATATCCTTGTTTGAAGCAGAGGCGAGGTCCACTAGTGTGTCAATCCCCACACGCTCGTAGATGCTGATGTAATCATCATTCACGAAGCGCAAATAGCGTGTGCGGGCGATATCTCCTGATCTAGCCTTATCAAGTCTTAGAGTGGTCGTCGTTGTGACCCATATACTGCTCTCTTTTTCTCCTACAGCAGGCCTACTAGAGGAGGCAATATACATAGCACCCGCATTAGGAAGCCCATTACCCTCCTCGGTGCCTAGCGACGCATGTCCATTACGCTATCCATCATTCAAACCTCTCCTGATATAGCGCTTTTACAGCCGTGGGGACTTTGATAATGCCATTTCTCGCTACTCCCGGGAAGACCAGCATCTGGCTATCTCTTTGAGCTCACAAATAGACATCCCGGGCCCGTTGACGTTGACGGAGTTCTGAAGAAGTTAGAGAAGGCATGTTTTCCAACCGCTCTGCCCGCATCGTCTAGGTAACAATTTCAATTTTAGCAGTTTAGGAACGCGGAAAAGCCTTGAGCCAAAAAGGCATATTGATAATTTTTAGTTAATAAGGATGATGTCTATACCCTTAGATCAAGTTGACTCCTGCAATATTGAACCAGAGGTAAGAACCATGTCCGCACTGTTAGACGCCCCCGGACCCTAGATGGGTCCTAAATACGACAGACCCTTGCATTTCTTTTGAGCATCAGGCTAGCTATAAATCCAATTCATCTTTTCGTTTCCCACCCAATTTAAGCATATTTATGTGCTGCGGGTGAGCTGTCTAATCGGCTCTCTTCTTGCCGCGCATGATCTTGCGTCTTTGGGCAATCATGTGCGTGTACAGAACATAAGATCCTGGTAGGTAGTCAGTAACCAATACTATGGACCCTGTAAGAAGAACATACCAGGCACGTAGATCACGAGAATCGCAATCAAAAGATAACGGAAAAGCGGGCTGAGCTCGCCAGCAGGTCCAAGGGCTTGGAATATAAGCGCGCACTCGCTTGAGATACCAATGGGGTAGAAGATGTAGAAGGTGTTGTACCTAGTCAAATGCGAAACTCATTAGCCCATGGAACACGACAGAAGAAAAAAGAAGACTTACCGCAACCAAGTCCACCAGCTCGGGACCGAGTTCCCAGACAAGGTAATAGCAAAGAACCCATAACGGATAACCTCCGTGATGCCCCAAGCAAAGACACACCCGAGATACGCATAATCACCCAGCTGGGTGGTCCGCCCAGCACCAACGATATCCCCACCGAACTGTGCCATAATTCCCCAAACCAGTAGCAGCCGACTAGAAACCTGCATGGCAGTCGTCATGAACGGCGCGCGCACGAGGCCTACCACGCTGTGCAGCACTTCCAACAGGGCGAGGGACTGGGTGGCCAGCAGTAGTGGGGAGAAAGTCTGACCGAAGACCTTCGGGAGAGTTTTGGCCGAGACATTGGCTGGGAGGAGGGATGCCGTGTAGACGACACAGCTACCCCAGGCGAGGAGGTTGACGGTGTTGTAGGTGAAGAGGTAGGCTTTTGTTAGACCCGAAGAGCCGGAGCGCGGGGCGCTTGAAGTTTTGACTGATGCCATTTTTGACCGGAATTGCTTCTCTTTGGGGTCGTGGGGGCAGGGCAATTGGTGATGATGTTACCCAGAATGGAGGAACTGGAAATGTTGATTTGGTTGGGAAGCTCGCGATCAACAAAATAAAGGGACCGAGGTCACGGTTCCTTACGTAAGCATTCTGGAAGACCTCGACGAAGCTGTGGAGAAAAGGCGTTTGAGATCTGGGGTATAGCGCATCTTTATTTTGTTGTCTGTTGAGTTTTATTGGGATGGTTATGCAATATCGATTAAAAAAGACCAGTATCACTAGAATTCTGATATTCAGTCGGGTGCTACATGCTACTAGGCAATCGCCCTTTTAAGAAGTCAGCCATGCAGTCTCTCTTCTTCTCACCCTGAATATGATAGCTATGCAAACAACTTCAGAAGCTCTCTGCCGAAGAATAGTTTTTATGTGATTCGCTCACAATCGAGTGCATGTGTCGGCAGCTAAGTGGATGACTTCCCATAGAGGCGCTCTTGGCTGCCAGGGTTACAGAGACTAGCTGATCCGGACTACTGCAATAGGACGCTATCTTGTATGCAGCAAACATGCATAGTCTGGACTCTGGCCCATTTTGGACTCGACTTGTTTTTGGTGGGATATTGGAGGGATTGGTGTTTGATTTGAAAGCTAGGATTTGAGATGAGATCGGCTAATTTGATAGTTCCTGAGAGAGAGAAGTACATTGAATTCATAGTCCACTTGTCTCCGATATTATCTACCAAAAACTGATTCACATATCGACGAAATCGACGAAATTGGCATTTCTCATTACTCCGTACTCCGTACTTCTACCATGCATTGGTCATAGGCGTATGCGGGCTGACATCGTAGGCGAAGCCATGATGTTATCCTGCATATGTTGTAAATCTTCAGCCTTTTGAGGTCTGTCAGGCGTTGAGGGATTATGAGTATATAATCCTTTAGAATTTGTGCATGACAGACCACAATGGAATTATTAGGGTACACAAGTAGAGAGTAAATGAGTAAACAGTCCGTTGTATGTAAGTGAGTAATTCGATGTAATTATGAGGTGACTGACGTCATTGCCGTAATTTGCCGTTACGCTAAAATGACATCAGCGGCTGGGAAGCTGAACTACGGCCCCATCCTATGATGTCATGGCTACTGTCGCATCTTCTCATTGGTGGGTTATGATGGAGAGCCAACCACTTCGCGCAAAATCCAGGGGAAAGGAGATGCGCAAATGCCCCCATTCTTCTATATAAGCAAAGATGGCTGCGGTTCGCGAGTGTGGACATGTCCAATTTCAATTGACATATCACTAACCTATTTTCCAGTCTTTTCATATGACATTCGAACCGTGAAGCCAGACCAAAAAAGAGGAATGGAAGAAAACACCAAAACTCCCATCGTCATCGGTGACAGCATAATCCTTCGCATCTGACTTAGCCCAACAATATTACCCCCCTTTCTTCCCCGCTGAGAGGGAAAAAGGAGCCGTGGAGCCGTGAGCTCACACATTGGTCGTTCAGCTCACTATCACCGAGTACGTCAGATGAGAAATCCATGCAACATACAATCCAAACGAGCGCGTTCCGAGTTATTAGACACGGTCCTCGAGGGTCCAGACCAACTGGATCAAGTTCTATCTGCACACTTGGCCCCAAGTCGATCGTGCTTCCCTGCTGTACGAGCCTGAATTATTACGTCTTACCCTAATTTTTTTTTTTTTCTTCGCGGCTAAAAGTCTACTCAGACTCAGACACTAGAAGTTTATTCTTGTTTTTCTTTTCAAGCTGTACTAACCGAGCCATGAAAAGTTCTGCCGATATTCTTCCAAAGAACCCCAAGGACAAAAAGGAAAAGGCTATGGCTATTTGCAGTTCCCTAAATGGTTCCGCGTGTGGCCATCCGTACTTCGCATGGGGAAAGAGCAAATGACGTTCCCTGCTGGGATCGGCGGCCCGATGATGTCGTCCTATGGCCACTGCTGCCAGATATATAGGAGCTGTCTTTTGCGGTCAGAAAACGCGTCGTGTTTTTGGTGTGTTTTTTTACCCTATCAGTCTCCACTAAACCTACTTCCAGCAGGTCATCGAGGGGCTGTCCCGTTCATTCCGAGCATTTTCTTTCCACTCCGTAGTGGACCCATCAATTCAAGAGCTGATGCCACGGTTGTACTCCACTGGGCTCACGAACCAAGCTCGGAGAAATTTGATCCAGAGATAACAGTTCCTCGAGAGATCGTGGCTGAAAATCTAAGATGATAATGTGCTGTCTAGCCGCAAGAAGCAATAAAGTCTGCTCCATACGGAGTAGAAGAATGTACTAGTCTATGTCGGACGTCTAGAATTGTTTTTTTTTTTTTTGGATGACTTCGGCTACAGCTACAGAAGAAGAATAAAATCGCATTTATAGAAACTATTGTATAGCTAGCACCCCGTAACTAATAATACAACATACTAGTTCTAGTGCAATCGTGGGTTTGGGGTTGTTCCACGCCAAGACGATGCGAGGAATGTAAAATAATACCAATATTACTTATCTATATATTCGCGATACAATATTCTAGTGAATTTGAAATGAGTAGCTGACAATTTATTTATTTTTGAGTAATTTTTGCCGATTTTCTCTGATATATTTCCCCTCTCTAAATCACTAAATTCCCAATATCCTTGAATTGGGCCCTTCGGATTGGAGTTGACCTACCCACCTCCTTCCTCTCCCACCTTCTGTCTCTCCGCCCCTCCGATTTCCTCTCTTCCCCCTCCCCCTCGCCTGCTTCAACATCCTCCTTTCTGTTTCTCTGCGTCTTTAATTCCGTTTCGACCTTTTTCCTTTTCTTTCTGCGGTTTATTGTGTCCCATTGTCGCACTTTCGGCACTTGATCATCTCCAGAAGCGAGAAAAAAATATCATAGGTAGGATGCACTTCCTTCTTTGCCCCTCTCTCTTTGAATATCTTCTTTTTTCCCTGTCAATTCCCTAGTGGAGACACTGGCTTTGGGGCTGCAGCACTTGCGATGCGCTAGTGCTGGCTTACCAGGCTGTGACTGGACCACCGTTCGAGTATATGCGCTGAATGGCCCTGGTTATTCCCTCTACCAATATACCACATCCACACCTGGTTCTTTTAATTCTTTCCCCCCTCCAGCCCCTGCTTGTTGTGGTATCGCATTACCCCTCTATCCCCCTCAACTCCCGTTGTCTTGGTTTTTCCCACCTCTCACTACCCACTCAATCTGGTGGCTGTATTTCGCTTCGGTTCCAGCCTCTTCTCTTTGGCCATAGACTCCGGAGCCGCTCACCATTGTCCCCATTAACAGCTCGCTTACCACATTGGTTCCTGAATCCGTAACATCTACTGGCTTTGTAAGACGACATATGCGTTGTGCGCAGATCTTACGGTTCTGACGTCCTTGTTGTATCATCATTGATCTTTACATTCGAGACCTCACGTTCATCGATTTGCCACATCGTTCTATCCATCCAAGACCTGGATCACTTGGAATCTGAGCTGACTGGGATTTGCAAATAGAGCCCCTAGTATTCCATCTGGATTGGCTAGACATCAGACCGGATACATCAACCTCATTATTATCCACCGGACCACCGCATTACACGAGGTTGCTCTCACCTACTCCTTAAAGCATCCCCTCCACACACACATACACAACCATGGCACCAGCCGATACCAAAAAGGCCGAGCAGGTAAGTACTTCCTACCCCGTGGTCAAAGGTTCCTCGGCCTGATATCCGAGTCTAGGCCAAGCAGGGCCCTCCCAAGCTCTCCGATTATAAGGAGATACTCGACGAGAGCACATTCGAACAGATCCTTGAGATGGACGATGACGAGGAGGATCGCGACTTCAGCAAGAGCATTGTGTACGGTTTCTTTGACCAGGCTGAGAACACCTACAAGAAAATTCAGAAGGAAATGTGAGTGATGTCCTAGCTAGTGAAATTTTGGAGATTGTCCTTTTACTAATCATCCAGCATCAGAGATGACAAGAACCTCGATGAACTCTCTGCCCTCGGGCACTTCCTTAAGGGCTCATCTGCCACACTGGGCCTTGTCAAGGTGAAGGACGGCTGCGAGAAGATCCAAAACTTCGGCGCCCACAAGGACGAGACAGGTCTCATTGACGAGCCGGACACGGAGGTTTGCCTCAAGGCCATCAAAAATACTCTGGATGAAGTCAAGGTCGAATATCGAAAGGTCGAGAAACTCCTCCGCCGATACTACGGCGAGGAGGTAAAGGACGAAGAAGAGAAGCCGGAAGAGGAGGAGGTCAAGGAAGAGAAGAAGAAGGTGGCAGAAGAGCCCGAGGAAGAGCCTAAGGAGGAGGCCAAAGCCACTGAGACCAAGAAGACTGAGGAGCCCACCAAGGAAGCCTCTTCTTAAATAAGCTGTCATGCGGACTGGTTGATATCCCTCCCTCCCCTTTTTCTTTTTAGCGACGGATGGAGCATGGCAACTGGCTTTTTCATTTTCATTTCCCCCTTTGCCCTTTTTCACTCCCTTTCTCTTCTCTCCCATCCTGGCTTCTCTGGCTTTCTTGACACGTACATAACAATGTCCCCCACCATATCTCCCTTTCCCGTCCGGACGCTGGTGTGCAAACGGATGTTCCTGATCTGTCACGTAGGTGCAGGCGCGAGAATCGTGACGATTCCGAGGGGTCTTGAACAATAGCGACATACGGAAACCCGAGTGCCTCTATCAGGCCCTGTTTTCTTGCCTTTAACCTGCGCTTTTTGTTTCGTGGGTCATCGTATAGTAGGCATTAGGTACATGTAACGCAAGAAGTAGCCTGTAACATGTCTAGACTTTAGAATGTAGCTAAAGTAATCAACAAGAGTACCCGAATATTGGGTTTGAGTAAGCTTAAGTACTGCCCGACACTTGCCCTGATTATTAGATAACTTTCAAGCATCCGAGCCGAGAAGTGGCGCCCCGAAAAGCTTTTTGACCGTCAGCCACTTCCAAGAATGCTCTAGGGAACCTTGGAAGCTTGACTCAACTTTGGAACTTTATACTATGCCTATGTGGGACGGTCGATGTGGGACGGTCGATCTAACCTTGGATATATAGTTATTTGATCGCCGCTTGGTTGGTCGGTTGTGTTGATCAGCTAGATCTGTCATTGCATTGGAGGGTACGTCTAGATCTCTGTGTGTGCGTGCTTTACGAGCCCTAATTCCTGAATGCTGCACTTTACGAGTTTAGTGCGCTCAAAACAACATATCCCTCCACTGTCTACTCTAACTGACAGCAAGTCCTGCAGTATTTGCGCTTGCATCCGGCCTTGTGTGCCCAATAGTGAATGATGAACGAGTACCGGGAATCTGCAGTATGGAGATGGTGCGACGCCAGCGACAATGACACACTCACATATTGCATAGGCTGAGATCTAGCCTATTTGGCTAGCTATAACCATTGAGTTCTATGAAGTGCCCCTAAAGAATCCTCTTCCTATCTTGAGTTCCGATTCAGTGCGTCAGATACAGACACTCCTCATATATTGTTGGCCTTGCTGTCTCAACAATCCATTCTAGTATGAAATGCAGCAGCGGGATTATGCAGTGTCATTCAAATCGTGGTGCGCAAATGATCCGCCTTGGCTGGCCCTTGTCTTGTCCACAATGTGACATCCGTTCTTTAATCGCAGCGCCAACGGGGACAAGTTCAATCGATCCGGAGATAGGACGGTAAGAGCCCCTGTCAAGAATTACGTGTCGTTTTCCTTTTTATGATATATCTATTTGCCCAAACCATTTGGTAGTTACTAAAATAGCCTTTGGCACGTATAGCAGCCGCAAGGGTATTTTCAACCCTATTATGTTATAAGGGCACACGATCATTCAAAATTCGAGCATCAATCGGCCATACTTGTTGCCACGTTGCTCGTCCCATTCAACTGACTATCCTCCCATTGCATATGCACCCATCACAAACGAGAAAATTGAAATCGAGTCAAGCTCTTCCACCCGGATCTGCCTTCCCCGCAACGGGAAGCAAGTACGCGCTCACCATTGAAGTCAAAAAGCTGACACAGATGCAAGCAACGGCACCGATTTGGGTTCCGGTCGGTCAAATATCAGCTCAATTGCATCCTGGCCTAGTGTCCGGCCTGGAAGGTTACACGACATAGCCAACGAGTTTCTTTTCTGCAGCATGCCTGCAAGCCGTCGGGTAGGCACAGGTGCCTTATTTGGCTCTATTCCCCGCTAGCAAGGATGGCTTGAATGTTTCGCTTGTTGCTGGGTTGGGTTCCAGTGGACCTCGATGTCGAGCTTGGGATGAACGGTTCTCCACACCTCAGTGGGGAATGTGGCTTTCTAGACTTGGTTCCGTTAAGCTAGAGCCGTGTCGATTTTCTTCATGGCGGATGCGTACAGGTTCGTGGCAGGGATATTAGAATACAGGGATACTAAGTTTCTTTCCCTACCGGATACCTATGTTGTACCTCTTGTCGGACGGAGATCTCGATCTAGATCCGCGACTGTGTACTCCGGGTAATATACAACGTAAAAGCTGACCTCGAAAACACACCCCTTTCTCATGCATGCAAGCATACATATATATTCTACCCGTCTGTCTCGGATAGCAGACTTGAGCTCAGCAAGTCGCCCTCGATATACCAGAACGCACTTAGCCTGCTATCTTCGCGCTCAGTCCTCGACCCCAAGTTCTGGGTCCACGATGACTCTGTTTGCGATTGTCTCGCTTTATTCGACTCGTCACCCTGGCCTGAGATGAGTCCTTTTCGAGGGGGCGAGCGAGAGATAGAGAACAGGAATAGGAGGATATATACTACCTCCTTTTTCTCTTTTGCTTTCCTCTTTTTCGCGCTTCTGTAAAATACGCACGCTCTCGTTTGCCACATCGGAACTTCATGCCCCCAGCCTACTTCCCCCGGAGAAAGACTGTATCACAGCGCCGTACCATATCTTCTAGATTCCACCAGCCCCCAACGGTTTACTTACCCTGCACACGCTAAACCACTAAAAGCGAACACTGCAGCCCGGGTCACAGTTTGACGTAGCCCGGGGTTGTATATCAACGGGTGTGCAGTGATCATCTACACGTACATTGTACATGTACCACCCGACTCCACAAATCATGCAAGAAGTACACTAGCGTCTAATCCCGGAGAGAGAATTGTAAGCGCTGAGACAGACCAGAAAGCCCCAGAATAGCCAAATGAAAATACCTCAACTGCAACACTGGACTCGTACCCTCCATCTTTACGCTTCCCTTTGTCGGTCATGCATGCACGCCAAAAGAAACAATAATCATCTTTATTTGTTGCGAGGTAAGAGGTGGCTTAGCCTCGAAGTATATCCCATAGATCCCTGTCCTCTGCTCCGGATCCTTGTGCTTGTGTTATATCGATCTGATTGCGGGTTTGCCCTTTGCCCCATTTCCCCGCTTGGTCTGATTGCGTCTGTTTCTGTTTCTTGTCTCGTGCTGTCCGTTCGCTCTGCTTCATTCCGGTATAGGCGTCTCTGATTGTATCGGCACGGCGGCCTCGGCGCCGTGCAATTTGCAGTCAACGGCCGTTAGATGGGTTTCCGCGCCGTTAGGATCTGTTTTAGAATTGGAAGCGGACAGATATATAAAGCCTGGCTTTGGCGCGGGCTGTGAGTTGGCTTCTCCAGTTCATATTCACATTGATCTTTGATTTCTTTCTTGGATCTCGATCAAGCTCGGCTCTACTATATACCAACACCCCATTCAATACCCAACCGAGGAATCCAATCACAATGCCCGTCGGACCTCGAGTATCGAAAGAAGAATTCATGCTCGCATTGGGTCTAAACCCGCAAGATCCGCACCATGAGCAATACTACCGTGCCATGCGAGTAAGTATACCAGCCGGACCTTCAGCACTTCTTCCCTCCTCCCTCTCCAATGGTCATATATCACCCACACACACCATACATTTCAAGTACCCCCTAACGAATATTATCTAGGACGAAGCAATCATTGTCTACAACCGCATGAACCTCGACACCTCCAACCTCCTTGACAACGTGCGCGCCGACCCAGCAACCCGTCCCCCCTTTTTCTGGCACCACATCCGCCCGGACTGCCAGCGCTGGGCAATCCTCGAGATCTGTCACAATGCGCCGCCGCTCGTGCGCGGCCTATTCGAGCGCGGGGCGACGAATGGCGAATACGGCCCGAACTGGGTTGCTGGCTGGTTGTTGTATAGTGTTTTTCGGTCGCGTGATGTGAGGAATAATCGGAATAGGAGGAAGGGGGAGGTTGGGGGATCTGCGGGTTCGGAATCTGGTATGTATTGTGTATCTTTCTTTTCCTTTTTGGATGCTTAATTGGTGAAGGCGATGCTGATGGATGTTGATATATAGACAGACGTACGAGGCAGGAAGAGCCGAAGAAGTACTACGATCCTGTGCGGAATGGAACGCTGTGATAGTTGGGATTGAGTGTTTCTGGAAGAAATTGTTCTTGTTTTTCGCTTCATATGCATGCTGTTTAATGTCTATTTTGTATAATTGAAGTATGAAACTTGGAGACCATCGGATGACCAGAAATGGAATGGAATGCAATACATACACTTAGGGAGAATGAACAGATCAAAATAATCAATCGTCATCCTCACTCTTCTTATCATCCTCGCTTTTCTTCTTCTCATGTTTCTGCCGACGGTCTGACTTCAAGACTTCCGTTACACGCTGATCCTGCTGCTCATCAGCCCGCTCATCCCACTCAGCATCATACTCAGCCGCGATATTCTTAATCTCCCCACGAAGCGAGTTCCCCTCATCAACCAATGACTCCCAAAGTTGCAAATCAACATGATGCAACAAATAAAGTTTCTTCTGCCTCGCACTGATGGTAAATTCCAGGGCAGACTTGTAAGAAATCTCCCGATTGTGATACAAAAACCACAAATAACCCCCCATCAACGTAGACAAACTGACCAAGTAAGTAACAGGCTCCATAGTATCCCACCCAAGATCAGTCTCGAATGTCAACCTATAGACCGTAAACCACCAAACGGCAAGAATTCCAAATCCGCTCATCGCAACCCGCTGCGCACCCCGATGTGCCAGCGCATCACACTTCTCCTTCACATCCGCCATGGTTTGAATGCGCCGTGAGAGCTTGCGCAGCCGCATGCGCAGGTAATATGTGCGCTCGTTGAACGACGGCACCGTGACGCGGATCTGACTTAGGCCGGACGGCGCGTCTTCAATCGTCACGATGAACTCGCCCGCGTGCGCAGCATCCCGGATGAAGTCGCCAATCTCTGTGGCCTGTGACCAGCGCACGAAGCGCTCAGGTTTGCCGTTTGTTTTGCGTGGATAGCTGTAGGTCTCGACGTCTTCTTCCCGGGACCGGCGGTACTGGGTGGATGATCGGCCGTTCAGGGGTTTGCTACCGCCAAGGCCGTCATTGCCGGGGATGAAGCCTATTTCTTTTTTTTGGTTTGCGTCTAGGTCGATCTCGTTCTCAATCCGCTTTTTGGGTTTGATAGCGTTGTCGTCGTGCTGGATTGCGATGAAGGATACGGCTGGTGGGCGGAGCTTGTCGGTGTTGCCTTTGATTGGAGGTAGCTCTGACTGAATCAAGCTTTCTAAGTATGATAGCGGCTGTTGAGGGTGGATTAGGATAGCTATGGGCTCGACTTCTGATTGTACTGTTAGCATGATGGCCAAGTGACGGGATAATGTTGAAGACCGACATACCTTTATCATGGCCGTCGTTGCCGACGGTGGTTAAAGGAATGATCAATTTGAAAAGCCGCGAAGGGGTCGTCAATATTTTGCCTATCTCCAAAAGTCAGCATTGTCACTCGAATCAATCATAATACCACCCTTCTTACCTTTGGTCAACCTTTCAGGCCAGGTCTCTCCTTCCATCAGTGACTTTCCATTTCCGCCATCCTCCCTAAGAACTGTCCGCCGAGGCTGAGCTTGTTGATTGCCCTCTTTAACTTGGAATTTCTCCCAAAGCTCTTCAGTCGTCTGCTTATCGCCTGAGGCTTGTCTATGAGTTTCAGTGCGGAATTTTCTGGTCTGAATCCAGGCAAGGCAATCTCCTGGAACTGCAGCCGGCCCAGCACATCTCAGCTTCGTTACCGGTGATGCGCCAGAAGCCCCGAGACCAATATCCCTGGTGAGACAACTCCCTGAGAATGAACGGATATGTCTAGAAAAAACAGAAGAGCCGTTACCAGACCATTCATTCATCCCAGCCGAGCCAATCTTCCCCAACGAGGCGTACTGAGCACCACGTTGTGATATCCTCCCCGTCGTCGCCGACAGGATAGGGGCGCAACTCCGTGCCGGAAAATGCATATTGAAAACAAGAGATCGTTTTGTCCGTCCAATTGGTTATTGTGTATGTTCAGGTCGCATGTAATGAGAGAGAATATGTCGTAGACTAGGAATTGAATAAGGGGTATGTCGTGTAGGAGACTCAAGACATGACGACGCGGCGCTTTCGAGTACCCAACATGTGGAGAATGGGGAAGATCATGTAGTGAGGCCAAGATTCATTCAAGCAATAAGCTAACCAGGGTGATCCATGCACGGTACATAGCTCGTTGTCAAGTTGGCTTCGTGCCTTGGAATATTCTGACGTCACAGAAGTGCATAGAGGTCTCCACATTTGGGGCGGTGTGGCTCAGTTTGTGGCAGTGCGGGATCTATATCTATCGTCATGTTTTTTTTTTTTTTTTTTTGGTCATTTTGAAAGTCATTTTAGATATTTCCCTAGTTATTGGTGTTGTCGCTAGTATGGTAGGAAGAATTAGTTACAAAACAGAATATAGGCCGTGGGAAGGTGGAAAATGTGAATGGTCTACATAACATGCTAAAATGAAATATGATCATTCAATATTCAGATTAGAATCTATGTATACTAACAAGTAATCTCAGAGCTCGCGCATAATATCTTTCACGGCCTTCGCAGCAAATCGTTTCCGTTCGCTCTCCGGCAGCTCGGAGCTCATATCTAAGCCAAGTCAGTACACCGCAATGTCAACTATAGCGAGCCTGAGAAATCAACATAGAATCATACCCTTGATTGCCTGCATGCGCATCATCAATGTCTCCATGCTCTCAACATCAAACTCATCTTCGCCATCATCATTGTCAGAATCATCTCTCTCATCACCATCACCACCCCCACGCTCGATCGCCATGCGTAAACCGAACATTTCGCGCTCTAATTCATGAACCTCATCACCAAACCCACGAGAGCTACCCAGACCTAATAGTTGGTCTTGAAGATCATCATCGGAATCCATGGCAGGGTCATTATCTTCGTCAAAGCCATCGTCACCCCCAACCATAGACCAGTCATGAGTCTCAAGGACCTCTTTGATACGATGCATACCCTCTCGTTCTAGAAGTAGCATAAGTCAGCTAAAATCCAAAAACTTGCCATACAGCCCATTCGCAGGTGAGGCATATCATTCCTGCTCCGATATTCCAGGTGCGCAAAGTTTTTCCTCCAATACTACTGCTCAACCGCGAATGGGTGGGTTGCTTCAGTGAACTCACCTCCATATTGATTCCTCGTCTCAACATCCAAACTCTCCTTAGGATCCCACTCAACAACCTCCCACCCCACCAATCCCATATCAAAAAGCTGATCTTCCCACCACCCAACCGAAAATGGCGCCGCCTCTCCACCACCTAAATCCCCATCATCAACGCCAAGCCCCAGCTCCGCATCGGCATCCTTGGATCTCTGCTGACCCACACCCACACCCGCAGCACCCTTCCTCCCCCCAATCAACACAAACACACCAGTCACATCACCGAGCCCGCCACGCTCCTCATCAATGAGCTCCTTGACAGCGCCAACACCACGCATCAGGTCACGCAGTGCGCGCACGTCGGACCGCTCGGCGGGGTCTGCGTTTGCATTGGAGCCTGGTAAACGTGTCACATCACTAGGAGTATGCGCGCACACAACTAGAGCCCCGACAGCTTCGCGCACGATCTCAGCTTCTGTGCTTAAGAAGTCGGTTTTCCATTGCTCGGCTGTTGGTGTTGGTGTGGGAGTAGTTTGTGCATCTGTATCGTGGATCGCGAGTGGGATCTCGTCGACCCATACGGGAACTTCTGTTCTGTAGTATTTTGTTTCGAGGCGGAGAGGGCTGTGGGTTGTGTATCCAGCGAAAGTGCTTGTTGGTGGTGAGGGTGTTGAGCTTGAGGCTGGCTGTGGTGGGGTTGGGGTCAGGGTTGGCGAAGGGGCTGGCTGTTGTGGCGGGTCGAGGACGGGCACACCAGTTAGGGAGTGTAGGAGTGGGGGGATTATTGTGAGGGATTGAGATGTTGGTGTCAGGATTAGGAGGCGGCGCGGGTTGGAGATATTCTTCACATTGGATTTCGCGGAGGTTGCGGGGTTGGATGGGGGCGCTGAATAGGTCATGATGGCGGTTTGTCTTGGGTGCGATTGGGATTGAGATGTCTCTTAGCGAACCTGAGTGAGGTAGTGCCTAGTTCAGTCCATTGATAGTTTCCAGTGGGAGAATGTGGTGTTATTGAGACGGCTAGCTGTCCCCCGCATCGTAAAAATAACGGGGTGGATAGGTCTGCCTTCCCCTTTCCATTTTAGTACTCACCTCTTGCCGCTTTTGAGCTTGACTTGATCACGGGAGATTATATAATCAACGTGCTTTCAAGGTCAACGTGCATCTAAAGACGCCTTCTAATTCCTCACTTTTGGTCGGCGGATCTATTTTCTCGAGATTTCTTCTTTTAATTACCTGTTTTTATTTCATATTTTTGTCGAAGTTGTATACACCCACTTCATGCAGACTTATCCTGTGCTGCTCGCATATGTACCCTTCCGGTACACGAGATAGTATTGCCCTGATTTATCCATGTAGCTTACTTGCATTATCTAGACCGCTGTTTCCAGGTCATTCATGCTGCCTTCAGTATTCTATTCTGGAAGAGTAATAAGAGAAGTTTGTTGTAAGGTGACCTGTAGGTCCGTCGGATCCATACAAAAAGGTCTACATAAGATGAGGCATCGTTTTGTGTCGACCAGAAATGACGCACTTCCGTACGTTCCTTACTTCCAGTGTTGTATTAGTAGTCAGCAGCCACTTGTCGCGATTTTGTACAACAGTCTACCCTATAAAGATTCACCCACCTCCACTTCGTTTTCCTGGGCGCATAAGTAGCATGGTATATAATTCGGTATATTTACAGATTCAAAGTAGTTTAATATCCGAGCAATGGTGCTCTCGACCCTAAATTTAATATATAGTAGGGTCCCCGAGCATCACTAACTGCCTAGCATTCATCTGGCATATTATAAATTGACAAATTCAAGGGTTATACAATATAGAAGAGAGGAATTAGAGGGACTCTATATAATACAAAATACAAGCTCAATACTAGGGACTAAGACTAATTAGGGAAATATTAGCAGATCTATACGGCACTAGAAAAGTGGGTGGGTGAATCTTTATAGGGTAAGCTGTTGTAAACACACACCAAGATAGACCTCGGAGAACACTCCTTTTTAGAATTACACTCATTTTACCCTTTGGTCCAGTATCCTACTGTAACTTCAGCATGACCAATCCGAATCGAAAACCGTATCCTCTGGCTCGGTAGACATATCCTCCTCTTCTATGCCTCCAGGAGAAGATGGGTCGATTGCCCACTTATTGAGTCCTTGTAGCTGCTTCCCTGATACTTGAAACCGTTCCTCAAACCCATCTCGGACCATTTTCCGAGTTTTGTATTTGAAAATTCTTCGATGGGAGACGACGAACAAGGTTGCGTTGTATGCCATGTTGCTGTCCTTGATTTCCGACTCGAATTTACCTAGGAGAAACTGGTATAGAAGCCGAAAAGCCGAGTCTCGTGCCAAACTTCTCAATCCTCCGGTATCAATTCTCTCCCTTGGATCCCAATCACTCTTGCCCCTTCTGAAATCGTGAATGATATCACGCATATTGCGACCTGAGAGGATATCAATGCAGAGAAATTCGAGAGTTTCACAGAGAATGCGATAGTCGTTGATCTGTGTTGGCATGCGGCGAAAGAATTGGCGGAATCCGTTCTTCACGCCCTCGTTAATTATATCGAAGAAGGGTATTTCGTCATGCGTTGGCAATTGGGCCACCTCTTGACCAGAAGATCGTCGAAACCTTAAGAATGATGCAAAATAAGGCATTTTTGTTACATCCACGGAGTATTCGGTGGCTCCAATAACAATTCTGACGTTATGATCATCTTCAGCTGTAGGTATTGCGGTCTATTCTACCATAAGTACATAGTATCTGGCCGGAGTCTATGCTTGCTAAGAGATTCCGGTACTGTACCTCCATCTGATCTGATTGGAAAAGAAAGGTATTGTTAACAATGCTGGGATCTGAATGTAAAGATAAACGTTATGCAGGTGTAAGGCCTGTCAACCGGATAAGATAAAAAGGGCTTTGTGGAGGGAACACAATGTATTGATAGTGTGCCAAGACTAATTCTTGCCAGTCTCGAGGGGCCACCGGGGGGTCTCAAACTATAAGGAAATCTATCGGCCTATGCTCATGTGATGAACCCCTCACGGATCGACATCGAAACAGATGTGCGATGACATAGATGTTCCTTCCCGAGCCTGTGCAGGCTTACATGTGTTTCCCTCTTGTACGGACCTTTATCTTTATCCGTTACACTGAAGGATTTGGCCTAGTGGAAAGTGGGGTCAGCGGATATTTAGATGCCGCACGGGTCCGCCCGCCAGAACTCGGGGACAAAGCGTTCATCAGATTTTGGGAATAGTGGCGCAAAATCAGCACATCGATGTCTCAGTTCTTGTACCAACAGTTTCTATTGGAGATGATAATAAACCTATAGGCTACCTACTATAGAGCTAACTTTAGACACCAAATAGGTCTCCTTTAATAGTTCTAGTAAATAGATACTAAGAAGGATAATGAGGAGGAACTAATAGGCTAAGAGTTTAGGGAATAAGGTATAGAAGATAATAGATATTAGCTAATAATAAGGAACGAGGCTAGGAGATAAGAGACCTAGTAAAAGTTAACGAATAAGCCAATTAATAGGCTAGAATACTACTACTACTACTACTACTACTACTACTACTACTACTAGGGCAGGGGAGAGCGGGAATAGTAGTAAGAAGGGAGGGAAGGAGGGGGAAGAAGAAGTAGGATAGCAGAGATAGAAGGAATTTTCCTCCTAGATACAGGAGGCTTTTATAGGTTTTATTAAGCCATGACTCTCTAGGGATAATACTGGCTCGGCGTTGGGCTTCGAGTTCTTGCTTCAGTAGAGAAGCGCCTACATAGTCATACGCAGCTAGTTAGACTGCAACAGGTTAATTGAACTTTGATTGATTGATTGATTGATTCTATTAGGAGCTCTAAATTCTAATTCAGTATCTAATTAACAGTCTTTTGCTGAACGCATAAAATTTTGCAGCAAAGCTCTTCGCATGGGATTTGCCGAGTTTCAAGCATCATTCCGCACCGGTGTTGACAGCAAATTTGCTGTATTTGCGAATTCTCGGCCCGTACACATAAAGCAAGTACGGAATTGTGGCCATGGCTGTACTGATGGCCCCCAAAATGGTCAATGTGTAATGCGCACCGATAGAACGGTAAATAGGCCCACCAGCAACTGTCATACCGCCTGCGACGACATATCTAGTAAAAACAAGGAACCCCAATGCAGATGCTGAGTATACACCATAGGAATCTATGATATACATGTATGTGGAAAGGAAAATAGTCGTGATTCCGTACCCGAATAAGACGGAGGAAATGAGAGGAGACCAAATCGATATGGACGGCTAAACGGAGAAAGCGCGAAAGTCAGTGACTGTGACAATGATGAACAAATCAAGGGCACTTACATAGCAGGTCCAACCCATCCAGAACAAACTTATTGGCACCGCTGGTGCACCACCCAGCATTGCATACCACAGTCGCTCTTCAGGAGCAATAGTAGAAGTTCTCTTGTACTCTTTGGCAGTCCAGGAGTAAACCACCGGAACCAGGAAGCTAGTGAGAAGAATACCACATAGCATCCCCACCCAGAGTATACTAGTCATCTGCTGTGAAAGCCCATACGGATGACTAAAAACGTATGTATATCCCTCCAAAAAGGTGAAGAGGACAATATAGACAACAGTAAGATACAGCGACATCAGGATGATAATCAACTCAGAGTAAACCAACGCAAATGGCCGGTATACCGAGGCCAACAGTCGCGGGCCCAAAGCCTGGTTTTTCATCTCCATCGGAGCTTTGTATCTCTCGTCCCCAGTTTCTTCGCGGAGAATCTTTGCTTTCCAGTACAGAAGAAGAGGCCCGTATGTTTCTGGCTGGAACACAATAACAATAAGAAGAATCGCACCTCCCATGATAAGCATAATCCACTCAAGCCAACGCCATCCCAAAGTAGTAGGAATATAACTGCCTATGATCTGACCAGCCATAGGTCCCACAAATGATGGAATAGCATAGGCTGGAAAAGCGTACGTCTTTTGTACTGGATTCCACAAATCCGCCACCGTGCCACCAGCACAGCTGAGTGGAGTAGAGCCAAAGAAGCCGGCAAGAAAACGAAAGATCAGGTGGCCCTGGAGATTTGGAGCGAGTGCCGCAGCCATGATAAAAATCAGAAAAAGGAGCATTGTTATCAGGTAGACGGCATTCCGGCCAAATGTCTCGGAGAATGGGCCTGACAGGAGAGAGCCGGCCCCGAAACCGACCAGAAATAAGGCTGTTGGAACGGTCAACTTGTGCAAAAGGGATAATCATTTCAAAGGTCTGTACTTACCTGTTGCAAGAGACCCGACTACTTCGGATACGTTGAAGTATTCACTGTATTGTGGGACGCCGGAAGCATCAATCGCAGATGTGGCAGTTACAGAAAAAGCAAGTAACGAGACCAGAAGGGTCATAACCAGCTTCTGCGACACGCTCTGGCTTGCAGGGTTCAAAGGATCATCGTGACTATCCCAGTCCACAATGATGATGGAATCGGTAGGAGGTTTTGCTTGAAGCGAGGATTGGTTCGGCGGAAAAGAAAACCCAACGTTGCATGACTGACAGCTGGATAATGGAGTATGAGCATAGGTTGACAGATAGATTTGCAAAGCTTCGCCGAGCTATCACTTACCTCGAGCTGTGTGGTGACCCGGGTGTATAGTTCTCGCAGGTGCACTTTTCTTTGATTTCCGCTAGTTGGTCGCGAACAGATTGTCTGATACGTCGATATTGAAAGAGTGATTCCATTGTAGGAAAACAACTGAAGACCGGCAGTGAATATGAAGAAGAAAGTGGGCTAAGAAGAGAAAGCCACCGAAATTTTAACTATCAGTGAGCCCCATAGAGTAAAAGCTACCGGATTTAAGTGAAGGCAGTCATTGGGCCGTGAATCATAGGCTCTGTTGATGAATTCATTTCATTTGGCCCCTAGTATTTATCAGCCAAATCCGGATTTGATCGTCGGCGCATCGGACATAGGTAGGAACCATTGCCACATTTTTCTCCGATGCACTTGAACTCCGGTCAGTCCTAGTCACTTTTCGGCCGAATAGTATCGGACTTCCATTTTGTAAGCCAGGGGGATTTCTGCGATCGAAAGAATGACCCACAGCTTCTGGATCAGTCTGATTAAGCTTTTGGTCGTTTTATACGGCTGATACTTGCTCCTCCCTCACCTGAATCTCAATATATGGACTTCGATTTTTGAGTCTGCTATATTGATTTAGCTCCTCAAGGGGTTCTCGTTCGGATTTGTCTAACAGTACAACTGAAGATTTAGACAATTGAATATGATATCCGAGAAAAACAATTACTTTGAAGTGAAGCCCGATACGTCATATCGGATATCTTGAGGTCAATCAAACATCAATATCATCGTCCCATCACCAGTCGGTGGTATTCAGCAAAGGAATGTCAAGAAACAGTTATTCATGCACTTCGTACTTTGCGATTAGTTGCACATTGCTATTTGATGGCGTCTTTACCCACTAAAGAGTATTCGAATTTAGATCTAATTTCACTTTTAACAACTAGTCAGCGTGGCGAACACATTTGATACACATTGGAATCACCGGAGATACCGTCCAATGTAAAGGAGAAATCAAACTGCAGGAAGATTGCCAACATTATCTAAATTCTGGGCAAGTTAGTACAGAGTCAAACAATCACAGGTTCCATGTCTTACCCAGTTAAAAAGATCCGGTCCAAACCATTCCCGCATATCAGTCCAGTCTTCAATTGTGCTCTCGATCCGAGTCCCCGAATTTGGTAGTTGCGGATTTTCTGCGCCGAATTGAGTCCTAGAAAATTTCGTTAGTTAAACCTGCTTGCCATCACGTAGAGCATAACCTACTGTAATTGAAGAAGTATGCGATGCGCCTTCAAGCAAATAGCACTTCGACGAGAAAGGCTCTCCATTCGAAGCACAAGTAAGTTTAACTCCTCCCGGTACGAGCTTGAATCAAAAGACGATGGCATATCCAGAAGACACGAATTGAGCGCCACGGCAGCGTGAAGTGCCTTTAAACTCGTGACTCCTCTAAGCAACCAGAGATAAGGTCGAAGCAGTGGAACTTCGTAGATCTGGCGATGGATTCCTAGTAAGGCAGCACTGGAAGCTATACACCTCTCTCTGGATGTTGCAAGGAAGTATGATGACTGAGAATGGCGGAAGGGGCGATGTAGAAGAAGATAAAGTTGATGTGCATATGTTTGTAGAATGCACCAATAGGCGTAACTGGAATCCAATATGTTCGGGGCACCATCCACCAGATATGTGGAGTCCCATCTCTGTTGTTCCTCGGCGATTGTAGCATCAAATTTATTCAATGGCTCTATCTCAAGTCGTGAAGGACCAGATATATGGTGACAGATCTGAGTGGAGATCCGGAAAAGTCGAGCTTTGAACATCATCACAGACATCTGGGTGGGAGAACTAGAAGGCCGCGAAATTCCCTCTTTGGTGATATCAGCATCATTCACGTCTGCGGGCATTGTGGTTTTTATATCAAGAAGGAATGTCATGTCGATATCCCGAAATAGGATGGCTTGGTAGGTATGTAAAGTCAATATACCAACCCAGCAGCGTCGGCGTCTCTCAGTCTCGAGATGGTTAAGTCCCTGAGAGTCGACGTTGCACCGTAGGGCTATGCCGATATTTAAGGCCATACCCAACAGGGCCCACCCTTGATCAACAGACTCATTGTGAGAAAGATTATATATCACCATCAGCAAAGCCTCGAATGTGCTGAGCTTATGTCGGATGAAAAATTGATCTTGTAAAAGACAAACCATCGCAGTTTGCTGAAGCTGGCGGGACAAAGTCACAGCCTCTTGCTCCTTGGAATGAGATCCCGCCGGCCATAAATCGACCAGTCTAGGATCACTTGGCTCCATAGTGTTCAATGTCAAAGAGCACATAGAAAAAAGTAAAGCCAGCCAAGAGAGATCCACTTCATAGGGCTGTTGCATGAATGCAACATACTGCTTCTGGAATGTTGGGCCATGGAGAATGGGGAACAGAGCAGAGATGTGATTGAAGAAATGAGAAACCAGACAGTCGCAGCTCGTTCTAGAGGGCAAAATTTCAATGATATCTTGAAGCGAGATACTCGAACCAATTGAAAAGGGAGACAAAGTATCAGTTGCTGCGACAGGATCATGTTCCGGAAAGGGCCGTTGGAGAACCGCTTCCCAGCGACTATCGTGGGAATCTTGAATTTCGTCAGGACCTGACCGCTCAGACCTATCATCCAAGCAACTAGTAGCAGGTTGCCTCAATGAGGCAAAGGGGGTGGCGGAGGTGTTCCTGGATGGCACATTTGACAACGAGGGATTGGACTTTGTTGGATGAATGTGAATGGATGTAGTTGCAACACTGGGGGGAACCAAGAACGAGCATGACAGCTCGCATCCTCGCCGCGTGCAAGCACCACAAGGTTGTTTACGATCACACTTTAATTTGGAGCATCGGCAATGCTCGCAACTAAGGACTTTTCGCTTTCGGCGATGAGACGCAGGACTTTGCGCTAGCCCCGGCCCGTTGCGGTTTGAGGGGCTTTGACTCATTGTATTGCAGAATTTACCTCATATAACGGAGTTAGAAGTCCGGTACGGAGTAGGCATTGTAAAGAGATGAAACCGACAAGGGGAACTGTGGCGGGTATGACGAAGATCGGAGTTTAGGCGGCTCGGAGAAAGCGGGGGAAATTCGGAGTTTCGGAGTTTATCGGATTTAGCTTATCGGATTAAGCTTATTGGATCCACTACACTATGCCGTCGGTATGCTTCCAAGGTTACTATGCTCACTTCGGATTAGTTATATGGAGATATTCATCCCATGGATTTGAATGCTCCTACAATATAGGTACTATCAACAATCAAGTCTGTATTACCGTTCATCGTTGGTCTCCGTTCCTGTTGGAAAGCAATAGGATATACTGCAAGTTATTCTGCGCACCTTCATTGATCGTCTGCTAGGGAAACAAGGTAACCAAAGCTAGGATAAGTCCCCTCTAAGAGAAGCTGGGCCCTGATAAGCGAGGGCCCAACAACTGGAAGTAACGGCTTCATATCCACGGTTGACAGTAAGCGGGCGTATACCTCCCAGGTCATTCGGACAAACATGCCGGCCGATGCGTTGCTCTCAAATGTATCAGTTATCTTGATCTGAAACTTGGCAGGCATTTTGTCGATAACTTTCTCAAACTCATGGACCACTTTCGGAGCTTTACCTTCGAGTATGAGCATGACGGGCACTTGTGTTTCTGGATTGTGGGATGGCGGTGTTGAAGGCAAAGGAAAGCATTCGGCGCGAAGTACGGCCAGATGATAATGCTCCCGAAGAAGGAATTTCAGGACGAGAAGTAGCTGCGACTTGAAACGGCAAAACGAGAGGGACTGATGATACAAAGGAAAATGAAGAAATCAGAAAAGGATCTTGTGGCTGGTAGTGAATTTTAGTTGTTTGTGAGGTGTTGTAAGGTATGAAAGACAAAAAGAAGAAAGTTGCACTATTAATAGTCAATAACCATCTCTCCGTAGATATAAATGGAATAGCTTACTAGGGGTCTCGGTTTCATGCCTCCAGATAGTCATTGTGAAGTGAGAGGCTACGTAGTAATTAGAGAGTGCGGGGGAAAAGGGGTGCCGTAGGCCACACGTAAACAACTCTCCTCCATACGTTATTTTTGTTTTCCTCTCCTCAGCTCGATAGCCGCACGGCGTCTAGAACGCTCTCTCTTTTTGGCATCTCGACAAGATTGACACTGGTCGGTCTCTCGATTGCTAGTGCACGAGCGAATAGCTCCAAAGGACGCGAGTGAACGCATCTAGTACATGTTTTGTCTTGGAACGAGAGAGAGAGAGAGATGAAGAAGGTTCGGTTCTCTACAATGATCGAGATCTAGCTTAAATAGCTAGGTGAAGCCTGACAAACCAGGCATTGGCATGTGATCGGCACTTGACAACCCCAACATTTTGGAAGCCATAATGATAGAGAAAGGTGGATGCTTGGACAGAGCCATCTGCTCTCTATGCTCAACGCCTGAATGATCATTACCTATGAGTATAGTATGAATGCATTTTGATTGGTCCATAAACCATGAGCTAGCCGTATTGAAGCTAGTGCATTTACCCAGGTCACCTGATGGGACATCAAAACGGCCCATAATAGACAACTTGGTCACGACATACACCTTAGACCTTGTCATTTAATATTGCTTCGCTTCGCTCCGCAATCATGTATGTATGTATGCTTATGCCTCTTACGTTCTATTCACTATGTCACATCCGAATTATATTTTGACTCGTTTCCAGACTTAAAAGGGGATTAAGAACACACCAGATATTTAGTTACATTTTTGAATCAATCCAAGCCAACATGTTTGACCCGAGAAGTGCTAGCCACTTTGCCGTTGTCCTCTCTAGATCCCACCGATATATCTCCCTCTATAGATGATGATTCGAGGGTGTCAATGGCTGAAAGACCTGCTTCTGCCTTTCCTGCCTTTTTCTTATCGCGCCACAGAAGCAGTTGAATAGTTGCGGTGACCAAGACTGGGATTATCGTTAGTGGGAAACAAGAATCAGACGGAGCAAGGGCTTCTTACTGAGCAATATTTGCAGTACGATCGACCAAGTATATCCTTTGGGAGCACGAGGAAATGCTGTGGTTTTCCACACGAAATTGGGAGCCTTCGTTCACGCTCATTAGTATCTAGCTTGAATCAGTGAAAAGGACGAGGAGACTCACGACAGCCTGTACAACATAGGCAAGGTCATTAGCCATGGCAACAAGCAACGCTCGCTTTTCTGTGTCATCGGAGCAGATCTCGTTGATCCAGCTCAGGATTAAAGGACCGGCACCACCCTAAAGGCATTGTTAGGGTAACGATTGAAGGTTTCACAGAATTGTAGACTTACACCAATATTACTCAGCCAATAAATAACCATGCGGCCTTTGAGGTTTGTGTAAAAGGGCATCTTCATCATCAGGGAGGCGAAAATGAGCTGTGAATGGTTTTAGTTGCTGGCCACTGAATAAAAACCCAATTGACAGATATAAATTCTCTTTGACTTACAGTAGTAACGGCGCCGATATAGATAAATGGCCAGCGAGCGCCACGACACGGCCCATCGGACAGCCAACCCCAAATCAATGCCATGACGATGAGTACACCGGTCGTGGGGAGGGGCACTTGTATATGAAATTAGCTAGGTTCATTGGAATTTAGGACCTGAAGTCGAACTCACAGTTATTGATCTGTGCGACAGTGTAAGTTGTTCCGGGGAGAGGAGCAGGATGGGCATTAAAACTTTTCAGCCAGTATCCCATAGCAGGTTGGGGAATTCCATTGTTCCAGAGAATGTATAGCAATGCTGTGGGACATTGTCAGTATTGTTCAAAGATAAGAAAGGTATGAAGTACGACTTACGGAGAAGATAAGTATGCCAGCTCAGCAGAATTCCTTTCGCCTTTGCCTTAGTCCAAGGCTGCTTGCCGGCACGTCCAATATTCTGCATTCTCTTGATTGACAGAAGATGCTCCTCTTCTGTCGTCCACCATGTCTTTTTACCGCTTTGCGGAAGGTTAGGGAAGAATATGTACCCAGCGAGAGCAAGCGGTAGCGTAATGATACCATCAATAATGAAAAGCCAGCGCCCTATTCTCATCCGTCAGCAGTTGGTTTCTTGCTTTCGTTTGGTTTTAGATGAAGCGGTATGAGCGAATTCAAGAACCGGGAGAGAAAAAACAAGGATAATTGCGGTCACATACATCCGGCGTAACCATGTGTCCCATTCAAGTTTGTATAAGCAGCTGCTTGGAGGAAACCGCTGAACAAAGTGCCGACTGAACCAGCGAGCCAGAAGACCATGGCTCGCTTTCCAATTTCGCGTGGTGTGTACCATGATCCCAGTAAGTAATGTATGCCGGGGTAAAATCCAGATCTATAACGGCGTCAGTAAGTGGCCATAGAGAGTGCATAGAATCTCGGAATATCGACATACTCAAAGAATCCGACGAGGAAGCGCAAAGCATACAACGCTTTATACGATTTGACACTTGATGTACAAATAGTCGCGAGTCCCCATCCTACCTCTAGCGAGGGGATGACCCATCGAGGCGAGATTCTAGTTAACAACAAGTTGGACGGAATTTGGCCAACAACGTATCCCACAGTCCAGATAGATGTGCCTGTAAACAGTCGTAGTTAGCAAATGCCGGAAACCTTCTCGATCTCGTCGAAAAGAAGGGGTAAAAACGTCTCAGGTGAGAACGAAGACACATACTAGTTACTAATTGATTGCCAAACATCTGAAGATCCTCTTCCATGCCGCTAAGAAAGGCATTGTTGACATTTGATTGGTCGATATTCTTCAAAAAATATCCGATAGACGCGAACGTGAGGACGAAAGCGTCTACTTTAAAAAGCATCCAGCGTTGATCGGGCGGAAGTTCCCACGTATCCCACACATAACTTTTCCATGATCTGACAGGCTTTCCAACATCATCTGTCTGGGTGTTGCTGGTCTGATTTTCCGCATCTATGCTGTAGATCGAGGTGGCCGTGGCTTGTCGAGAATCACCCGCGGTCCCCATTATGCTTTGGGGGTTGTGTGGCGCTGGAAAATCTAGTGCATAGATTGATAAATGAACCAGGTCTTTTAGTCTAGATCAATCCCGGCGATTCTACTGATTTTATAAAACTAGAAAAATATGTCCTCAACGTACCTGATAATCGCGTCACTGAGAGATCGTAAGAGCATCCACCTGATGTCCGGCAATTGAGGCCAGAGATAGCTATGAAACCCGACACTAGGCCTGTTTACGTCCGGTAGGTTTCTCTGGGGGGTCTTTTGAGTACAGACATGGCGATTATTCGGTGTAATGTTGCGCAATACTCACGCAATCTGCTTTAAATCCTGCAAGCTTGCATAGGAAAGGATGCACGATCCTTGCTAGCGCGCAGCCTATCTCTGAAGCCAAGAGAAGACTTGAATTGTTTTGCTGACAGAGATGTGCTTTGTCAAGGTTACGTGCTAAGACGCAATTCCTTAGTATTTTACGTGCTACCACAACATAGACTAGAATAATGTATGAAACTGTTAAAGGACGATGCTTTTACTTTTTTCAACTTGGCAGAACTTGGCAACAAAAGAATATCCAATTCAGAAAGGTCATCTTAGTTGTATGTCCTAAAACAACTATGCGATCAGGCCAATCCTCAACGCGGGGCCCGGCGATTGATCCAGATGACACGACCGCCAGCATAGTGATTCCAGCCTATCACTAGATTCTAGCGTCTACCTCAGTAGCTAAATAATAAGCTCTTGAGCATCCTCGAACTCGACTCCATTATGAGATCTCATGGACTACTCAGAAGGCATAGGATCCACAGGCTAGGTGCATTCATGTTTACGCGAACAAGGCTCTCTTCCGAGGGAGAGGGACAGAACCATCACCTTGATTGCACTACCTAGAACATTCTTATTGTTGATTGACATCAAGAGATGAAATCGCCCAATCGATCCCTACTCTTTTGAGCACGCTTCGTGGAAACCTAGGAATGGTTGCGCGGTGCGCTCAAATATGAATCTTTTTTCAAGACATTAGTTCCGAAAAGGCACAACTACCATGTTTCAAGACATATTATATCAGAATACCTTAGAATGGTAATGTTCGTTCTGCACGGAGAGATCAGGTCGGGATCCCCTGACCTCTCAGGTTGGTCCCATCCCTCATGGGTAGTTTGTTGAACATTATGGTGTTTAGACCGCCTTCGGGCTGTTTTGTTGTTTTATTGGCTTATTACTTCCTACCGCTTGCGGGTAGTTCTGCCCGTCATACCCCATCAAAATTAATTATTCTCTACTATATCCTCTCACTGTCCGTCCCGAGCACTCCTAATGAATGTGATTGGAAGAATGATACGCTTCCTTGTGATACGGGAGTTACTACTGCTAATAATACGTACTGTATTGAGGATAGAGCGTTTACGCGAATAGGACTCTGTACGGAGGACTGTCTGATTCCTTCAGTTCTAATCGAGTCTTTATTTCTCGACCATAATGTATGAATCGATGAGAAACTACTGCTAAAGGCCTTCTCCCTAGTGGTAGAAACGTTCCTAGAAGGGTATTTAGTATTTAGCAATTTCTAGTATTCTATTCTAGTTCTCGAGGCTTATATCAAATAGACGGGTGCTTAACGCTAAAGAGATACCAATGAGAAAGAGATTCGTTAGATTTTTGGATTTACAGCAGGGGCTAATCCCAAAATGTATTATTATAACGAAAGGCCTCCCAAGACAGTGTAACGTTATAGATGCTTTGTAACGTATAAAGGGATAGCCAGATCTTATAAAACCTCGGCAGTCGAGGTCCCTATACGCCCCTCCTCAGCCATTTTCTCCTTATTCAAAGCATCAATGGTGTTGGAGTGGGTATCGCTGGGGGGAGAGGAGCGTTTCTCCACAATGTTGGTCTCATCCGAATTCGTCGTATCAGCAGCATCTAAGAATTGTCAGCGTATATTCGTCACGAAAACAATCAATCACGTTAAATAACGACAAGGCTTACCAGTTTGAGGTTCCTTGGGCGGGGGGCAGTAAAAGCCAACAGCGAGGCAGATAATCATAAGGATAATCTCCTCGAGGACGCCCATGCAGAGATTGACGGTAGGGTTGGGCTCAAACAGGTTGAACCGCGCGATATTCGTGTAGTCACCTAAGCAGCCGTAGACGGTGCGCACGATGAGCAGTGGCGCACAGGCGTAGACTGAGTACAGGATGATCTTCTCGTTGCGAGGCATCACGTTGCGGTAGATGGTCAAGTACCCCAGAATGGTCAGCAGGAGACCCAAGCAGCCGACGAACATGCCCAATGCGGCCTGGAGCATGGGGGGGATGGTGTAGCTATCGAGGGCCTTGATAGCGCCGGCAATACCAAGGGCCAGCCCGACCAAGCTGACGATGCTGACGAAGATAAAGATCCATCTGGAGAGCTTGTTGATCGAGGCGTTTCTGAACAAGACATGCCTACGTTAGTCTCGAGTCGCTGGTAGGTGGATATCAGGTTGCGACTTACACTCTTTGTAGCAGACCCACGGCAGCCAGTGTTAGGGGAGCGATGCCCAACAAGTCGCATGTGATTTTTGTGGTGACAACATCGATCGAGTCGTCAGTGATGGTGATGAGCTGGCATACAGCGCCGGCGATTCGGAGACAGGCGAGGATAATGAGGAATCTCCAACATGATGCTACGGCCTTCATTCCTTGCTGGTAACACAAAAGAATGGCGAGGAAGAGACAGGGCACGAAGGCGATGAGCTGCAACAACGCGATACCATCTTGATAGCCAAACGTCATCTTGGATCGAGAGGGGCCGGAGCGGCGAATATAGTGGGTAGGTGTCTTGCTGATAGCTGATTGAGGGCAATCTAGATTATAAGGTCAGGGCAGGAATTGAAGGCCCTGGAAAATCGGTATGATCTGATGAAACAAGTATGAAGGATAGGGCGAAAGTTAAGAGTCATTTGAACACCAGCTACGAGGGTAATAAATAAAATGTCCAGGGGATAAAATAAGAGAGCGGCCTCCCATGGTGGAGTAGGTGTACGATGAAAAGCTTGCAATGCGTTCGGGCTGTGCACTTAAACACAAAGAAGAACGAGGCATTCAATGACAACTTGAGGGTTTCGGGCATCTCCATGTGGAATAACGAACATCGAGCATACCCCATTAGGAATAGATTCAAGATGTGGAGACCTGCCCCAGAGATCTCCTTGGCGGTAAGGGTCCACTGTCATCTTTTGGGCTGTGCGTGAGCCTCTCTTGCACCGCCACCGCTATTCCGTTTTTGTCACCATTTGCCGGACTCCAAGCTGTCCATTTTGGGTAATATTTCCCAATCCCACAACTCCCGTCCGTATCCTCCCTTTTCATACCTCCAAGGACTCTCTCACCTCTGGCAAGGCGCAGGTCCACCGCCATCGACGTCGACTCCCTAGACGAGCTTAACCACCCGGACATGGTGATTAACTCGGTTTAACTTTTGATTTGTGAAAGGATATATACTTGTGTAACCCTATATGTTCGGTGTATGCTCTATAAGAAAAGAATCCAACCGCTGCCACGCAGTCCAAATGCATCGTAGCGCTCCAGTCGAAAAATCCACCAGGCTGCCCAGCTGGACCTATTCAGCCATGTTGGCGTACTCATTGATGCTGATTTGACGCCCAGGAAGGCCGTAGCTCTTCAGTAGCGCTGTCAAAGTACGTTTGTGTTTTGAATATCATTGTCCCAATCACCCGTCCCTCCTTCTAAGTGATATGCGTACTGCTCTGGAATAGTGTCATTGCCTGCAATATGGGGAAGCCAGTTGGCCCACAAGGTATTGCCAGACACGGGGCTATAAGCAAGCGTAGGCCCAGAGAGTTGAACTTGATCAAAGCCGGCATCTTCAATATCTGCGTATTAGCAACTCGCCCAGATTTCTTAAAAAAGAACCACTTACCAAAAGATTTTGCGTGTCCGAATATATAAGTCGATCAACTGCTGCTGGGAGCGAACCCAAAAGTTCTCATTGTCTGGTTCATTCCAAATGTCCCAAACAAGCCCTTTGAGAGCACCGTATGCCTTGAGATCGGCCATCAAAGGCCTCACAAAGAGGTCATAGTTTGACCGGTCTCCGTCGTCGCCAGGCCAGTTCATCGCTGTATGAAATATCTAGATTTGAATGATGCTTCCATACTATCAACTCAATGGTGGACGGAGGTTGCTTGATTGAACAAGGTTGGCGAAATCATCTGCCTGCGCAAGACCTGCTTGGCAGCTGATTCTGCGCAACTGGGCAGCAGTCCACGCACGGGTCTCGTGGCTGAGGTTGTGCATGCAGCCCACAGTAAGGAGAACCCAGCAGGCATAGTAGCCGCCGACGGCCGAGCCGGCGTTGTTCTTGGAGTGCGTGTGCTGCTGCAGCTCCTGTGCCGGGGAAGTGGCGTAGCCCATGAGCTGGGGCACGGAGGCGAGCATCTCGTCACGCAGGCGGACGATGGTCTGGGTGGCCTGGTGCAGGCGGTCGGTGTAGTTGTTGGCAAAGAACCAGTTGCTGTCGATGTTAGCGCCGCGGAGGAGGAGGTGGCTGATAGCGTGGTTGGCGAGGATGCGGCAGATGCGCATGCCGTTCCAGATGGAGGCAATCCAGACATCGTGGTAGATGTGGTTGGCATCGCGCCGGATGCCAGTCGGATCGTAGTTGCTGCTGGACGAGTTGGATTTGTCGGTGAACTGCCACTCGCAAGGGCACTTGGAGAAGGCACTCTCGAGGCGGTAGTCAATCTCGAGCACCTGTGAGAGGTAGCGCTCGAGGTGCTCGATGGAGATGTTGGCACCCTCGAGAGGACCGGAGAGCATGGAGGTAGAGGCGGGGGAAGAACCAGAGGCAGTAGAGGGGGAGTTGGAGGAATTGGAAGGGGCGGCGGGAGCGGAGGGGGCGCCGTCAGAGTTAGGAAAGAACGAGTAGCCGCCCGGGGAAATGTGCTGGAAGAGATCCAGAAGCTCGACTATGCCGCTGCAGGCGACCCAGTAGGGATCCGAGACGCTGATGGCGTTGCCGGCCTCGATGCGCAGCATGCGTAGGCTCGAGGGAATGGGGGAACCGGCGCGCAGGCAGTTGGTGAGGAGCTGGGAGAAGACATCCTTGAAGATCTGCAGGCCGGTCGAGGTGGAGAACTGGGAGCGGCCGCGCAGGTTGAGTAGCGAGGTGGCACCCTCAATGTGGTGCTTCCAGCCGTCGATAGAGGCCCTGCTGAACTCGTAGAGGGCGAGGACAAGGACAGAGACGATGGTGCTGTCGCGACAGGCGGCCTGTGGGTCGGCGAGGGCGAGATTGACACGCTCCATGGTGCGGGTGTACATCATCATAGACCTGGTTAACAGGTCGGCCTGGCTAGTGGTGCGAGCGAGCCCACTGAAGCCGACAGCCAGAATGGCACCCTCGAGCATGTCCTTGCCGCCGTCGTCTTGCGCCAGCATGGCCGGAGCGTAGTCGAAGAAGCCGGAGGAGGGACCGGACTGCCGAACGACATAGCGAGAGAGGAAGAAATTGAGACCGGTGATGACGAGAGGCACGGAGAAGGGACGCGCTATGACCTCGGGCTGACTGCTGGTGAAATTGTTGTGTCCTAGCCGTTGGCGGTCGCCGCGGTTGCTGCTGTCATCAGGGAACTGATTGAGAGCCACATCGTCGCCGCCTACACTAGAAGCGCCCACACGGGAACGACGCCCAGACGCGGAGGCAGAAACAGAAGCAGCGGATCCAGGACCGTCGCCCGATACCGGCATGGCGCTGGGCGAAGCATCCTGGTGGAGGGAGAAGAGTCCAGTCTCGTCCAGGTTGAAAGGGTCGTTGAAGCTCATCAACTCGGGCATGAAGCTGCCGCCGGCGAACATCCCGGCTCCGACATCGAAGTCGCTCATCTCCAGCATGGTCTCGTCGACCACATCGGAGGGGCGGCTGACGTGATAGTCCGGTGTGGAGGTGTTTTGTTGTTGGTTCTGTGCCTGTGATGGGTCTGTGCGCTCCACCGAGAGGCGGTCGGTTGGGGTGCCCGTCGAAGTCCTCTTGGAGACTTTTGATCGGGCGCGGTTGATGACCTGGGTGCTCTCATCGCGAAAGACGAGGCTTAAGGGATCTCTGTACCCGGGGCATTTCTGACCCGTGCGGCAACATTGGCCGCATTCTGGGACTGCTTTGTCGCACTTTTTTTGAGGCTAAATGTGAGCCAAAATGTCTTTTTTACTTTTTTTTCCCTGATGATTTTCTGTCTTTTATCAAGGGGGGCAAACAGTAATGACTTACTCTTCTCTTCTTGGCGCGACAATTGCTGCAACTTGTTGAAGGACGACCGCAGTAGACCATGATGGCGATTCTACCAAGTGGTGATGATGATTGTCGATGGATAGGCGGGGAAATGTGGCATCAACCCCAACGCACTTAGTACGGGACTGTCCCGTTCCGCGTGGAGACACTAGGTAAGGCTGAGGTGAATGCCAGATTCGGACAACGATACGGTAAACAAGGACTGGAAAGAGAAAGCAAGACGAATTGACGATTTGAAGGCGAAAAACGCTGTGCCTAAATACACCACAGTGGCTAAGCCCCAAAAATCCCGTCGGATTTGGCCGCTAGACTGTACAATTCTCCCCTGTGACTAACTGGTTTGAAGCATACCTACCTATTTACGCTACGTACGTATGTACGTGTATGCTCAATATCGCCAGGGATGCTAGTATCCTTGCGGCGTTTCTTTCGACACTTGGCCAAGACCCATCGCTCCTTGGCAGAGGCGCGGTTCGGATCTACCCACGATGCTTAATCGTACATACAGACAGCCGTAAGCCCCACACATGTTAACACACAACCCTATTCGCTCGCCTTTGCCCTGTCTCGTCGGTCCCACGAGGTAAATGTCAGAGCCAGCAGCCAGGCAATGGTGCGGCTAGAGAAGTTGACAAGCCTAACGCAGCCTTGCCTCGTGGATTCCTCTGCCCCCATCGCCGAACCGCAGGTACTTCACAAGCCAGTTCGAGACCATATGTCTATGTTACCTGCACATTATGCTATTCTGAGCTGTCTCTTGTCTAGCAACTTATCATCACTGAAACATGCGCGCTACTTTTGACAGACAGAAAACGCACAGAGACATGTATTCCGAAGTATGCCAAAGTATTCCAAAGTGAATTTAGCAAGGGACTCATGTAGGCAAAAATACCTTCATAAATTTATGTAGCAACGGTATCGTCAAGACAAATGAAAAGATCCATGTAGATCGCCTCAAAGCTAGTTTACTGTGTCCTTTGATGTATACACCGGGTTTCTATATCTAACACTGGTAGTCGTAGACGAGCTTGGTCTCAAGCCTCTCGCCATCGTCCTTGGTGACCAGGACCCGCCTGGCGTGGTAGCGAGTGTCGTCGAAGACAATGAAGCCGATGGCCTGCTGGGTGACGACGCCCTTGGAGTCGAGGTGCTCGGTCTTGAAGTGCATGACCTCCTCGGTGCCGTCTTCCCAACCCTGGCGGAGGTAGTCATCGTCGAGGTCGGCGAGCTTGCAGATGCGGGAGCGACCGCGGATGTTGCCGAAGAGGCCGTGGTTGAGCTCGACGGGCTTCCAGTTGAGGACACGTTTCTCTTGGGTGCCAGGGAGGCCGCCGCTAGGCTTGTTCTCAATGTCGAGCAGGATGTTGCCGCTCTCGTCCTTGCGCTGGTCGATGATGAGAGTGACGTTGGCCATGGCAATGACCTTGCGGGTCAGCCAGCTGACGCCCTGGAGCTTGAGGATCTCGGCAGAGGACTCCTCGGACAGGTTGTTATTCTGTAGGTATGGTTAACAAACAGGACTCGTGTGACACAGACGTGAGAGATCTTTCGTCTCTTACAGCAGTCCAAGAGCCGTTAAGGTCCTGGACGGTCTTGGAAGAGGGAGCAGCCATTGTGTCGACGTGTGAATGGTTTTGCGGTATATGGTTAGGCAAGAGTGGTGAGAATAGAATCGAGGTTTGGCGGTTTGATGGGTGTGAGTTGATTGATTGATTGATTGAATGTCTTGTCTTCTCTCTAGGTTTCTGAAGCTTCCAAGACGTTGCTCATATACATTTCGTTGTTCATAAATGACACGCCTTGTTCTGTCGGCACTTGGTACGACACATCCCACTTAGAGTATTCAGTTGCAGATAGAGTAATATGCCGCTCGCTAGTGGGCGTCAGTCAGCCAATGCCAAACACCACTGGCGTGATGAATCCCCGTTTGCCACATCGGGCATAGAAAGCCGGCCCTTTGGGGGCTCCATGTCGTTGGGGGTCGACAAGGACCAAGAGTTGCCTCAATTAGGAGTAATTCTCCGGGCTGCCACAATGACGCTGGTAAAAGGACAAAGACAAAAAAGGTACATAGGCACAGTTTCAAACGGAGAGCCACATGCACCCTGCTAACGTAAACAGGATAGAGGGGAGGCCACCCACGACCATATCCCAAAGAGGTATGCAGGATGTTCGGTTCACGGCACTATCAGATGCACTTCCAGTGGACGCTCCGGCATCTTGTCCATCTTGGAACCACGATTCGAAGGGGTCATTTCTTTTTTGTCTTATTTCTTACATCTGATTTTCCCTCTCTTGGCCATCAACCGAGTACTGACTGGTGTGTCGCGATTCTCCAACATTATGTACGCGCAGTCCGAGAAGCTGCCCATGCATGGGCAGGACCGCATGCACTCACAATCACAATACGACAAATCTAGTTACCCGCCTAATCAAGCTCAGTACGGCCACCCTCAACCTGGACGTCCTCGGTACGGATCTTCCCCAACAGGACAACCTTACGGACAGCCACAGTATGGCCAACCACAATATGGTCAACCTCAGTATGGCCAGTCTCAAAATGGAAAAATACCTTACGGACAGCTTCAGCCCGGTCCCAATCCCATTTTTGGAGGGCAACCCACCCCAGACCCCAGGTACGACTCACAAGCCGGGATGGCCACCATAGGAGGACCACTGCCTCTGCCCATCGTGGTTCCGCAGCAGCGCCCAGGATCTCAGGAGCGAGGCTTCATGGCCGCCTATGCGCCATCTCTGGAGTTGTGCGGCATCGACCAAAGGTCATTCCTACGCTTCATCGATGAGACTAACACGGGCTTGGAGGGCAACAAGTACCTCGCCGGCGTGCAAGTCGTCTCCCTTGGCGTGAGCTTCACTCCGGAGGTTATCGTCATGGGCGTCGCTGCGGCAGTGCAAGCGGGCGCCTGGGCGGCCAACAAGGGCTACGTCAGAGGAAAGTAAGTGCAACAAAAGGACTCTCCTCTCAAGCCACGATGCTGATCAGCGCCCCGCTTAGGACCAACAACGTCATGGACAAGTACAACCGCGAGCTTTTCGCACCTCACGGTCTGTTTTGCATGATTATGAAACATGAGCCTGAGCTCAAGGAGCCCAAGAATCCTAGCCGTCTCAAGCAGCTTGCCTCACTGGCTGCCAACGGCTCGAGCAATGGCGGCGGCAGTGCATGGATGCGTAATTATGTTTCCGGCGAGTCGCAGGGACCTGGCGGTCTGCCTATGGCTGTCGCACCGCTTGTCTATATGGATAACCACCGCCAACACAATGAGTACCTGTCTGATTCTCCGCCTGAGTCACCAGGCTCCAAGAGTGGCGTCGTTCCCGCCGGAGGCAAGACTTCGACCAAGGACAAGGCCAAGAAGGCATTTGACAACTTCAACGACTACCTCGACCGTCGCGCTCGCGCAAAGTACACCGCCGAGAACGGCAACGATGTACTGAGCGGGCCGGCTGGTCGTGGCTTCAGCAACCGGTACCTTGACCCCAATCATCCGGCCGTCAACGGAGGACTCATCGGTGTGCTTTCCGGCGGCGTGTTGAGTCCTACTCCGGAGCAGCGTGCGCAGAAGAAGGGCGGCAGAATTGATGACGAGGAGAGGAGAGTCCTTGACGAGTACAACGACCGGAGGGAGCGTATCTTGAACGACCGACGTAGCCAATCCGAGACAGATCGGGAGTTGAGGCGGTTGGAGAAGGACTACGAGCCTCGTCTGGAGCAGTTCCGCAAGAAGAGAATGGCGCTGGAAGCTGGTAAAAGATCCATCAAGAGCGTAAGTCTAACTCATGTTTTATCCTCCCTGCTGACTTGGTGGTGTTGTTTTTGACTGACCATGGCCTTTTGCAGAACATTTTGTACCTGACAATTGTCAACCTTCCTTCAGAGGCCACTCTTGCTGCCGCTTCGTCGGAGCTGGAGCAGGAATATGGTCACAGTGTCATGACGGAGACGATGCCACCTCCAGCGTACTAAACTTTCATTCATTATACATTCACATGTCTTTCTGGCAGTTCACATATAGCGGATGTTATGAGGAGTATTTCTTGATTTTTTGAATCAATCTGAATGTTGAGTGATCTTGTGCGATAGACTAAATACCCAAATATCCCTCTACCCTTTCATGCTTCATGGTCACTTAGTTTGGTCATTCTTAGTGGATCCCGCAGGAGTCGATATTCCACCCGGTACTCCGTAGTCACCAGTGCTTATACTGTGCTAGATCCTTGAGGCGTACGCAGGTCGGAGTAAAATCCCGGCATATGTTACCCAATTAGGAAATCGTTGGTAGCTGACGCTTGGATCCCACACGCTTTTCGCCTTGCGCAGCCCGACACAAACAGAGCTGCCCTACCTGTCCTTCATGTTTCTTGTTCATTTACTAGTAGTTGACATCGTGGCTTTCCATATTCTCCACTTCAACTTTTTCACACGAACTGGCCGAGTCTATTCATCGTCAATTTCTTCACCCATGGGTTTTTGGTGGGTACCGCGGCGAATGGGGAAATGCTTGCGGCTGATGCAAAGCTGTGCCGTGGAAATTCATTTATTAGAGAAGCTCGGGATGTCTGAGACTGACTGCCTTGGATGCATCATCGTTCCCGATTGGTCTGTAGGAAGTCGTCTAGTGAAGGCATCGCCAAAATCTGTCCGAATCGGGAATAGCGTCGTTTCCCCTCCAGCCCTTCTCTGCGAGTCACGATTGCGGGTTCAGCCTCGTGCGCCAAGTCTTGCGGCTTTGCAACGCTCTTATATTGCCTTTGGAAGAGCTAGAATCTGAAATGTCAAGATCAAAGGTCCCTTGCAGGTGCCCAAATGGTCTTACAGATGACTTTAAATCATCAAGGTCGCCATGTGGTTATCGCTGACAGCGTTCAGCTTCATGGCCACCTCAACCATTGGGTGATCGACCTTCGTACGAACAATAGCCAAGCTAATGAAGCAATATCTATTAGCCGGATTATTGCTTGCCGACAGCTGTCCCGCTTGCAGGAATCCCCGCCCCTCGTGGGGAACTTTCTCGTCTTCCTTCATTCATTCTCTCTTGACTAGCTGCGACAGCCTTCTCTTCTGTTGAAAGCTTGCAGGAAATCACAGAGACATTACCCTTCGCTGTCAATGGATGCTCAAGACTTCCCCGGTTCAATTGTCCCTACAGGTACAGCGGGCAAGGACAAACATCTGGTGAACTCGTTTCTGGAGGAAAGATCGATTCAAAATGGAGACCAAGATATCTTACAAGGAGAAGAGGTGGACGAGGTTCTTGCTGCGAAGATGACGCTTATCAATGATGTGGGAACTCAATATCCTCGCACCACCAATGAGACATGAAATTAACCCGTGGCCCTTTGTCCTCTATATACAGACCATTGATGAGATTGGTTTCACACCCCACCACTGGAAACTATTTTGCCTGAACGGATTCGGATATGCAGTTGACTCGCTAATTCTCTTGATTCAATCCATTATTTCGACCCAGGCCAGGTTGGAGTTCAACCCATCATATTCCACCGGGCTCACCATTGCGGTTTATGTTGGTATGTTGGTGGGTGCCATATTTTGGGGCTTTTCGGCAGACATCATCGGCCGGCGTTTTGCCTTCAACTTCTCCCTATTTATCTCATCCGTGTTCACTATCGTCGCGGGGGCAGCTCCCTCTTGGGTCACACTGGGATTGTTTGTCTGCTTGAGTGCGTTCGGCGCTGGGGGTAACCTGGTTCTCGATACCACGGTCTTTCTCGAGTACCTTCCTAGCAAGGAACAGTGGCTATTGACACTCATGGCGGCATGGTGGGGTGAGCTTACACTCCAGTATACCTTCTATGGATAGTCCGAACTGACTCACAACATGTAGGTCTGGGTCAGCTCATCGCAGGTCTGTTTGCTTGGGCCTTTCTTCCCAACTTTTCCTGTAGCGACGCTTCCACGTGTACTCGAGAAAACAACCAGGGATGGCGTTATGTGTGGTACACATCTGGCGCCTTGGTATTCGTTCTCTCCATCCTTCGTGTGACCATCATCCGCCTTGAAGAGACCCCCAAGTTCCTCATTTCCGAGGGCAAAGATGAACAAGCACTACACGTTCTACGCAACATCGCCGATCGACACAACCGCCCATGCAGCCTCACTATTGAGCGGCTCCAGGCATGCGGACAAACCGCTCGTCGTGGGGTTCCAGGATCTGCTTGGTTTGCGCGGCTCATTTCCCCCAGCGAAATTCTCTTCCATCTCCGCGGCCTCTTTGAAACTCGCAAAATGGCTCTGTCTACGACCCTGGTCTGGCTCTCCTGGCTCCTCATCGGCCTCGCGTATCCTCTTTATAACGTGTTCCTCCCCACCTACCTTGCATCGCGGGGCGCAATGTTTGGAGAGAGTAGCCCGTATATTACCTGGCGAAACTACGCTATTAACAATACCTGTAGTATCTTCGGTCCCGTGTTGGCGGGACTCATGTGTCGCTCGCCCTGGTTTTGGGGCCGTCGGGGAACCATGATTATCGGAGCTGTGGTCACAATGGTTTTCTTTTTCTGCTATACACAGGTGCGCACTGCGAGCCAGAATCTAGGCTTTACGTGTGCTATTTCTTTTTGCTTGAATGTGTACTACGGTACTCTCTATGCCTACACCCCCGAGGCATGTGCTTGCTCACTTTGATTAACTCTGTCCATATCTAATTACTCGATAGGTCTTCCCCTCTGCCCATCGGGGCACAGGAAATGGCGTTGCCATTGGACTCAATCGTATCATGGGAATCGTCAGTGCCGTTATCGGCCAGGCCGCAAATGTACGGCTTTACTCTTTGCTCTCCTGGGAAAATGCTTATATTAGTAACAGACCAGCACGCCCGTGCCGATTTACATATGCGCAGCCCTTTACCTTGTGATGGCGATTATTGCCGGAGCTTTGCCATTTGAACCGTATGGTCGGCGAAGCAGCTAAAGGCTCAGCTAGCCGTTCGCATCTCATTGGTATATACGGAGTCAATACTTCAAATTATTCACCCTCACATTACTATATATCATTAATAGAAAATATGATACCCAGATAGACAGAGCAAATTGTCAATTCTGATTGAACCAGAGAGTACATTTGGATTTATTGAGTGGTGGGATACTTTTCCTATTTGTTCTTTCCTGAAAAGATTTCCTACTCTCGAATGGCCGAAATCACCTAAATGACTGACATCCAATCCTCGAACTCGACCATTCTCCATGTAGTCAGCAGGGTCATCTGCTCATCTCTCCATAGCCGTCACCACCCTTTGTCTGGCGCCATTTTCCCACCGATCCCATCCCAGAGTAAGACTCAACGTGTCTCTCCACAGATCCTCAGGATCGCTTCCAGGCGGCAACTCCCTGCCATTTCCAACTTTCCCATATAGCTTCCCTTTTACAAACCGCATATGCCAAGGGATGATCCCGATCTTCTCAAATCCCATCCTCTGCGCAAGTCGAGCACTAGCAAGGTTCATCGTGCTAGCCGACCAATGTACTCTGCGCAATCCAAGGCCTCCGTTCTCCGCGGAGTCAAATGCAAGCTGTAGAGCGAGTCCAACAGCATTAGTTGCCACATGGGTTCCCTGGTACGGAGGCAGGACGACAATGAATCCAATCTCTGTGCACAGGTTCGTCGGCGATGTGCGAATAAAGCTCACAGTGCCAGCCAGTTCACCTTCAGAGTCTTCTGGGGACGGCGGCTGCGTCTTGTCTATTATGGCAAAGGCGAATGACTCTGGATTGGAGAAAGACAGAATATGGCTCGTGGAATTACTGTAGAAGAGGGATTTGAGTTCGATTGCTGAAGCCGGGGGTAGTAGTGGTAAGTGTGTGTATATCTCGGGATGGGGCGATGATATGCGGAAGAAGGTTTCGCAGTGTTGGTCTGGGTTGAAGGGAATGAGCTTTACGCGTTCATTTGAAGCCTCGCCCACGTGGAAGGGGAAGATGGAGGATGATGCCATTATGGGTTGGAAATATATGCTTGAAAGATTTTCTCGGTTTTACGCGATGGGTAAAGTTGCACAAATGACTTGGTCTGAAGATATTATCTTACGCTTACGAGATGAAGTTATGAGTCACCCCTTGGCAAATATATATCCGTGAAGGACTGACCTCGTGATTCTTCAACGGCACAGCCGCGTCGTGCCAAGCTTTATGGCATCTGTTGGCCAGCAATGATTTAAAGATCACCGGTGAAGGCAACTCGCTCGGTTCAATATGTAACCGCTGTACGCATGGGCTGCATGCACTTATGTAGAGCGGCTCTAGCCAAGGTGCGGTGAATATTGGTAATGATGGGGAATTTACTATCTAGTAGTAAGTAGCTGGGCCTGTGATCGGGCTGGTTTCGCAAATAAGGTCTCTATTGCGTATCATCCTACGGTGAGTCGGATATAGTCCGCGTGTATGGCTCCCAAGGTAACCTGCGTCTTTCGTATCTGATTGCTCAATGATGTCTGTTTGGGCCGCGGTCGGTTCTCGGACTCGAAAGTGATATGTGTAGCCGGTAGAGTACGAGACCTGCCTGAAATCCAAACACGATCCCAATAGTTTCGTTCTTCGTTATCATTAAGCTCTATCTTCTGGATTATCCAACCTATCAGATCTTTGCAGTCGACGAACGTGGGTCCGACAAAGATTTCCTCTTTGGGATTAGCTTATCGTACCCAAGTATGAACTTGACGATGTGCGACAAGGCGAGACTTGCCAATCACGGCGTTGCGTCTGGGCTATTTTCAAGCGTCAGTGTCCTACGTCTGCATTTTAATTTCTGGCCATGGCGGGGTGAGTCTATATATGGCACCCCGCCCTCCCTGTTCAAACGGACACATCCATCTTCAGTGAGCATCACTTGATTCATCCTTTTTTTTAGCTCCAACTCTTCAGCACAATCCATACAATGGGTGACTATAAACCAGAACTGGAAGCAGCTTCAGTGCCTACCCCGCCCGAGAAGCAGGTCGACACCACTGGCATCAAACCATCCAGCGGAGTCCTTTACCACCAGCTACGAAATGAGCCCTTGAACATTGTCGGTGGTCGAGGCAGCTACCTGATAACTGAGGATGGTCTCGAAATTCTGGATGCAACATGTGGTGCGGCTGTATCCTGTCTGGGTCACAGCGACGAGCGTGTCCACGAAGCCATCCTGGACCAGTTAAAGAAAGTCCCCTACTGCTATTCCATGTTTTTCACCAACAATGCTGCGGAGAGTCTGGCAAAATTCCTGGTAGACTCAACTGGAGGCGAGATGTCTCGTGCCTACATTGTGAGCTCGGGTAAGAAATCTGTCCATGCTAAACCAAGATTGGTTACTAAAATCACAATAGGCACCGAAGCTGTCGAGGCTGCTGTGAAGATGGCCATTCAGTATTTTACGGAGTTGCCCGTTCCTGAGCCCCAGCGGGTTAACATCATTTCTCGAAAGTCGTCCTACCACGGAAATACCCTCGGGTCACTTGCTGTTGGATACCACGCCTCCCGGCGGAGGATCTATGAGAGTCTTCTTTCGAAGAATATTCACCACGTGAATCAATGCTATCCCTACCGCAGAATGAATGCGAACGAAAGCACCGAAGACTACGTTGCAAGACTAGCCCAAGAACTGGAGGACGAATTCCAAAGACTTGGCCCCAGCACTGTCTGTGCATTCATAGCCGAGACAATGCCCGGTGCTGTGAGTACAACCTGATCTCGCCAAGATAACCATGCTAACTGTTTCAATAGACCCTTGGCTGTGTTCCCCCGTTGCCTGGATACCTCAAAGCACTCAAAGCCGTCTGCGAGCGACATGGAGCACTCTTCATTCTAGACGAAGTAATGTCCGGCATGGGCCGCACCGGAACCCTCCATGCCTGGGAGCAAGAAGACGTCATCCCTGACCTCCAAACAATTGCCAAAGGACTTGGTGCTGGCTATGCCCCAATTGCCGGATTGCTCGTCAACAAGCACGTCGTCGATACTCTGAGTAAGGGCACCGGCGCTTTTGTCCACAGTCAGACATACCAGGGACACCCCGTTGCCTGTGCGGCTGCATACAAGGTGCAGCAGATTATACAAGAGGATAATCTGCTGCCGAACGTACGAGCGATGGGAGAGTATCTGGGTCAGCTTCTTCACGAGCGTCTGGATAGTCACCCTCATGTTGGTGATATTCGAGGCAGAGGTTTGTTCTGGGCTGTAAGTTTTCTTCGTTCTCATTGTTGGTATTTATTAACATGATTATAGATGGAATTTGTTCAGGATAAAGAGACGAAAGAGCCATATCCGCCTTCAAAGGCGCTTTCTCGGACTCTACACGCCACAGGTCTCAAGCCCGAATATGCGATTTCATTGATGCCAGGAAATGGGGGTATCGATGGTACTAATGGTGATCATATTATCCTGGCACCGCCTTATAATACTACCCGTGAGGAGATTGACTTGATAGTCGACCGAACTGTTCGGGTTATTCAAGAGGTTCTGGGATAGGGCGCCCTCTGCAGTTTAGTCTCTATCGTATCTTCTTACAATCAAATTTGTTGAATTTCCCACTCGATTCCCAATCAATGAGAATGAAGAGTCGATATGCATGTTTGGCGGGTTCCGCTGCCGTATGGTAAATCAATGCCGCGATGTCTTCCTAGAAATTCCAAAAAATTCGCTACAGCGACTACTATCCCCCTCATTGACGCTTTCCGGTCATGATATACAAAGTAATGTCATTGTGAAATACATTTTGCGTGTGAAAACAATCTAATTGGTCGATTATCAGGTGACTCTCACATAGATAAGGCTGCGGGGAACACATAGTTAACACCCCTACTCTTATTCTTTGTCAATCTCTCGTTACTCAGTAGCGCATCATTTCTTCGATCATATAGATGGCTGGAAGCGAAAAGTTCTCACGATCACGGACTGGTATGGTGACTCATCCTAGGGCTAGTAGAGGCGCTAATATCAATGTGCGACAGGATGTCTGCCATGCCGAAAGAAACACAATAAATGTGACGAGCAACAGCCAGTTTGCGCATTTTGTGCTTCGCGGGACTTGGACTGCAAGTATCCATTGGGTGTGAAATGGGTTCGACCAAAAGAGCCAATGCCGACAAGGCATAAGCCTCGCTGCAAAGATACCCGTCGAGCAGAACAAAACATGCTAGGTCGACCCTCGACACTTTTTACAGAGACATGCTTTGAATCTGCAGAAGACAAATCCGCCTGGGAATATTGTACGTGGCCTCATTCTGTGTAAGTGGAATAGGAATTCCTAATCAAGACTATCTGCACAGACGTAAGCCTCGTTTCATCCAATGTGCCCGCTGTAGATGGCCCGGACAACCCCTACCGGCAGGTCTCTATCCCAGCTCTATCCTCACCAATTCTTCTCGAGACGATTGTCTGCATATCGACAGAACATATGCTCAACTTCGGATTAACCAGCATTGATCTCGCAGCCAAGCGCCAGCAGCGAATGCTCAGGACGCTTGGAAAGAATTTGCTCAGTATCGAAGCCAGGGCCGCCTGCGACTCGGGTACAATTGTAGCCAGCAATAAGCACGAGCGAGAAGCATTGCTCACAGCGGTCGTTCTTCAGGGGATAGTCGTTGCACAAACAGCAGACGGCGTACTGGAGCCTCACGTGAAATGCGCTTCCTGGCTTATGCAAGCACTAGGCTACTTCGACGAAATACCCCAGAACCCCATCGCACGCATGACAGTACAGCGCTTCGGCATGGTCGATGTAATGTTAGCCATCTCCCGACAGCGAAGACCCTACGCCCCGCAAAGATTCATACTCTACCAGCCCGACCAGAGTCGCTGGGACACCACCGAGCCCTCATTCCACAAGATGACCGGATGCCCACAGCCCCTGATGTGCTTTCTAGTCCGAATCGCGCATCTAGCCTGCGACGTGAGCGACGGGCTCGAAACACAGCCGGACAAAGGCGTTCTCAACGAAGCCTTCCAACTCGACACCGAGCTTCGCGCCTGGGGATCCGGATACCGTGGAATACCCCCGGCGCGATGTGAGCGCACGCCCCTGGATATCCTCACCGAGTGCTTTTACTGGACAGCGCATTTGCTGCTTGCGCGTCGGGTTTTTCGCGATCAGACGTGCTCGCCGCGCGTGCAGCATCTGGCACATTTATGCTTTGGGTTGATGGATCATCTGTCGACGGGGTGTGGGCCTGATTCGTCGTTGCCCCAGCCGTTCTACATTGCGGCGAGGGAGGCTGTCTCCCCTGAGGATCGGATGTGGGTTCGGCAGAAGCATGAGTCTATGACGGCTTACTATCGAGAACAGCAGCGGAACTCGGCAATGGAGCTTATTGAGCAGATCTGGGAAACTACGGATAGACTGCGTGAGTTGGGTAATGATTCCGGTTGGCCAAGGGGGACTGAATTGTCAATTGTGGATAGCTATGTGCAAGCGCTTGATCGAGGGGCTTGTTTCTTCATCTTCTAACGAAGTTAATATTTTTGGAATATTGGATATTGGGCATTTTAGGGGGCTTTCTCTTTTCCCGGTAATTATGGATGAACCGGTTCGCGGAGTTAAAACAATGAACTGTCCCAGGGGTATTTGCTTATTTGCCTAGATTGGAATGCCCGGGATTTTGCACGTCAAGGATGATAATGCACTACATATCATATTCACGGGAATGCGAATACTACATGCAGTACAGGGTCAGAATGCCCGAAGTAAAATACTACAATGTAAGAAACAGACGCACCGGAGAGTTGAGACGATCCAGGGCTATTGAAGACGGAGTACTCCGTATATCCGTATAGAATAATGTACAGAAGTTGTAACTATAGTTATCATATGACGGGATCAGTATCGTAAAACCGGATATGGCGGATGTACGACTTAGGGCAACGAAGGAGAGTTGCACCCTGAATTCAGTACCGGTCGGGGTCGGGGTCTAGAATGACCTGTCATGTCCCACCGGCCAATCATAATCAATGCCGGGGCGGGTACCTGAATGTTTCTCCTTTGGCGGTCCGCGGAACTGCACGTGTAACTGCAAGCTTATTGGCCGAGTCCACTGGCTTAGCCCCTGGCACCGTGGTGCTCGAATCAGGGGAAACTTGCCAGGGGAAAACTATCACATCGTCCTTCCACCTCCTCGTTCATTCGTCAAACGCTTTGCCGAACGCATTGACTTGACACTGTCTCAGATTCCCGATCTCACGTGGATTGTCGGTATTGCAGTGTGTTTGTATTCATTCCATTTCCAGGTTGAACTGCCCCTGAGAGTCACACCGTTGGACAAGACGACGAGTAAGGAGTGGCACTACCCCTCTTCCAAACAATGGGTGCTCACGCTGCGCTCTTATTGCTCCAGGTCGCCGTGCTGCTTTAGACTCATGCAGGTCAACGCAGGGGCCAAAACCAGTTTTCCCTCCACTCCATACATACCACTTCATGCACTCGACCCGGATGGAAACCCCTCCAGGATTTTCTGCAATCTGCAATCTCGTAGAATACATCAAAAGAGGGAAAAAACGTAAGAGAACTAAAAAAAGACAGAAATCGAGGCCCTAACCAGAAAAAAAAAAAAAAAAAAAAACAATGGGGCCCCCACGAGGTGCCAATAGTCCAGAAAGGCTCCGGTGCGTTGGCCATCAACCGGTTCCCTCTGTGTAGTCAGCATCTCCCATCTCCTGATCCGCTTCTTCTGCCCTGCGCTTCTTGTATTCTCATTCCCTCCATTCTTTTCTTTTTCTTTTGCGTCCGTTTCATTCTTTCACGGCGACATTATACCTCACTCATTTCTGCCCAATTCATTCGTTTCCTCGACGGTTTGCCCCCCCTCCCGTTCCCGCCCCGTTGATCGATTCAACCTGGGTATTTGAGCATCTGCAGAAACATCTTTGATTCTTCATTGATTCCTGTCGATATAGGGAGATCTTATTCCCCTGCCATTCGTTTCCAGCTGCTTTGGCCAGCCCTTTTATTTATCCCCTCTTTTCCGGACGCCTCTGCGACGCGCCCTTACAACCCAACCCCCCAGTCACTGACGTGGACACCCTCGCGATTGGATCCCTACGCTACACTTCCATTCATTTATATCTTCAACCTGACCCTCTCGCGCCTGTGGCTGCTTCGAGGGAATCAATATTTCCAATCCTCCGTCTCCGTACCGTACACCCACCTCATTATTTGTCGGCCGGATCGTCACACCTACTTTTTTTCTTTCCGAAAATAAACAATATACGCACCCAAAAAAACATATTGAACAGCTTGGACACAGTCCCGATTTTCGTGCGATATATTTCTCTACCGACTCACGCTACATTATGTCTTTGTTGACAGAAATGCATTACCCATCAAACGGCGCAATTGCGCCCTCGTCTTCCTCGCCTCCAGCCTCCACGCCCTCTCCGTCAACCTCGAGTGCTACAACGGCTCATTCGTCGGTTACGCGCCGACCTCCTCGCAAGAGCACTCTGACTCAACAACAGAAAAACAACAAGCGTCAACGCGCAACACAGGATCAGCTTGTCCTTCTAGAAATCGAATTCAACAAGAACCCAACACCTACTGCGGCTACCAGGGAACGTATTGCTTCAGATATTAATATGACCGAGCGGTCTGTGCAAATCTGGTTCCAAAATCGGTAGGTGCTACTCGGGATTGTATTTCTATTATCTTTACTGACTCAGGGTAGCCGCGCTAAAATTAAGATGCTGGCCAAAAAGAGCATCGAGACCGGCGAAGGATGTGACTCTATCCCAGAATCTATGCGACATTATCTCGCGATGCAGTTTGATCCGAACAAAGCTGGCGCAAGAGACCCATTTGGACGGGTTGGCGCATACGGCCAGCCTAGCATGTACGCAAACGAGACCAGCCCTTCTGGCAAAGTCGGTATGTTGATAACTCCCTCCGCTCCATCGCCCATTAATTAATTGGTAATCTAGTAATTTCTCACTTCACCTGTCGTTCCTTGACTGTCGGCAGCTGGCGGCGCATTGGACAAAACGCCATGGACTTGGTCGTTTTCTATTCCCCTGATAAGGCATGCATGACTTACTATATCAACAACGATGCTGCCGGCTATAAGATCGAGTATCCGTTTGCCTATATCAAGAACATCACCTTGGAAACTGGGGATCCGAGCCCTGGGCCGAATGGGGAACCACCTCGACCAGGTGGTCTTGTTGTGGAGTTGAACCGCCCGCCGCACTTTTACATGGACTCGTCTAACTCCGGAGGATTCTACCAATGCGGTGATTTCACCGAGGAGCAGCAAGCTAGTCAGATCATGGTTCATCACCTGGGAGGCCATCCCAAGGTCTTGAGCGTTCAGCTTGCCAAGCTTGTATCGTTGGAGTCTTTCCAGAACCGCCTGGCTTATAATAACAGCAGCTTCGCCGTGCCGGCTGCGATGTCCCCGCCATTCATCCAGCGTCCTGCATCTCAGCCCAACCATTTTGCTGCTCCAACTTACATGAACCTGTACCAGGATAGCAACCACTTGGGCTTCAATATGCCAGCTGCTCGTGGCCACAAGCGCCAACGAAGCCGTTCGGTACCTGTTGCAGTTGACATCTCGACATTCCAGAGTCCCATGTCTTCCTTCCACGTGCCACCTCCACCCCCATTCAACCACACCGAAGCAGGCATCTACGCACCCGTTCCACAGTCAGTGCATCATCTCCCCACCGACCTCCGTATCGATACCCAAGGATATGGGCTGGATTTCCACAACCCCATGTCCGCGACGACCACCGGTTCGCCTCCCGACTTCGCCAGTCCCATGTACAGCAACGCCGGTCAGGACGATTCCACACCAATCGCCAGCATGGCGCCTCAGTTCAACGTGCCCTTCGTCTCGGGGGGTTCAACGGATGCCTCGGCAATGGGCTCTCACGCACCGTCTCCTTACTCTAGCATGAGCCCTGCCGACCCACTGATTGCAAACCACTCGCCGCCACTATCCAGCATGTCGCACGGCTCGTCCGATATGTACGGTTTCTCGCACGACCAGCAGACTAGCTTCGATGACGGTCTCTCGATGAACGATATGTACTCGAAGCATCATGTGAACTATGACGTTTCGCACGAAAGTCCCAGCTTCGAACTGCCTATGCACGGCCTCTCTGCTCACCCTTCTCCCGGCATGGGTGATTACTCCCACGGTATGGCTAACCTGGATGAGATAAACTCGCAGGGTATGCCAACTGGGTCATAACCACGAGTGTGGTGCCTCTCAGGGGTTTTTTTTGAATTTGTGTTTCTCCTTTGTCTCTTGATGTTTCACGGCCTTTTCTGTGCATGCGGCGCTTATGCTTGTCGATGGGTTCTTTGGGGTTTTTTTCACCTTGGGAAGTTTCTTAATTGTCCGATATCAGCAAGTCGAGTTTCGGTGTTTTGAAACACCCACTCGACGGCTCTTTTCGGATGATTCTCGTCTCGCTGGCGATGGCTAGGGAAGCGATTTTACCCTTTGATGTGTTTCTTGCGTGACATACCCTTGTGTCTTGTTGTATTGATTATACCCTTTCTATTCTGGGGCCGGTCCTGAAGCGATTTTTTGCTCTTTTTGTTCCTGTTTCCCACAGGACTTTTTTTTCTCTTCTTTGCTCCCGGTCAATTTACCATTCTTCATGTTCTTCTGACTTATGACCGGGATTTTCACTATTCTTTGATTTTCTCCATTTTCCCCTTTTACATTTCTCTTTTACGTGGTTATGCCAAACAGACCGGCTTGGATTGCGACTCCATTCCCCTCCATTTCTTTTATTCTCTTTTGTGTGAATTTCAAGGCTGGTGCTAGACTTCTGTCTGCCCTGCACTTTCAATGGCCCGTTTCCCATCATGGGTCTGGAGTCGAGTTTTTGCACATGAGCTTGTTGTGTCGGCACCTGTTTGGGTCAGACATCCAACCAACGCCGATCCTCTGGGCTGCGCAGAGTTGTGATATCTTCTGCCCGGGACCATACAAGTAGGACAGCGCTGAGCTGGCGGTATACGAGTTTGGGGGATTGACGCTAGGCTCTGAATAAATTCATTTTGCATACAGCTCTATGTAGATTGTAGCCGTAGTTCAGTCCGACTATACTGGACACTGGTAAACATACTGGTACAGTTTATACAAGGGTATCAAAGGTCTCATCCACCACGCAGTACACGCCTTACGACTGCTTCTGCTTCTCCCACCCCATCGGCAAAGGCGCCTCATACCCTCCCTTCACCCTAAGGAACCATTCAATCCAAACCTCCATCTTCTCCAAGACATTCCGCTCCTGCTTCCCCTCCATCCCAATATCAAACACACCCTCCTTACACCAAACACTCCACGACCCCATCATCCCCGCCATAAGCACATCAGTCCCAAGCCGATCCCCAACAACAGCGATCTCATGCGGAGAATCAATAACCCCCCTCTCCCGAAACCACCGCACAACCTCCTCGCCGCAAAAGGGCTTCTTTTCCGCGCCCGCCGGCAGCCGGAAAACAGGAATGCGCAGAGGCGCAAGCTGCGCTTCCAGCTCGGAGACTTCGCCGTCGAAGCGCGGGTGACTCCCGGCGCGGTTCGAGACAATGAGGATTGAGTCTGGGTGTGTGGTTTGGTTGAAGAGGGATGTTGGCGAGGTGCGGAGTGAGGAGAGTTTGGCTAGGATCTGTGGGGGGAAGGTTGTTGTTTTCGCCGCGCAGAGCGTGTTGTCTTTGTCCAGGACTAGGGCGCGGATTGTGGGTATTTGTGTTTGGGGCCCTTTCTTTGCGTTGATCAGGTGTGGTCCTAGGTTCTCGGGGAGCTGGGTGAAGGTTGGGATTGTGAGATGTGGGAGGAATTGAGTTGGTTGTTTGAGGAGGGTGTAGACGGCGTGGTTGAAGCCGCGTAGGTTGGAATTGGGTGAGCCGGCCATTATGGTGGGTTTCGGATTTTTGATGTAGAGGTCCGGGGGGTGTAGAGAGCGTTATTGGAGGCACATCACGGGTGATTCTTTGGTGCCTTTTTGAGGTTGAGGTTGTTGTTTGGTCGGGGTTGGAACAGCCAAAGCGGAGAGGATGAGCTTAACCGCAAAACTCGCCTTTCTCTTAACCTCCACTTAACCGACCTCGTTACTGTCCCACCATCTCCCCACGATCACCCATTGCCTTTATTCGTCCCTTGTTGGTACGAAGGAAGCTTCCGGTGTTTCTGTTCGACTTATTTCAACCGTTTTTCATCCTTGTTCGCCGTCACACAGTCAAAATGGGCAAGCTCACCTCCACGATCGGCATCCCGATCAAGCTCCTCAACGAAGCGCAGGTGCGTTATATTCCCCGATATTGCTATCTAGATTGTTATACGATCCATGTACATATCGCGCGAAAATGGAATTCATGCACGATCTCGCGCGAGGCAGAGGGGCTAATATCGTTTTCCAATAGGGCCATGTCGTGACAATTGAAATCACATCAGGAGTCGTCTACCGGGGGAAGCTTTTGGAAGGTACGTGGTTCATTTCTTCTCGAGCTTGGTGTCTACTCTCTATCTAGAGGTCAAACAAGCATCGGGGAATGTTTCTTTTGCGCGGTCACATACTGACTGCTCTTTCCTACAGCCGAGGACAACATGAACGTTCAGCTCAAGGACATCACCGTCACCGCTCGCGATGGCCGTGTCTCCCATCTCGACCAGGTCTACATTCGCGGCAGCCACGTGCGATTCTTCATCGTGCCTGACATGCTCCGGTACGTCGAACTCGGATATCCAGCTTTTAGATCGCAATTTACGATTTTGCGGAACTGCGCATCTCCAGTTTCACCTTTGCTGACTGTCTACTCTCTTCTAGGAATGCACCCATGTTCCGTACACGAGGCCAGCGCGGGCGCGGTGTCGGTTTGGCGCGTGGTAAGGCTACGGTGCAGCGTGCGCGTGGCCAGCGCGGCCGGGGTTAGACGTGGTATCTGGAAGAGATGAAATCGCAGTTTCAAGGCCTCACAAGTTCAAGAGTGGTTGGCGTTTTTTCTTTGTTTTCTTGGTTCTTAAGGCATTTCTTTTTCGGGCTTAAAAGTCGTAGCTACTTCTAGTCCTAGAATTCGGAGTACTTCGAGCCCACTACCTTCTTTGCCTTTAACACCGCCGCTATTATCCCACAATCGAGAACCGCAAGTGCTCGTCGTGTTCGCACTCGAAGGCAAGCTCCGAAGTGGTACATGGTTTTGGAAAAGTTGTCGACAAATGCCTGCCAAGTTTCAGATTCGTTTGAGACCAACGCATCAGCCGGTGATGGAAGCACTCGCTCGCTTATTCTCAAGCGTCTTTATTTGAACTAGTTTGCACATCCTCAGACATCTTGAAAATCTAAGAGGAGCATTGGAGGCAGATACCGACGAGTAGTGGACTGAGGATATACAGTGTTTAGATTAATTAAGCTGCCCTTGAATGTAAACTGGACTCTAGACTTTAGTGTCTAGAAAACCGCATTGCTTCTCCATTAATTCTTCACCTTCGTGGCAAACTAGCAAGAAAAGGTCTGCTGAATCTTTTAATTAAAAATAATTTTGCGAGGTGAAAAATATATACTGCACCTCAACCGGTAGCAAAAAGGGGAATCACACGCACAAAAAAAGCCAGACTGCCAACGATGTGAGTCGGGGTATCTTATAACTGACGGCCGACTATGCAACAGACCGAACAGCGAACAAAAAGGAGAGACCATGAAGTGTGGACAGGAACCAAAACCAAACCAACGCCCTTCGATGCCCGAGGGAATCGTATGATAAGTGAATGGACAGGAGAATCGCAGATGCAATCGCTATGAGAGAAAGACACGGGACGAAAAGAACATATAACAGCAGGGGGAAAAAAAAAAGAAAGGAGAGAACATCATACATATACGAATCTTGAATCTTGAATCTTGAATCATTTGAGTTGACCCTTGCGCACAGAACCATAGCCCTTACTAAAGAGCTCCTGGATCTCAACAGAACGCCGAGGCCTATTAGTGTCTTCGGAATAGAGGCCAGATTGGCGACCACGGTTTTCAGTATCACGACTCGGCACGCTGCTATTATGACTAACCGTGGCGCTGGCAATATCGATCTCGACATCCTTGGTATCCATGACACGAGGGCGCGCGAGCAGCTCGCGGACCTGGCGTTCGCGGGCGTCCATTTCAACCTTCTCGGCGTTGTCGCGGGCGATCTCGAAGCTTGATCTCTTGGTACCGTGGTCCCAGCCCTGCTGGAGCTCCGAGGCAGCTGCTTCTTCGAAGCGCTTGCGGATGTCGAGGTCTTGTTCGTATTCTTGAAAGATGTCGACGTCTGTTGGGAAGAAGAGGGCGCGGAGGGTTGAGACTGTGAATTCAAAGAGGAGGACTGCTGAGACGGCGAGGAGGAGGTCGGTCCAGAAGAGCAGGTTGTGGCCGGAGTGATGGATGAAGTTGGACGGGAGGAAGTAGATGCCTTTGCCGGAGGACATTGTGTATTCACGGTCGAGGATTAGGTCCCACATGAACCAGCCGCCGACGGAAATTATTATTACAATTAGCGACATGTAGGTTTTGTTGTGGACTTCCAGAGCCTGGAGTTTCACGTTGATCACGATGATGCACGCGGAGAAGGTGAGTAGGCCCATGGAGAAAATGTCGTTGTCGCTGGGGTTGATTTTTGCCAGGCCGAAAAGACTCCACATAGTAAAGAAGATTATCACTGCTTCGCACGTCGCCATGAATGCCCAGCCCAGATAGAGCCGGATATTGAAGCCTCCGTGCCTTTGACCCTTGGTGTAGAGCTCTGGCACGGCCAGTAGTGTTGCTGCTGAGAGGTCTTTGGTGAAGATACCCAAGAAGATGACAGCGAGCGAGGTGAACAGCGTGTTGAACATACTCAGACTCCACGGCTCATACAAACTGGTGCCAGTGTAGCCGTTCCAACGCTGGTACAGCGCTTGAGTCAGGTAAAACAGCATTTCCTTCCAGAACGTGCCGAGTGTATACTTGCAAGCACGCAGATAGTTCCACCGGCCGTGCACCAGAAGCAGCTTGAGAAGGAAGCGGAACTGCGCGATCGAGTAGTCTGAAATACGTGCTGCCTGCAATCCCTCCTTTCCAGTGATGCCGATACCCACATGGGCCTCCTGGATCATGGCGATATCGTTGGCGCCATCTCCAATAGCAAGCGTTATTGCGTCGGTGAGCTGTTTGCGGATTGATCTCACCAAGAACGCCTTTTGCTTCGGGCTCGCTCGGCAACAAATGACCGAGTCTGCCTTGACAGCCAGTTGGAAGAACTGCTCACGCACCACCTCATTTGCTTCGATCAACGATAGCGTCTGGCCATCAACCACAACTACAGAATGCGCCACGCGGCCATGGGTAATCTCCCCAATAAGATGCGCGATTGTCTCCTCAACGTCGCCATTTTCTTGATCCAAAATTGTCAGTGTCGAGTACTCCTTGACAAGACGACACGAATGGCCGACATTGATAGCAGTCTCCCGCTTATCACCGGTCAACATCCACATCTTGATATTGGCTCGTCGCAATTTGTCAATAGCCTCTGGCACGCCCTTTTGCAGCTTATCCTCAATAGCAGTGGCCCCAGTAAGCTCCAGCTGCTGCTCAATCTGCTCGCCGGCGTCTTCAATTTTCTGCTGCCGATCAACGAGGCTAGTGCTAGCCTCATTGTAAGCAGTCTTCCAATCCGTGTAGGTCGCTTCATCCAAGAATCGGTGGCCATACAACAAAGTCCGCAGGCCGTCAGTGGCAAAGTCATTCAAATGCTGGAAGCAGCGCTCGAAAACAGCCGCTTCGTTGACAACCAATGCCTCTTCCACGAGATCCTCGTCTTCTTCACCATTCGTAGAGCTTCCAGAGTCCGAGATCGCAGCGGACGGTCTGCCCATCTGCGCCGATGGCCGAGGGCTGTAGTACTCACTATCAGCCTCTTTGTTCCGCATACCCCCATCCGTCTCCCGGTCACGCAGCCAAATATCGATACTAGCTCGAAGAGCCGAGCCCTGTTGGCCAGTGATCGACGAGCGGCGACGGCTGAAGCTAGGCCGGTTCATACTGTTCCGAACACCACTGTTCTTTCGGCTGTGGTGCTCGCTGTTACGTCGGATCACCTGGTTCACCTCGGCATTCTTGCGTCTGCTTGCACGGCGCTCGATCTCAGTCGCCTTATCACGTGCCAGATCGGCTTGCTTCAGGAGACGCATCAGTGTGGTATCGGCACCCTTGCAGAATAGGCAAATGCGTTGGTCGGGCATACGCACGACGACTGACATGCGCTTTCGCGCGCTTGAAAACTCGATCACGTCCATGATCTCGTAGACTTCGTCGCTAGTGGCTTCATCTGGTCCGTTCGGTTGTGTGCGGACGGTCAACGTGTTTGATTGACGATCCACGACGAGATATCCGAGTTCCTGCGCTGCAAGAACAAGAGCTAACTCATCCGGGGAAGCAGCCTGGAAAGTGATGTTTCCGTTTATGTCTTGCTCGGGAATGCAAGTGTGACACAGTGCCATGGACAGAATAAACAGTTTGGCCTTTCGGGCAAAAATGGTGTACGGCTTGCGTTGGATATATTCGAGCATCTCTTCGGTGCGGTACGTAGTAGCCGACCGGCCATACGGACGGAGAGCATCAAGGTGTCCAGAAACATTCGACGGACGGGGCATCTGAGCCTCGGAAACATTGGACTTGCGTCCCATTGCCTTTTTCCCCTTTGCGCTCCGCTTTTTGTGGATCAACTTGGTGTGGTCGCCTGCACGAGCAGCCTCCTCCTGGAGGTCCGCGTCATGCAACCACGCGGTTCCAGCCACACTCATCTTGCGGAACCGCATCGAGTTATTTGTCAGGGTACCAGTCTTGTCAGAGAAGATGTAGCTGACTTGACCGAGCTCCTCGTTGATGGTAGATGTGCGCGCTTCAAGCGGGGTGTCGGTTTCAGGATCGTACATGTCGATATCGTTCAAGAGCAGCATCTGGGCAACTTTGACGATTTCCATACTCACGTACAGGGAGATGGGAATCATAGTGTTGAACATAATCAGGAACGAAGTGAAGATCGGGCCGTAGGAGACACTAGCACCTTGAAGGTACCAAGAATGTTGCTCCACGTCGCGAGACCAGAACTTGTAGGCCACGGTACAAACAACGGCTAGAATAATGACCAACACCACGATCAGCATTACCACACGGTTAACCTTATCCTGGAGAGCGGGCCTCTTGATTCGCGGGTTCTTGTTGGCGTTCATGCGGATCTTGCACTCCTCGCCAGTATATATCACCATACCCAAAGCGCGGTCAGTGTTCCGAAGAATGCTGCCGCGGTAAACAATCTCGTTGTTGGTCAAGGGCAGTTTCTCCTGGCCATTGACAGTGACATGACCGTCGAACTTATATAGATCCAAGTTGGGGTCCTCAACGACAAAGTGCAAGGAGTTGCTGTTGATATCCTCCACGGTTGAGCACACCTTAGACACAGGCTGGCAAGGCTTCTTATTTTTCAAGTTTGTCTCGCCGTCAAGAGCCATGGTCTCGATGTAAGCGACACCGTTGGGTCCGGTGGCGTGGAGGAGAGCAATATCAGCGGGAATCGGCTGGTCGCGCTCAAGTTTTATAACATCTCCAACACGAATTTCCTCACACTTGATCCGCTCCCAATCTTGAGTATTGCTGAACATGGAGGCTCCGTCCTGGGTCGTGCCGTGGCCTGGGCGGAGCACCCAAGCATCCCGATTATTCTCTTCCTTGTCCAAACGATACCGGCGCCAATCATCGAACCCCTCCTTTCCCATTGATATGCCAACGAAGATCAAAAGCGGAACGATGGTCGTGTATGTTCCAGTTGTACTCAAGCCAGGGATCATCTGCAAGATGGCGATAATCAAGAAGTAGAAGTTGGCGACTTTGGTGAATTGGGCCAATAATTGGCGGGGGAAGAAACTCCAGAGACTGTAACGACTCGAACGAATGAAGTTACCGATATAAGGCTTCTGGGTGCGCTCATCAATCATAGAATCCACCATAGACGGATTCAAGTCAATGTGGCGCCCATCCTGAGTAGGAGGAATATCCTTGGTTCGGAGAATGAATTTCTGGATAGATGCCATAACAGCCTGGAAACGCGCGACTGCCACTGCAGTAGTCGCCTTTTTCCGGAGCCACTTCTCATGGGCCACAGACACGGAGAACTGCTCCTTGGGAGACTTCTCCAAAGGATCGGACGAGACATAAGGGGAAGCATCCTCCGTATGGATCGAGTCGAGCGTCGCCATCGGCGCGACACTCAGAGCATGCTTCTCATCGACGGCAGTGAGCGTCTCAGCAGCCGAAGCCTGTGTGGGAGTCACATCAGACGAGGGTTCCTTGGCCTCCCCCAGCTCAGCTAGGGCGAGATCGTCCTTCTCCGTCGAATTGATTGTCTTATTAAATATGCTGCGACGGAGCGAATATCCACGATTTCGTGACCGAGACCGACCTGCAGGCTCAGGATTTGGCGAGGGAATGGGGGAGAGAGTCGCATTTTGGGTCGCATTGGTAGGTGAGAGCGGAGAGGTGGGCGAGGGAGCAGGTCGAACACACGCAGGCGCCAGCGCTGTTTCGACGGTCAGGCCGCGGGAATTGGGGCGACGGTCCCAATCTGTCTGTCGTTGTTCCTCGATCGACTCGCGATCGAGATCGGTTGAGAAGCGTACATGTTGGGAGGAGATCCGCCGCGCGGAGTCGGAAATCGTATGTGACGACGCAAGAGATGGGCGTCGGAGGACATTGTTCTGCTCGGGTCGGGTACCCTCTGTAGCTTCCGTAGATTGGTCGTTGGACATGACGAATTCCAGGCACGAGGGCGCGGGACAGACCCCGACGATCTCGGTGATTCTTTTCTAGATCCTTCCTCGACTAGCTTCCCCTCAAGCGTAGATTGAAGTATTCGATTGCACACGCTGATCAGACAGTCATTCTTTCGCTGTTCTTTTAGCGGGGAAGATGTGTTCTCCTTGTCGTAAAACGAAGGTGTTGCGAATGTGGAGCAAATGAAAGTACTCCCGTCGGACGCAAGGATAGAAATGAAGGGCGCAATGATTGTTTCCTGTAGAATGTCCTGTAGAGAAGAGAAAGAAAAGAGGCCAAGAGGCCAAGAGACTAAGGGACTAAAAACCCAGATAGAGGCCAGGAGTAGCCAAGACCAAGTTTGGAGAAATGGTAACCCCAAAACGGCCTAGTGCGCCAACTATATCTGGAAGACGTACTCGATCTACACGGAAATAAATGATAGGCAGACATATAACGACAAAATTGGAGTTCAAGTGGAACAACCCAAACGTCTCAATATCCAAGACCGTCCCAATAACAAACCCCGTTCATGGCAGAGTTTTAGGCAACGCGCAAGATGCAACCATACAATATCCCCGCCTGCACCCAGGCACAGCCCCATCCAGGTTAAATTAAGAATCGTCGAATCAAAGGGGATTGTTCCTCGCTGCATTGGGGCGACATACGAGGGCCCGCTGGATCCAGATCTGCCTGGCTTTCTATTGGCCACCCTGACATTCCCAAGACCCTGCAACCCTATTGCAGATGGAAAACGGAAAAACTGGGAGTATAAAGTGACTTTCCCCCCCTCTTTTCGCTAAAATGTTATAACAATATACATATCTAGGTCATGTACGACCCTTTTGTGTATTATGTGTATCCCCAGTGTTTCTGCAAATGTAGGTTTCACAATTCCTCAACTAGCGAACCCGTGGGTTGATTCGTCTTAGTGTACTCCGTAGCCTTGGCGGGCCCGATTACAAGAGACCTGTAACCTTGGAAGGCCTAGAAATCCCCAGTTTAAAACGAAACAATGATATTCAAGTTACAAGTTGGGTTCAACGCGTTCGAAGCTACGTAGACTAAAATGTGATCACCCCACAACCTTCCCTCAAAGCCGCATGGCGAAAAACGGGAAACTCGTAAGCCCTATGACGTCATGCTCTATCAATAGCGTGGCGGCTGTCCGCCATACTGGTAGCCAGGTCCAGGCTGTGACCCATACTGCGGTTGCTGGCCATAGGCACCACGAGTGCCCTGCTGGGGGGCCTGTTGGGGAGGCTGCTGTTGGTATTGACCACCCTGCGGTGGGTAGCCGGACTGGGAACCGTACGAAGCCGGTGGGGCACCAGGGGGCGGACCATATGAAGGCTGAGCTTGGCCCTGGGGTGGCGGGGGTTGACCGTATGGTCCGCCTCCGTACTGGCTTATCGATGCAGGTGGAGGTGCACCGCGACGTTCGTTGTCTCGTTCATCCTTGGTGTCGTAGGAGGAATCAATAGCGCCGAGCATCAGTTTGGCACACTGTAATCATAGTTAGTTTACTAATACGCGATGATCAATGTTATATAACGCTTACCCAAAGCTCACGAGTGAGATGCACTGGTGGGTTAGCACGCGACATCTCATCCTGCTCAACCTCGAAGTCTAAAACACCACATTAGCTGGATCCATCATGAGCCCCATGTGGAACTTACTGGAGGTACAGTCGATCAGGTGGCCAATATGAGGGTCCTGGTCCAGAGATCCCAAAAAGTCGCGAGCCCGCTGATCAGTTCCCACTTGCGAGAACTGGAAGGATACGGCGCCAGGGCCATAACGGGTCCGTGACGTCTCCTCCACTGCATAGCGAATGACATCACCCACAGTGCCGTGAGGCTCGCCAGCAGGCTGTCCGTCGGTGATGGTGATCACCAGCACAGGCTTCTCGAGACGATTGGCCCGGGCGGGCTGAACGACCATCGGGTCAATGACCTTGGACTTCAAGCTGGTGCCCAGGGGGGTCAGGCCGGAGAAACGGACTCGGGACACTAGACGACTGACATCCTCCGCATCGCGAATGCCATCGCCCACCTCACTAGAGTTCATGAATCGGACGGAGATACCGTCCTGGTCGAAGGTAGATGCAGCAGTAGCTACAATACCAAGAATCTGTCGGAGTTGATCCTTCCGGAGTCCCTTCTCTTCAAATTCAATAGATCCACTATCATCAACGTAGAGAATCACGTCGAACAACGAGAGCTTCATGACATCGGTCGCCACCTCCATGGGCACGGCCCATTCCTGAATCAGCCTATTGAGCTTAGCCGGTGCTTCGGCGGCGAGCGACTGAACAAGTCGGTCCAGTCGCTCCGGAGGGTAGAAGCTTTGGAGATTCCTCTCTTGAATCGTTGAAATCAAAAGCGATCGGTAAGCTGCAGCCTGCTGCTGTGTAGCCGGGGGAGCTGCAGCCTGAGGGCCGCCTCCGGGTGCGCCATACTGGCCTGGTGGTGGTCCGCCTGGTGGTCCAGGTGCGGGTCCAGGACGGCCCTGGCCACCGGGGTATGGAGCTCCCTGAGAAGAATAGGGCGCTGCCTGGTTCTATTTTTCGTTAGCATCTTTTCCAGCCATTGAGCGTTCAACGAGAATCCAATGTAATCAAAAACGGAACAGAAATATGCGGTGAATCAGGGCAAGGGGTATTTTGTACATATGACGGCTGCTGTCCAGGATATGGTTGTTGTCCAGGATATGGTTGTTGTCCGGGGTATTGTTGTTGTACAGGATATTGTTGTTGTCCGGGATATTGTTGTTGTCCGGGATATTGTTGTTGTCCAGGGTATCCTTGTGGAGGTTGCTGTTGACCAGGATAGGGCGACTGTGCAGACTGTCGTCCTGGGTATGGCGAGCTCGGAGAAGCATATGGCTGTCCCGCTTGCTGACCTGGGTAGGGCGAACTAGCGGAGGCATAGGGCTGGCCTTGTGGTGGGGGTGGAGGCGGGCGGCCATAGGCCTGCGGTTGTTGAGATTGCTGAGCTGCGGGGTAGGGTGTGGATGGCGGAGGCCGGGAATAGGGAGATGACGGATTGTTCTGACGTTGAGATGAGCCGCCATATGGAGGATAGCCTTGGTAAGATCCCGACATGGTTGTTCCAGAAGAATGATGACCGTGGAGGGGTAAATCGTGGAAGTGGGGGAAAGTAAAAAGCAAAAAGAGTTAAGAAAAAATAGCACGTACCGATCCCTGAGGAGCCGGAGATCCTGAATAAGCCTGGTATTGCGGCTGTTGACTCTGCGAACGTTAGCACTTTCCTTTTTCGATGACGTCGGAACTGCGAGTCATAGCAGAAACAGGCACAACATATGACTTACCGATCCGCCACTTTGCAAGGCTGCGGGAGGGCCCCCAGTGTAGCCTGCTGGAGGCGCACCTCCGTATGAACCACTATTGGCCATCTTCTCGTTATTCTGAGCTGCGGCAATTTTCTGAGCAAACTAAAGATGGGTCAGATTGAGGGGTTCTCGGGAAGTGGTAACTAGTAAGAATGGGAATCTGGAAGACTTACACCCATGATGAATCAGATGGAGCAAGGAGGAGATAAAGTAAGGCACAGGCAGAAGTTCCAAGGTTCCGAGGGTTGGAGTATCACGAGAGGAGAGTTCCAAGGTTCGGTGACGTTGCCTGATGTGGATAGCGGCCCCTCTTCAGTTGGAGTGAGGGTATACGCAAGGTACTTCGGGATACTTTGTTCCCACGTGTTTTTACTCGCGAATGAAGTATCCGTAAGTATCTCACATGAAGTCATTAAATTGATGTATACGCAGCCCTATATATATTACGGATTTTAGGCGGCAACCATTTCCCCTGCGCCTCTTTACGAGGGCCGATCCCACGATTTCTGCGAGGCAGATGACGGAGATTCGTATTACCCCGGTCGGTAGTCCAACCCCGCTATGTCCGAGTAACAGTTGAACCTCAGTCGTGGTCTCTCCGCAGAGTCACTAAACTGTTTACTATAACACAGCTTAATTAATATTTTTTACTATTGCCGCTGTTCTCGAATGTAATGTGAGTTATGTAAATTCAACGGATAACTATGGGCCATTCAATCATGACATAAAAGCCCCCCCGTTAGATCCAATCAAATCCCCATTCACCCACCTAGAACCTTCTCCCGAAAGCCAGGCGACCACATCCGCAACATCTCTCGGTGTTCCGAGTCTCCGCTCGGCGGTAGCAAGACCCTTGGCAGCGGCCCTCGCATCACTGTCGGGAGCGTCAGGTGTCGCTGTGGGTCCTACCAAAACGGCATTACAAGTGAGATGATTCTTGACGGCAAGTTCTCGAGCCCATGTACGAGTCAAAGACTCCAAAGCGGCCTTGCTTGCTGAATAAACACCATATCCTGGAAAATTCAGCCTAGAACCAATTGAGGAACTGCAACGAATGTTAATGGTCAATGCTGGTGTGAAGGTAATTAGGTCGAAACTACTTACATGTTGATGATTCTATTCCCATGCGGTCCTAGGTGCGGAAGCAATGCCTGGACCAAAAGGATAGGAGCTCGTACGTTGATGTGCATGATCCTAGTCTTATTAGCAATCTTTAGATCCCCACGAAGGCCGTGAACAGGAAAGGCTTACCTCTCAAATTCATCTTGATCCAACGGTTCTTCAACGCTGGCGGGTGTTTGAGCAATGGCCGCATTGTTGATCAAGAGTTCGATGGTCCCAACCCCAAGGCCTTGAAGAGCCTGTCTGACAATTGATTCTCCACAGGTTCCCGATGATAGATCGGCTTGAATTGCGCAGCATTTCCGACCTTGGTTTGTAAACTCGTCGATCATTTCGAGTGCTGTTGATTTGGAATTACTTGAAACGTAAACCAAAGCAACATTCGCCCCGAGAATGGCAAGCTGTCGGGCAATTTCCTGCCCTATCCCACGGGTAGCCCCAGTAACGATGGCAGACTTCCCTACCAGGGGTAGATTTGATGGGCTCTCTGCAAAGTCAGACATGTCTGTAGCAACTGTGACTTGCCAGTTCGATTCAAGAAAACGAGTACAATTCTAACAAGGCTGCGTTCTCAAATGTGCGGATAGGGAATCAGGCAAGTCGGATCCTCACAGCAATGAAGAATTACTCGTATAAAATATATTTGCTAGTAGGGAATTCACCCTTCTTCCCCTGTCCTTGCGCCCCAAGAACTTTGAACGGGATAAAAAACTTTTCTAGGCCTTTTAATCTTTTCCTATGAGTTTGAACGGATCGGAAATTGAAGTACCGGCCGGCAACGGAAGAGTATTCGGCCATCCGGGACCTGGCTTTCCGTACGGAGTACTCGGAGATTGATAAGTGACGCTATACAACATGGTTCATCCTCATTCAGTTTACTGCAACACTTCTCCACTTTCAAGAATATTGGAAGCCGTCGGGTTACAGCAGTCTCTAACCCCTACTAGTACCACTAGACGCCACAGAAGTGCAGCGCTCTATAGTCAAGTTTGACCGCCTGCAGGCAAAATCTAATATGACGCACTAGCGGTTAGAGCTGCCACTGCCGTACGTCGGGTGGATAATTCTTATTCTTGTTCTGACATCCTTGCATGTGTATTCTTGCAAAGATCGCTCAAAAGGCCTACAGAGGTATGATAGCCAAAGGTCGGTTATTCTAAGATGAGTCTACTTCGGGAGTATAATTCTTTGTCACTATCTATGATGCCTTTCATTTCCAACCAATATCGGTCGTACACATAGCATGGACCATCCATATCTATATAGGATCGACAGATAATCTGCGGCTGTCTGTATGAAGTGTATCGGATTTTACCAGCCATGGTTCGAATCCGGGGTAAAACTCAGACCAAACTATGAAATGTGGCCCTAGATCACAGGACAATGATGTCACAAAGTTGGCATGCTCCAGGGATGTCCTGTCCTTGAAGCCGATGGTACACAGCTCACAGGGGCACTGCCGTATTTTCTTTGTTTGATCGTTCCGAGATCGTATCAACGAGGCATCGCTCTTACTCTAATTTTAGAGCTTTGCTCACTTTCACATTCGAAACTCCCTTAATCCCTCAACTACTTGAGATACCATTCTCCTTCTCAGTCATTTAGCTGAGACGAACTACAAAGAACTCAATCGTCTCTCGGCTTCCCTCCATATGTACCCATCAGATCCGCAGCTTCCTACCCTTCCGCCAACATGTCCACCCCCATCCTCCGCCTAGGTATCCTAGGCGCCACGAACGCCGTGCAAGCCACCTACCTCCCAGTCCTCTGTTCCCTCAAAACACACTACACCCTCACAGCCATATACGACCCCAACGCTGAAGTCGTGAACCAATGCCAATCCCGCTTCGACATCACCTACAGCACAACAGTCGTCGAAGATGTTCTGCGCCATAAAGAAGTGGACGTTATCCTCAACCTCCTCCCAATGGAATACCACGAGCAATACACCGTGACAGCCCTCGAAGCCGGCAAACACGTAATGGTTGAAGTCCCTCTCTCAATGAGCGTCTCAAGCCTGCGCCGCATCCGCGAAGCAATCAAAAAAGGCAAGGCCTCCCGATCCCTTGACGGCACCAACGAAACAGACGGCCCAAAGGTATTCATCGGATGCGCGCGCCGCTACGCCCCCTGCTTCACGGATGTCTTCAAGAAGGAACTCGCCTCCTTAGGCCGCGTGTACTACGCGCGATGTCGACACATCGCCGGTCCGATGAACAACATCGTCGCGCCGGCCTCGAAAGATATCACGCCGGCAATGAAGCGCAATAATAACCCAGAGCAGTTCCACGCGCTGTTGGAAGATGTCTTCGGGTTGAAAGAAGACCTTACACCGGACAGAGTCGCTTTCTGTCGCTACCTCGGCATGCAGGGTTGTCATGATCTATCGCTGATGCGCGAGTCGCTAGGCTTCCCGGATGCTGTTGCTAACGTCGCTATCACGGACCCGTTTTATTCTGCCATTTTTCACTATACGAATTCCGCCGAGAATGAAGGTCGCCCGTTTACGCTTCTCTATGAGGCTGGGGTTGATGCCGTGCCTCGCTGCGATGCTCATTTGACTCTCTATGGCGCGCACAAGACTCTCAGTGTGGAGTACGACTTCCCGCGTCCTGGTGAGAAAATCAGTACTGGTACCTATGTGCGGGTTGTCGTTGAGGAAGCGGACGGGACGGAGGATACGAATAATGTCAATGGAAATCAGATTAACGAGACCGAGAATGCTGTTCCTCGTCCTCGTGTGAAGCGGACGGAGACTGTTAGTACCTGTGATGAGGCGTATGAGCGTGAATTCATGGCTCTGCATTCTTATTTGGCTGGTGATGGGTCGGCGGCGAAGACAACCGCTGATGACGCAGTCATGGATCTGCGGCTGCTGCTCATGATCTTTGACCACTACAACCGCCAGTGTGGTACCATTCGGACTCCGCTGGGTTGAGCGTTGATTGCTCAACAGACGGTTTGATGTGGTAGAGAGGGCCTTCGTCCGGTGTTTTCTCGAAAATTTGCTTTAGGCTTGGTTATACAGGAATTGCTTACATTCGGTTATCGCAAAGATTGGAGTCTTGGGGGCTAAACAAAGCCAGTGGGAATTCATTCTACTACCCGTCTCGGGTTTGAGGCGCCCTTCAATATGAAATACAAGATACATACCTGTGTTCCATGTATCGTAGGTAGCATTCGAGCTATGATTTCTATCTGAAATTACACTATCGCTTGCCCTTTTTCTTATTCTTCTTAGCATTAGGACCACCACCGCCTCCGCCGGTCTTTTGCGGTTGCTGGGCGGGAGACTCTTCCGCCTTCTCATTGACGGGACCACCCTGCGTGAGTGCTGCAGCACGCTGCTTACCCTTCTTACCCTTAGGCCTGTAAGAAGAGCGGTCCCGCACAGGCAGCCAGCGCTCGGGATCAGGCTTCTTGGCAGGATCGAAGTCCTTGGGTAGGCGGGACTTGCGGACACGCTTGTTGGCGCGCTCATCGGCACCAGCAGCGGTGCGCTTGCGGGCACCAGCAAAGGCAGCAGCGGCCGCGGCAACCGAGGATGCGGAGGGAGCGATGCCAGCAGATTCCAGAGCTGAGACGTCGATGTCGGCGATCAGGTCGTTGACGGCCGGCAGGCGGTCGAGCTCGGACTCAATCTGCGCATAGTCCAGGGTTGCTTGTGAGGCGACATAGCCGGCGATGGCGACGCGGTCATTGGGGTCTTGCTGGTGCAGAGCACGGAATATATCACCCGCTGTAGCTAGGTCTGTGCGGTCTTCGGAGTGCAAAAGGGAGGCGGCTGCTGCACGGAGGAGGGACACGGGGGGCTCGGGCTTAGTGCGCCAGTAGGAGGCGGCTTGTGCGAGGGTAGTGCGGATCTGGACTATGCGGCCTTCGCGCTGGTACAGGGAGACAAGGACGCTGAGTAGGCCTGGGTTAAAGCGGACGGACTCGTTTGGGCCCTCAAGACTGCCGAGGGTTTGCTCCATGGCTGTGATAGCAGAGGTGGTGTTGCCGCCGCTGACATAGAGCTGTACCACTGTCAGGAGAAGGCCGATGTCTGTGGGCCGTCGCTCCAGCAATGGGAGGATCTGTTTAAGGGCTTTAGGGCCGGTTTCGCCTTGAGCATGTGCTGCGGCGTTGAATACAGAGAGAAGGTTGGTGATGGCGTCGGTGGATGGACTTGGGCGTTTTGACTGTGCCTTAGCTGTAGACCGGATTATACCATCGTATTTTTGAACAAGGAGGTCTGCGGCATGCGAATTTCCAATCACATCACGGTCCTGGTATTCGAATAGCCGATCGTTATTGGTGGCATCTGGGGTGTCGTGGAGGGCCTTGTATAGGATGTAGGGATTGACGGCAGTCGGGCGAGCGAGGACGATGTTGTTACGGGCAATCTTCTTAGTTGATAACTCGGGGATGCTAGGAAAGGATGTGAGCAATAGGTTTCGAGCAGGTATGATTAAACGTACTTTTCCACGGGGATATCTTTGAGAACCGCCTCGGCCTCTTCCAACTTTCCAAGTTGAATCAGGACATAGAGTTGTTGCACTGCGATTGGCAGCAGCTCTGCGGCCTTGTCCTCAGGTGAAAGGTCCTCCGATGTCCGGCAGATATCTATGCAAAACGTCAGTCTGAGTCCTAGTCTTAGGCAAGACGGAGAGATGCTGACTTTGAGCTCGGTTGAGCAAGACCTCGCTCTGCTTAAACGCTCCCTTTGCAATGTTCAAGCAAGCTGCGTTGTAGGTTGTTTCGAATGATTCCAAATCCTCCCTCGACAATCGGTCGTGGCGCACGAATTCCGTCTCTCCTTTCCATTGAAGCTGGGCATCGGTAGCCCACGAATTGATGTTCAGGTCGTTAACCTCGCGCCCGAAAGCTGTCGTATCTTTTGAGAGTTGTTCATAAATCTCGGCTGACCGTCGGAAGTGTTCAGTACGATAACGCTATTATGACACGACAATCAACATTGGTCCTCAAGCAACAGAAGGACAGATGGGGCATCCTACCACTTGCGCCTCGAGATGGCTAGCACCACGCCCAGAAGCTGTGCGACTCAAGGCTTCTGTGGCTTCTTCAAGCTTCCCGCACTTGTATGATGCATAGGCGTATTCCAGACCTGCACTCTGCTTCAGCGCATCGCCTCCGGCCTGGAATGTCTTGAGGGCTTCTTCATAACGGTCGAGTTTCAACAGAGCAACGACTTTCATGTGCTGCGCTTGCAGGTCGGATTTGGATTTGGCGAGGACTGCATTGCATGACTGAAGGACTTCCTCGTGGTCATCAATCGACGCTTGCTGTAATAGCGAAGCCAGCGATTGCGCAACCATGGCGGGGGTCGAGAATTTTAGGGGGTAATTCGCGGGCGAAGAAGACGGTAACTTCAATATCGGATAAAAGATAGAAGCGCGTGATTAATACAAAGAACACAGTGGCCGATTTCCCCAGATCAACTGATATCAAACTCCAATGTGCGGAACTGGTCTTTTCCCCATTGGGGGGTTTCTGCGCTCAACGCTATGTGCCCCGCCGTAGCTCACGTGTCCTATATGATTCTCCAATTTGACATCGACAAATCCACGAATAACGGTGACAGATCTCGAAGCACTGGAATTTGTAGAGTGTGTACTGAGGCAAAACTGCATATAATAAGCCAACTCTTGCAGAGTAAGCTTGATATGGACAAAATTTGAACTAATTTCCTGGTACTTCAATTTCACGAGGGTTTAGACCGGGGGGGACTCCTGCTGTAGGTACTAAACCTAACTTCCTTTTCATCGTCACCCAGACTTACTACGTAGTGTGAAGCTTTAAGCTACAACTTAGTCTCTCCTCCTATTATTCGCCCGCCTGCTCTTCTAATGGTAAATGCACATATGTTCTTGTGAAGATATATCATCTAGTGTAGAGTTTGCAGGGGGCTTTTGCGCGTGGACAGACTCTAAGTCTGTTGATCACTTTTTCGATTGGGTGTAATACCTAGGGATAGCGACGTTGAAAGGAGACTGTCTGAGCGACCAGTAAGCCTCTAGCTGATTGAAGCGAAATGTTTCCTCTACGCTGACCACCATCTATGCATATTCGGGACATAATGCCGAGGGCGAAATCCGGAGAGAACCAAGAAAACAATGCGCAAGGCAAACTACTCCGTATTAGCATTGGCATTGGCATTGGTATCGGTAGCTGGGTCGGTTCGATACCATATGATGTACAGTACGGAGTACTCCGTACATATTTGCAACAAAAGGTTTTCGAGTAACTTACAAGTAAGAGGCATGAATATCATCTTCAAAGTGGGGCTGGGTGGGTGAACCACTGCGCCGGGGGGTCTAAATGTATATATCCGCAAATGCCAATTGTTATCGAGTACCACAATGGCCGTCCGGAAAGTACTCCGTTGTACTCCATTGTAGTGCTTATCTAGGGCCAAACACTCCGTAGTGCCTTGGCTATCAAAGCCTGGACGGAGTACTCCGTAGCACACGGGTAGAGGACGCGCGGATGTGGGGACCGGAGAAATCGCCGACGAGTGAAAAGAAGGGATCATTCCTCAGGAAGTCTTGGCATCAACACGGTTGTGCTCTGCACTTTGTACACTTCGGGAATTAGCAAACCACCAAGGAAGATAGTACGGAGTAGTATGTATGGAAACGGAGAAATTTCAATAGAACCATGCTGGCATCTTTATACTGTCTTTCCCCAGCTCGGACCGGGATATAATCTCCAAGTTACGATGTACTATACGAGCACACGTGACTTCCGCCAAATAGACCTTGAACGTCATCGATCGTGTCTCAGACCCTTTCTTGACCCTTGTCTTCCCGTTCTTTCAGTCTCACGTTCTTCCTGTTCCTGTTCCTGTTCCCCCTCTGCCTTTTTCCCTTCCTCTTTCTCTACCTCTTCCTCTTCTCCATCTCTCGCCAAACCGCCTAGACATATTTATATTATACTTCATCCGCCTGCGACCGTGGGCCCTGTTCTAGACCAAAATCATTGTCTCCGCAATGCGGTAGAACCCGACACAATCTCACAACACAAAATATGCTATTCGGTGCTCGAGATGGGTATGTTCCGGGGTCATGGGCTTGGAAAAAGGTGCTGCGGTTTGGAGTTATCTTCTTGTTTGTGGTAGGATTTGCCGCTGTACTATGGCCCTCGGTCGAGCCAGTGAAGATTCCGCTAGAGACAGCTGCCAACATCACCGTCGCTCCCAATATCCCGTGCGATCTCGACTACGATAAATTGGCAAGCCTGAACGTTATCAACGTCGCCCAATATACCCGCCGAGAAATCATACTCGATATGACAGACGAACCAGTGCCCTACACGCAATGGCTTGAAGAGCCGTTCTTGGAAGTCCGAAGGGCTACCGGGGAGGCGGCGGACGGGTGCTCAATTCCCACACCAGTGTCCTTGCGGGTCCCCCAGCCTCCGAAATTGGCGGACGCATCACACATCGATTTTGGAGTCGCGACCAGTATCGAGCGATTGAATGAGTCTCTGAATGCATTCGCTCACTGGGCTGGATACTCGCGCTGTCGCATTTTCGCACTGATCGAACCGGATCGCTCGGAAAACGGCGTGCGGGATGTCTTGGCCAAGGCCGACTCTCTAGGGATCAACCTCCACATCACAGAGGCGGAGGATGACTACCTCAACCGATACTTCGCACTCATCCCTCTTTTGAAGGAGAATGCTCGGGAAACAACCCGGTGGGGCTGTATCATCGACGATGACACATTCTTCCTGTCGATGTCGAGACTGGTGGATGCGCTCGCTAAATATGACCACACCACCTCCATGTATATTGGCGGATTATCCGAGTCTATCCCGCAGATTGCAGCATTCGGAATGATTGGGTTCGGAGGCGCGGGCGTCTTCTTATCCAAACCGCTCTTGGAAGAAATGACCAACGTGTACGATAAGTGCTCTGCGATGGATTTCACAGGC